AAAAAAGCACATTTTCTTCGAAATGATTTCACTGAGAATAAAACGTACGGCAATGGGACATTCTTGACGGTTTCCCATGATGTCTTTGATTTGTGTGTTTCAGGTAACAAAAGCTTGGCAAATCCAAGTGCACCGGGTGCCGCCATTACACTAGCAGCAATTAAATGATTGGCAGGGACTCCGAAAAAGATAAACGTAGCGAGAACCGATCCTATAGTATATAGAAAATCGATTGAATGCTAACAAGTTTAAAGTATCGAACCAGCCATTGTTGCAAAACCTCCAACAAGAACTGCATGAAGCTCTGATGTTGTCATTGTTGGTACCAACGGCATGATCATCAATGGTGCTTCACTCATTCCGACGAAAATATTCGCTGCAGCATTCATCGACTACAAATATATGATCTCTATGACTAAAAGATTCAAATTGTTCGAGTAGCTACTTCAGCTGCTGTGGTATTTAAACATTTTTGCATTAACCAGGCAATTTTTCCTATGACATATTGCATAACACCCAAATAATAAAGCATATTAATAACTGATCCCAGAAAAATGATAATTGAAGTGACCTTAGACGAAAAATCAATGAAAGAAAATATTTCCAACCGAATTGCGCCTACTTTGAACACATAGAAATGATCTTCATAACTTTCTCCAAAGACAAAAATTGCTCCTGCCTCCGCATTACTAATAAATAAAGATAGAATGACTTCTAAACTCAAATGAGTTTACCTGATGAATTTTGAGACTTCTTTGCCGAGAAAATCAAAAAATTGAAAACCAACCTCAAGCCGAATGACAATCGCTGCTAAGAGAAATTGAATTATGAAAGAATAGAAGATTGTCTGCCATCGAATCTATTGCACAAATATTCCTCAATCATTTTCATCAACAATTGCTGTCGTACCTACTCGATGAGGATACTTCGAACCTAAAACACAACATTTCATAGATTTTACGTAACAAGGATATTTCCATACCGAGTGTTCCAAGGATAATCAATGTAAACACGCCAATTAAAGACACATAATTCGACGCTCGTCGAACTGTCAATCCAATATAAAGTGCGACCGCAAGGAACACTAATATATGTCCAATCCTATTCAACAAGAAGGAAATTCATGTTGTTCGTAACGAAATATTGACTTTACCAAGAAAATCGATTGAGTAACTCGATAAATCTCCTCCCTGAGATCGTACTTCGAATTGATTCAATTAGATAATCAATAACACGCTCCACTGCATTTCCGAGAAATTTTTCCCATGCGACAATAAAAACTGCGAAAGCAACGAGAATAAACAATGCAAATCCTGAAAATACATAGAGTTGGTTTTAATTATCAATTTCTATGAAGATTTTCATGAACTCTACCAGCATTTCCCGAGAAAATATTTCCGTTGATCGGAAAAGCAGGCGTTCCATATTTGTTCGTGTTCGCAAAAACGAAATAGATAATAAAGCCGATTAAGCATAGGACTTTCAATGCATAAACAACAATTTTCTAAAATGAACGATAAAAGACAAGATGCGATGAGAAATAACTTTTCTTTATACCTTTCGTTTTGCGATCAAACGAACTAATTGATTTCGGAGTTTTAATACCACTAAGCCAACTTTATCTCCATCTCCTGACAATTTTTCAAATCCAGCATTATCTTTTTGATCGTCATTGTCATCATCAGCATGACTATTGTCATTTTTATCATCATTTTCAGGTAAACTTGTGGTGATGATAACACCATTTCCCGTATCTGTTCGATCATTCACAAATCCGGTGTTTTCATAAGTTTGAGATAGCTAAATGAAATATCAGCTGATGTTGATCTTACGTCTAATTTCTTAAAATTACCTTCGCAGATCGAGTATCTTCAATTGGTGAGCGAAGTTTTCGCGAGCGAACTTCTTCTAATTCAAAAACATCTGGAGAACTTGTTACCTGGGAAAACGACGCCATTCAGCAACAATTTCTTCGTCTCAAATCACTAACCTTTGTCATTTTAAATTGTTCGAATGTATGTTTAGTGATTACTGATCAAAATAATGAAAGTAAATATGACATACAAAAGAAATCTTTATCTCAAGATCGATAACGAACACTAGAAGAGAAAAAACGCACGAAACATAGAAAAGTTTTTTGCTGTCTCTCTTTTCTCTCTTCTTTTCAATGTAATCCCATCTATAGATACCAGTATCTTTGACTACTATTCGACTTGTCTTTTTTCCTTTTCTTCTTTACCTTTACTATACCTGATAAAATAATGTGAAGAACACAACGAAGAGCCTTTACACACCCTCGGAGATGCTTGACGAGAAATATCAGTTGATAGAATGTGTCATGTATACATATATTTGATTTATACATTCCAATTTTCGTTTATTACCTTGTTGTATTCAAGTGTAAAACTTTTCATTTTCTATTTTGCAATCATTGAAATAAATCACTTGAATACGCTGGACTTATTATGTGCAAAGTCATTCTTCGTTTGAGTATATCCGTAGCGCAAGATTTTACATAGTTGTAAACGAGAACATAGCGCTTTTTGTTGATACTCTGTTCAATTAGATGCATTATGGGTATTAATCTACAAGGCTGAACTCCTTGTGATGCTTCTATAATGTCATTAGGTTTATCCTGTAACATTTATTTTATCGCATGTCTAGATGAGTTTTGTAAGCTGTATTTGCATTCGATGATATTACTGTTGATGCACCGCGTCGGTGCATATCTTGTGAGACATTTTTTTCCATCAAAGGTAAATATTTGAAATGAAGATCAATAAACAAAGCCGGTAGAAAATGAAGGAAAAAAAATTCACGGTTTCGAAGGAGGTTTGTTGGCAACAATTTAAACAGAACAAAATGAAATATGCTTTTACGATCATTGAATTCGACTAATCGATTATTGGAAGAAATAATCCATGGTTCATGTCAATGCGAAAACTTTGCATCTTCACTATGAGCTAGAAAAGAGCGGTTATCGAAGTACTCAAAGGAAAATATCATCGCATAAACCATCGTTGTTTGCTTCATCTAGGTTTTGATCGACGACATTTTCCGGAAAAACAACGAGCCACTATTAATGATGCAAATGCTAGATCTCGTCGCCATGCACAGATCTGTTCAGCGCCAGTTTCACGAAATATTGATGAGCAATGGCGTCCGCACGGTCGGCATATCGAACCTGTATACACAAAGTAAGTGCCTTTATTGAAAATGTGAATGGAAAGAGAAGAAGAAGAAGGAGGAGGAGGAAAAAATCAATGAAATTTGACACAATCCTATCAAACATATAGCAGTTGTCGTTCTTTATTTGATTGTTTCTTCTTATGTAAATATCGTATCGCAGACGCTTTCTCTTTTCAATTATTCTTCTATTATTTTATTAAAAAGTTTCGGACTTGATTGGAAATCTCGTGTTCATTACACTGCTCCACCAGAACATCCAGACGGTAAACCTACCTTACCTGTTGCTTTTATCGAACGTAACATTCGCTTTACTCGGCCGCATCCACAAAATTGGCAACGTTCAATGAATGAATGGATTTACGTCACCGACGAATCAGTAGATCACAATCCAGCAAAACGAAATCTCTTTGCTGATATACATCTTCGATCAGTAGAAGATTTAGGAAATCAAGATATGCATATGTCACAAATTGGCCGTAAGAAACCTGTGTTCGACCGACGAAATGGCATACCAAAGAGGTCCGAAGGTGACAAAACTTATCAAATCGTTGACGAATCACCAGGTTTTCATAAAATTGGTACAACATTACCTGTTGTCGAGTTCGGACGTAAGAAATCGGAACATGTTTTCGTTAAAGCTGTTGTACCAATGACAAACGAATCAGTTCATGTTATCGACGAAAAAGAATTTGCTGAGAAACTAAAACAACGAGAACAAGAGAACATTATTGACGAAGTTGCTCAATTGGATAATTGGAAACCAGCGCAACGCGTATCAAGTGCATTTAAAGTATTGGATCTCGATCCGACTGATAAACGTAATGGACGATATCGGCCACGCATACGCTAAATTTGTTTATATTTTATTTTGAAAAATAAATTCATATCAAGGTTCTACATGATAGAAAGGGAGAATCGACTGAAAACCAGAGGGGTTCGAAGTCAAGTCAATCCACCAATCTTAATAAACAGAGCAGCAGATTGAAGATAGAGAGGAATGAAAAGATTGCTTACAGTGACTAGATCGATCTCATCTTGTGTTAGTGGTTGTCGACGATATTTTTGTGGTGTTTGCGAAAATTCTAATGTCGTCGATATCTCACTCGATTTGGATTGATTATTATTTGTCGATGTTGGTGATGCAGGTACATTCTCTGGTTCATGATGACCTGAGACAAACAGATTCATTCGCTTTTTAATCAAAGCTGTGCATATTTACTGGATGAATGAGCATCTGCATGATTTGCACCATATCGAAAATGAATCGCCGGAGCATGGTGACGAAGGGCTTTCTACAAGCATAAATAATACAACCAGGACAAAAAAGTCGATAATCTATTAACCTGAAGGTGATTGATCATACTAGCCATAATAACAACAAAATGCGATTATGCAACTCTAAAGAAATACCTAAATGAATCTTACACTATCAATTATAAGTACGTATGAACTTCATGAAGTAGTAGAGAACACCTACAAAAATCTATTCACTATAAGGTCTCAACGAGCGTTCGTCAGAAGAAAGTTATTCGGGTACAAACAATATTCATTTCATTCATATTTCCATCAGAGAACTCAGAGTCCTCAGTAAATTGGAAACGATTTGATTGTTTACTATCGCACTTACGCCAGCCGATCCGTTAATTATGACCAAACCGAATGCTTGCTGGAGATCTACGAGCCAATAGAAACAAAAATTATTTTGCTTTCTCGCATTGATTCAGAAGGACATCTAGAATGAAAACATACTGATAAGTAAAAAAGGAAAGTTGTATTTTTTGTTTCTGTTCGACCTTCAGTACCCAAAAAATATGTTGAAGACAATCCCCTCACGCTGTCTTACATTTGCTTATCGCGCATCGTGTCGATGGAAATCTACTGAAACGGCGCCCACTGGTGTATTACCAGGTGACAATTCTGAATTACGTGGTGATGGAGCCATTCGTCGAAGTGAACTATACGGTTCAACCGTTGAACAGACTTATGCGGGCGTTCTATCATTTCTTCGCCGGAATTACACTCGAAATTTGAAAGGTGTTGATGTAGCTGTAACAGGTATTCCACTTGACTTAGCAACGACCTATCGACCTGGCACTCGATTCGGTCCGAAAGGTATTCGTGAAGCGTCTGTTCAATTCGCTGAATTGAAAAGTTATCCGGATGGTCTGGAAATCTTCGAAGATTTAGCTGTTGTCGACTATGGTGATTGTTGGTTTGACCTAGGTCAACCGAAAAGCATTCCATTGGCCATTGAAAATCATGCTAAAAAGATCATTGATCGAAATGTTTTTCTCCTGTCATTAGGTTAACTAATATTTTCTTCAATGTAAATTGCATTTTTATTACGCATCTTTAGGTGGTGATCATTATATTACATATCCATTGCTAAAAGCTCATGTCGCTCGACACGGCAAGCCTCTGTCTCTTGTTCAATTCGATGCCCATTGTGACACATGGCCAGATAAACATCCCGACAGTTTGAATCATGGCTCTATGTTTTATTATGCTGTCAAAGAAGGACTGATCGATCCTAAAACGTCCATCCAAATTGGTATTCGAACATATAATGATGATTTCATGGGAGTAAAAATTCTCGATGCAAATTGGGTTCATCGACATACGATTGAGGAAGTAGTTGCAGAAATTCAAAATCGAGTTGGCAATAATCCAACGTACTTAACTTTTGATATTGATTGCCTTGATCCAGCATTTGCTCCTGGTACAGGTACGCCTGTCTGTGGAGGACTAACAACAGCACAAGCGCTTGGAATTGTTCGCCAATTAAGATCGATTAATTATGTCGGCATGGATATTGTCGAAGTTTCTCCACCTTACGATCATGCGAATGTCACGGGTTTAGCAGCGGCTACTTTAGGATATGAGTTTTTGGTTTTACTGAGAAACAAGAAGGTTATTGATAAATCATTTACATTTGGAGCTCGATAAAAACTAAAAGTGCTTTTTCTTCTGTTCTGACTATAATTGATTACTGAATAGAATGTTCACCGATTAAAGATTCTTCTGTGTATTCTACGATAATAGCGATGGATGTGTATGTACCAATCAAAAATATACGAAACGAAATGTTCTACCTCTATCGAACGATTCCTTTGTTATGATATGCATCGAAAAGGAAGACTAACTTAACTATTCGTGTACCGATATCTCCTAACGAACAAATACATCAAATTTCTTTAGATGCTATCTCAGTTTCTTATATATTCGTTAATCTGTGTACTTTTCACATTCAGTTTTGTCTCTACTGATGAGAAAACCTGTAGTAAAACCAACTGTCAATTGCCATGCTGTCAATGTCCTGTGACAAATGGAAATCCTACACCATTCAATGTCACTGACATTCCTCACTTTGTAATTATCTGAAAAAAAAGAACTTGTTTTCATGATTGTTCCATTGTTTCTCTTAGGTGCTTTTCACCTTTGTTGGTAATTTAAATCAACACACATTCGATCCGATTCGTTCACTGCTCAATCCTGCTCATCGGAACCCAAACAAATGTCCCATATCATCTACATTCTTTGTGAATGACAACTACACAGATTATTGTTTAGTACAACGTTTATTCAATAATCGGAATGAAATAGCTATGACAACTTCAAGTAATCGGTACGATGGTACCTTCGCTTATCTCTTTCGTTTCCATTTCGATCATCTTTTTTCGAAGATGTCCATTAACGAATTGTTACGAAGAGAATCACTGGCGTCGATGGATCGATAATGATTGGAAACGTGAAATTAAACAACAACGAAGCAATCTCATCGATCAATCGCACATACATCAATCTCATCTCAAAGGTTTTCGCGTTCCACACTTACAAATCGACGAAAATAAACATTTGAATTTCATTCGAAATTATCATTTTCATTATGATTCGTCCATGTTATTCAAATCATCGAATTTAATTTGGCCATTTACGATGAATTACTTGACGAATACAACTGACTGTATTAATTGTGATGAATCCAGTCAAACCATCGACGCACTATGGCAATTTCCATTACATGAATGGAGCCATCCAAAAAGTAAATCGAATATTGAAGTACTAGAAGTGAATCTTGTCTTTCTCTTCGACCTTTAGCAAGTACAACTTGCCGAACGCTTTCCGATTCATCTTGTTTACCCGAGGATGAAATACAGTCAGCCGATTCGTTCTTTGATTTAATTAAATACAATTTCGATCGTCATTCATCGCTGCAACTCGGTCAACGATCTCCGTTTATAATCGAACTAGATCTTTTCTGGCTTGCCGATCATCAAAATAAACGTTTAGAAGGGTTGATTCGTTTCATCGAATACATCCTAAACAGTGAAGATCATCAGCATGTCTATTTCGTCTCGATCGAACAAGCACTCGAATGGTTGAAATATCCACGAAAACTGAACGAACTCGATGAGTTTTGGGCATTTGGCTGCAGCGATATAATCTATGATTATGATATCGATTGTATCGATTCCGATGGAAATTCTTCGAAGAAACAAGAAGCGAAACGCTTGACAGCGGGCAATGGATCAAATAAGACCGATTCGCAACCGATCGATCGACAAGCGGAAGACTTGTTTCGTAGTAGTATCGTCTTTCATTCAGTCTGGGTTTTTATTCTTTTAATTCTCGTCGTTCTCTTTTATGATCATTATTTTTCCAAAAAATGATTTTTGCTTTTTCTTTTATTTTCTTCAAACTATTCGACAATAAATAAAAAAAACGAATCACTATCCAATCATTTGTTGCTCTTGGTTTCTATAAGTAAAATGACAACAAAAACAGAAGAGATTGTAGATATTGAACCAAATTGGCAAAGGATCGATTGAAACAGATTTTCGTAAGCGAAAAACAAACGAGATATTATACAGTATGAAATCACTGGTGTCACACTTTATTATGAACAAATTCGTGAAGAATTCAGGGATTGTGTCAGTGAAAGATGTACTTCAGAATGATTGCCACAACTATGATTAAGACATACTGAATATACGGTGAAATCGGAGTGATTTGATTGGTATTCGAATTGAGACGATTCGTTTTCAGTGTCTTGAGATCTTTTTCATGAGAATCGAGTCGTTCGTTAATACGTGTCAATGTAGTTTCGACATGTTTTAATAATTTGGTGGTTGGATCTTCTGAAATTTTCGAAAACAACGATTGTTGATTGACGTTTGTCGGCGTCGCTGAAGATGCTTCATCTTCACGAATATTATTTAATGACGGAGATGGTCCACGTGCCAAAGTGGATGGTTGCCCAATGGATTTATTCGCAGAATTGTTACGATTCGAGCTTTGAGTAGTATGATTCATATTATGTGCGCGATGACGAGTACGCGTACAGATAACAAAATTACTTTCATAAGTTGAAATGTCATTGTGAGCATCCCATGGGCGTGCACTAAAATTTGAGAATAGGAAGTCAAGACTGGATATAGATTTTTGAAAGCTATTCAAACAAGATGATACGTATATTTTTCAGATGTGTTAATTTAAAATCCTCAGGGGTTTATCCTTCATTTTAATATGAACATATATATAATTAAGACGTAATCTTCCGGGTTTTTAGAGAATATGTCTTTATGAAATGTGAATTCGATATTAAGTTTTTTTTATTATTGACTTACTCGGCATAAGTGTAAATCCATTCTTTCGTACTTGGGTCGATGTTGAATAAGCGTGGATGCCACTCAGTACCAGTTGCTTTACGTTCTTTGATCTGCCTTCTCTGTTCGTCTTCGATAATAGTCTTTTCTTCGGTTGCTGAGACTTGATCATTCTGTTTGATCGCAATTGTGACACGTTGCCATAATCTACAAGAGAAAACTTTCATAGACTACTGTATAGAAACGAGAGAACGATGTTACTTCTCAGATTCATTGTCTTGTTGTTGTTCAAGTGGAACGACATAGCGTTTTAACCGTGAGTTGACAACAGATTGGGTGACTTTCCAAAAAACACTCTTCGCCTTATGAAAGAACAGATTATTTCAAAACGTTGTTCACAATAAACACTACATACGTTCGTAGCTTTATCAACAATTGTTATTTCGTCATCCCAATGACCTGAAAACGTGTATATGACGTCTTTTTCCAGACGTATTTTTCCTTCGATATGATTCGTAAGCTCTTGACCACCAATAAATGGCTAGAAACACAAGTATTGATTTCATTCATGGAAATTCTAACAACTATTCAATACTTTTAATTTAAATTCGATATCAGCTGAGTAACGAGTTTTTTCACAAACAATTGTTACTTTACCACCTAATTCCATAGTCAATTTACCAATGAGAATACCTGTAAATCAACGAAATTGTCGTAGACTATGTTTTGAAAGTGAGTAGAAATCAAAGACCTTTGCAATTAGCATATGGCATAGTAATAATGTAATCCTCTCCTCGGCTGAGAAGTGTTAGTCGTGCAGCTCCGTCGAGTATAGCCGAAAGGCTATTGCCTATAACAAAATCGAATATGGCCATTGTACGGAAAGAAAATGATTTCTATACCATAGAATTTTGATCGTGCCAAAATACTTCCTTGTACAGCAAAACCTTCTTTTCGATTTGATACATAGAAATTTGTTATTGGTGGATGATGAGAGATCTACATAAACAAGAGACATGCGATTTTTTCTATTCAAACTACAGAACAACGACAACAGCAACAACAATGACTACGCAAAAGAAATTATTCGAGCGAAAAGATTTTTCTGGGCTACGCCTGCGCGACTACTTGTTGAATCCAACCAAGAAAAGCGGCCACATTCGTGTATATTCCTGGATAACCGGGACGCGCGCAACCAACGCCATACGATGTTATACCAACAATAACCCACTGCTGTGATCCACGCGGTTTATATACCAAAGGACCACCAGAGTCACCTAAGATAGGACATCAAAATCTCTCTTCAAACTTCCATCTTTCTTTTTTTACCTTGACATGTATCCACACCACCACTTTGTAGTCCAGCACATATTTGTGTGTAACGATTATATTGCGAATATATACCATCACACGTTGGTAGTATTTGTATACTTGCTTGCTGTAATGTATAAGGTAACTTGCCACCTTCGCTAGTCAAACCGAATCCTGTGATTACCACACGTCGATACGTAGGTACTACAAATGACGCACTGGGTGGTAAACACACAATATTTACAGTATCACTGGTATCAACGGCATACTGCAATCTTATGATAGCAATGTCATTTCCATTCTGAGCGCTGACATAGTCTTCATGAACGTAGATTGCTGAAACACGGTAAATAGTACCGGCATAGTAACCTTGTCGAATCATATTGTGTGCACCGACACGAACAAGATAATCATTGGCATCATCTGATACACCGACAATGCAATGGGCGCCTGTTATAACATGTCGTCGATCGATTAAAGTTCCTCCACACGTAAATTGACCTCTAACCGAGATGTAAACTTGCCATGGCCAAGCAAAATCGGATGCATCCTGACCGCCAACAATACGAAAATCAGCTTCGAAAGCTGATTGCATCGTACCACATAGACGCGTTTGCGCTTGAGTGTTAGCAATAGCGATAATGAATAGTACGAAACGAAACAACATTGTTATGAAATTGACCTATGTGTTGCTGCCTTTTATATAGCGGTCAACTGCTCATTCTCATCGCGCATCTTTGTTTTCCAAATGGACGAATAAGAGAGAAAGAAATATTACCTGTTCGGCTAAATAGAATGTCTTGCTGTCGTTCTTTGTATGATGAAAAAAACATCGATAAACTTCGCCAATAACAGGATTGTACGGTTTTTTCAATCCCTAAAAACGAACAAATGCTTAGTCTGTCTCGCATGATTTCTTTAACTAACTTTTGGTTTTTTATAGAATCCTGAGAGATAAAATTTAACAATCGTTTTCATTCGTACTAATGGATCAGATGAATTTATCGCTCTAAAGTATAAACATTTTCTTCGCTGATATTCTCGTTCAGAAATTCATATTTACTCTTCGAGAATATCACAATGATGATAATAATCAGAAAGTTTCTCAAGAAATGATCTTGGTTCCAGAATGAACGTTGGCAGAACAACTTTGGATAAATCCATACCTGGACGCACTTGTTTTAATAAATGCATGATTAGAGATTTATTTTCTTCCGCAACTTCTTCAGTTTGTGCAACATTGCCCAACTAAAAAGAAAAGAAAATTTTCTTTGTATGCACGATGAAACAAAATTTGACTTTACTTCTCCCATTTCTTCGGGTGGTGCTGCTAAGTATGGAGTTTCATTATCATCTTCATTTAAGCATTCTTGGGAACTTTCCGAATGACTTGAACCACTTCTCGATGCTTTACTCACATCAGCACTTGCTTCACTCATCCGATCATCTTCTACACAAAACGACAACCATGACAATTTCCATCAAATTTTGAAAAGATGCAGACCTTCTTTGTTCGATAGACGACTAGCTTCGAAATCATTGTCGGAAAAACTTGTGCTTAAAAATGTTGTATCAGGAACTGGCGATGGATTGGAGATGTTCGGAGTGCTGCTTGCTAGTTCTTCATTGATTGTGGTAGAAGAATATGGCTTTTTTAATAATTTTGAGCATTTCATTGTTAATTCAAGTGCATCCATCCAACAACGTCCTGGAAAATGTACCAGAAGAAGGATGATAAACACAAAAACGGATATACAAATATGTGTCTGTTTACCGGCTGTTTCATCGCTTGCTCGACAAATAAGATAGTTCATAGGTAAAGGAAATGTGATTGCACCGAATTGTTCATTGTTGGGACCTTTTTGTGCCCAGATGGATTTCTCTAATGGATGCCAGATTTTGAAACAAAATCCTGGCTTCTTCGATGGACGTTGAATCACTAAAACAAATATTTCACTAATCTCTTCATAAATTCATTCGAACAATTATCCTACCTTCACATGATGATAGAACAACAGTGCCAACCCATACACCATTCTAGATATTTTTAAAAGAAGTTTAACTAATCGAAAGTTGAACACAGAACTCACTTTTGATGGTGGATTTCGATAGAGTAACATCAAACCTGGTTTGAGAATTGCCCATAGCTTTGTCCAATCTCTGAGTGTTCCTCGAACTTTTAGCCAATCGCTCACAATCACAACAGACGAATCTTTGAGTACATTGGCTAGTTCGGATGTAATCCGTTTTTTTGCACTTTGATACGATTGCTTCTTCATCTAGATCACCAGTCGAGGATTCTTAATCAATTCTCTCATTCATTCCCTTTCTCTTACTTTGTAAGATTCTTGTTTGGTATTATTTCGTTCTACTGATTCATTTGACGAACCCAATGATTCAAATGTTGTATTTAGCTAACAAAACAAGACAATGTTCAAATGAGATTTTCTTTTTTTCTTGCGAATGAACTTATTACTTTGTTCATATCTTCATCATTCAACAATCCCATTGTTACTAAACCTAATTATAAATAACATAGCTGTTTTTATGTTATGTTTTCTCTAAATGAATCATCTTTACCCGAAGCTAATTCATCAGGCTTGGTTTGTTCGGGAAAACTTGATACCGTACTTGATCGACTCATAGTTGGATCAATATCTTCTTTATTTCTTGATAATGATCGGTCCAATCGTGAAGATGTTTGTTTAGTTAATGTTTGCGATCGAATACCATTGGTATTTGACTAAAGGCAGTATTTGATTACTACTATTAACAATTACAAAAGGCATTTACCAAATTCTCCTTCGAATTTTGACGAATCGACGATGATGATGGATCCATAGGAGTTTTCGGTGTGCTCGACTAAAAGTAAAAAGACAACACATCAATGTGATTCGACAAGGACAACGAATTCGTTGATTAATTAATTGTTAGTGAACATTGCAAACCTTGCGAACAGAGCGAGTAGGTGGTGGACAAACCAAGAGGCGAGGATGAGTTGCCATAATCAAAGAATGTCAACAAAGAAAAGAAGAAGAAGAAGAAGAAGATGCAGATGCAGGAAATAAAGTAGAGATCTCTTATTCTGTTCTTTCCTCTTTTTTTCTTTCTCTTTCTCTTTTCTCGTATTTTTCAGTTTTACTTTTTTAACAGATAGCGTAACGTCGCGCTGTTGTTGTTCTTCTTTTTCTGCTGATCTCGGCATTAGTACTACTCTGCTTGTTTGCTTGTCAGTATTGTCGTCGTTATGACTACGTCCCCAACGAAGACAACACCGAGATAAATCATCTTTTTCTTTCCACTTCATTCTTCTTTCAATGACGATAACTACATTGACCTTGTTCTTCTATTATCATGTCGCTTTCTCAACGGATATAATAGAACGTTGACATGATTTTCAGTCGGATACGACGAATAATAATGTATCTATAGTTTTCCTTTTTTAAATTCCGTTAAATTGTGATGTGCTAATATTAGTATATTCTCGTTACGTTTGCTCGACAATTACGTGCTCGACTGAAGTTGTAAGGAGAAAAAATAACGACGGAATAAGACAACGGTAGTTTTTCACCACAATCTATTCGTGTTTTGTCATAAATATCGATTTTACTTTTATTATTCATGTCTTCGTTTTCATTTTCTCCATACACAATCAAATGCTATCGAGTATGCACGGTTGACATTCCATATCAACACGAGACTCTTCTACTGAAGTACTGCCATAAAGCAAGATGGTTGTCGTTATTGTCATCTTTTTCTCCTTTCGATTATCGAATTACTGCCGTTCTCTATCAATGACACAGGCGCGTCGTTTTTTATGAGTAAATGCACGGAAATATTGCAAAACAAGCGGATCTTGTTGGCCGGCGTGTCGTTGCTTATATTATCTCTTCCCTCCGAGAATGAAAGGAAAAGTAAAACAGTGAAGGTTTTATCCTGGTGTTATTTTGTTTCTATAGCATTAGATGATGATCTTAATCCATGTTATGATTAGTAAGAGCTAGTTAGCTTTGCTTATTTGTCTCACCTTTCTTTTCTGTCTGTTTTATCCTCACATGGTGACATGAGAGGTTCATTCGACTGATGAATAGCCTTTAAAAAAATGTCTTTTCGATCATTTGATCTAGTACTGGTTTGAGATGATCTACTTACATTCGGTTGTTTCTCGTTGATAGACGGTTATCGTAAATATTACATGATCAATGAGAATAAAAACTCATCTAGAATAAAGAAGAAGAAGAAACTTTTCGTTATTAGTTAAATCAAAGCTCGAGTTTGATGAAGGATTAGATCTTGATGATTGAAGATTTCAAGGAAATAGTGACAGCTTAGTAATCTTCTTCTGACAGGACACGCAAAGGAAGATTCTTTCGTCTCAATTAAGTTTGTTTGACTTCACTCACTTAGCTTTTCTATTCGATTACAAAAATAAAGGGGTCTTTTCGAATCAAACACAAGAAATATCTAACGGTACGAATATCAACCGTTTTTTGCAATTTTTATTCGTAACAAAAACATGATTATTCTTCTTTTGCTTCTCTTCTTCTAATCAGCTTCATCCATTACGGCATATTGTTCGTCTTCTTCATCGCGACACTTGTATTCGCAAAGTAATTTTCGAACTTCAAGTCCAATGGTATGATGGAAATGATGATGTAACAATTCCAATAACGCTTGTTTTTGTTCTTAGAAGAAATACATTAAACATTTATTATAATCATACACAAAAAAAGAGTGTTTTTCATACCCGTTGAGATATCTTGACGATAATTTTGAACAAAAGATAACAATGCTTGATGCCAGAGTACTGGAAGTTCACGAGTATCATTACGGAATCTATTAATAATAATATGACCGAGAATAGAAAATGTCAGAGTAAAACAACACGTACTTAATGAAATGATGAACAAGTGCATCGACAACACGGAATGGTAAGGCATAGCGTTTTTCAATCAGCATTCGAATAAATATTGAATTCCCACCAGAATAATTCATTTCGGCGATCTTCAACAAAGCAGCTGCTGAATGTAACATTGGCACGGAGTTTTTTGCAAGAATGCTGCCGAGGATCACAGCTTCACGAAGAGTACATGTGCCTGACTGCAAACATAGACAAAATGTCAATGAGAATAACAATCGTAGCCATTAAATCATCATCTTCTGTCTTTCAGATGTATTCAATTATCAAAGCATGATTTCTAATCTTCGTTTTCTAATGAAAGTGTACTCATTAATCTTTCTTAATACGAACGAACCGTTGGCGTAGTTATTGATAGATTAATTGAATGTCAATACTTAAGACAGGCTGTCAAATTAGCATATTTATGAAAGCTCTTTTCTTTGTTCTATGTGGTTTATTAACGAGGATCTTACTTCACATAATGGTAGAATAATTCCTTTAAAGAAGGCACTCGGCTTGAATAAAGCTTTTCTCAGAGCCTAAAACGAGAAAATACTTATGAAAAGAAGACGAATAGGGATATCTACCATGTAGAGATGAAAATTGAGCTTTTTGTATTCATCGATATCATCGCGAATACGTGGAAGTAAGATGATATTATAGAATCTATCGAAATTCATCAAATAGTTTCATCAAAAACGAAAAAAAGGTGAGTTACCGTTGTGCCATTTTCGCATCCATATTGGAAGCGAATAACCTTGTTGCTTGATACATCGATGCAGCAGTCCATCGATCCGGTTGTGTAATGAGAAGTACCTAGCATGAAAATTCAGGATATTTTCCTACGAAAATCATCTCTTACTTGTTCCCAATTGGATAAATTCGGTAGAATTTTGAACGCTTTGGGTATTTTTCCACTTCGATAATGTGAGAGAATCTGTCCGACTTGTTCGTACATACTAACAAGACGGGGATCGAGATCATTATCACCTACAATACACAAATTAGTTCGACATTTTCGCGTCCGAAATTGTAATACCAGCTGATTGCTTTTCGGCTTGTTTTTCCGCAATAATATCACCCAGTAATCGTCTTGGTTGACCAGTCATAAATGCTTCAAGCGCTTTTTCATCATCTTCATTGATCTATGAGAAAGTTCATTGAACAAAAAGTAACAAATAGAATCCGTTTGTCTTACTGAAACTTCATCGTCTTCGAAATCTTCTTCTTGCGCACTTAAATCCTCGTCATCACTATCTTCAGTTCGATTTTTTTTTATTCTATTGATACGTTCTATCGATTGTGGATCTCTACAGAAGAACTAATTCCATTTGAAAGTAATTCAATCGAATTTCTTACGCATCTTCTTGGCTAATTGCCAATAGTTCGTCATTATCAAATTCACTTTGTTGTTCTCGAGCTTGTTGAATGATTTTTCTCGACAAACGTTCGTCTATAATCTAATTATTCAAACAACATCAATACGAAAGACAATATTATACAAAAAAACTCGGACCTGATCGTTATCTTCTTCTTCGTACTTGCGCTTTTGCTTCTGTCGTGGTTTTTTTGCTAATACAGCTCGATCTTGATTGATTTGATCGGCTAAATTACCAGGTGCTTGAATCGGATCGCCCTGACGTCGAGTTTTTGAATTTCGACTCATGTTCGACGAGTTTTTTCTTTTCTAGAAACAAAATAAAAAACATCAGCAGAATGTAATTTTATCTTTTCATCAAGGGCAAAATCAAATTAATATTCCGGGGAAAAAACCGACAGAAATCACATATGGTGTATTGCAAATGATCAATAAAAAAACAAACAAATCGAAGAATTTATTCTCTTTTGGCTAATGTATTCAATTGCTCGCGAATACGAGTGAAATTGTCTAAGACTAGATTAAGAGTCTCCTTGGATAATTCAATTTGAACTGTTTGCTCGTTTTCATTAGCAGATTTCGTGGGATCATTGACCTGAAACATCGATAGAATAATCAAACGTCGTATACGATAGATTCATCACATACATCTAATGAAAGAACGCAAGATGGCTGTTGAATACGTTGACCATTCACACCTGGAACTAATTTCATGTCGATATACCAATTGAAATCTTTTAATTGAGGCAACATCTAGAAGAAAACAAAAGCGTTCGAACTGACTACTCGATACTGTCCTATAAGTACAACAATGTCTGTTTAGTACTACCAGCAGCAGACGATCGAAGAATTATCTGATTAAGTCCTTCAAACTATAGATAATATTGAAGACTTGAGAAGATACTTTTCTTTGATCAAGACTGCGCCTCTATCGTTGTTTCGACTGAGTTCAGTTGAATGAAACACGATAAGATATCGTCAGTTGTCGATAATTTTCTTGTATGAATACAATATGTTGGAAACATGTTAATGACGACCTCTAAAATACCAGAGCGCACTATTGATGTAAACAATCTAGTAATGACGACAATTCTTTTCCAGAAAGAAAGAACCAACTATGAAGAAATAATAGAACGAACAGCCACACGATGAAGAATACTGCATGAATGTCTATCGAGAAAACGTTGAGTCATATACATCGAAACTGATTTGCCTATTTGCTTGTAGAAATATTCATGTAAGAAGATAGTCTCGCCACTAACAACGTGATTGAAAAAACACACGTTATAGACCAATAAAAGAGGTCTTGATAATGATAATAAAAAAAAATTGAAAATGAATCAATCGACTCCGATGTTGTTATTGCAATATCGCAGGTACCCACGAAAGTAGTCTGTGTGCTTTCCAGTCAACCAGAATAAATTTGTTTTTATATTAAAGATCAGATGATGTGCATCCCACCAGATGAAATATTCACATAGAAATAGGACACAGTCGCTGTAAATATCAGCTAACCCGGTTAAAGATCATATATCGTTTTGTCTATAAGCACTAGACTTATTTCGGATGTCTCGAACGAGGAACATTCATTCAGGATTATTGTCATTATAGTTTTTACCTGTATGAATATATGAAATATTAATTTGATATTATCACAGGAGAATTTCACACTCCATATTCTATGGAAAACAACTTTGTTGTAAATCGAAGTCTCTACTGAATGTTACACTATTGTTTAACACTTAATGAGTTCTTTTTTTGTATTTTTCTAAACTGTAAACGAGAAATGTTCAATTTTTCATAGGATATCGGATATACAGGTTTTCCGACATCCGATCATACACGTATGTTACATCAAATATTCATAAACTAATATGCTGAGTAATTTAACACAATTTCTATTTTGTCACGCAATTTTAATCAATGAAGTAAAACTGAATGGTAGCGCCCCTAGCGACATCATGCCATGGAATCAGATTGGCTATTGAGATAACCAACAAGAAAGTGTCATTGGCAAAAATTTAACTAGTCTATCGAAACAGAAAAAGACACATACTTCGTGATTGTTTATTGTTTTTTGCCCAAATCACATCTCTTCAATTACATTCAATCATGTTTAAAAACTTGAAAGAAAAATTGGCAACTCAAGTGTCAAAAACCAATCAAACATTACTAACGGGCATATCTTCACCTGAATCAGTATGTTTACGAAGCTACAATAATTATTAACCAGCATGCTTTTTTTACTAACTAGACATCTGCATCAAAAGACGCGAATAGTGACGCATCGTCAAACACAGTTCGCAATGATAACCATGTACGAAAAATACTATTTTCTGCATTATAAAATGACTTACTTTCGCTTTTTTAAGGAGAATCATCGTTCTCGACTCGATTCAGCAGCAAGTGACATAAGTCAATATAGTGTCGATCATAGTTCGAATACTAGCATGACTTATGTCTCTCCACCGCGGCAGTATAGACCACCCTCCGACATCGAGTCCGAATATGGTGGAGACGAGAGTGATTATGAAAGTAATACAGTAAGTTGTAATTGAACTATTCCAAAGTTCATTCTCATTCGTACTAACTGTGGTGATTTTGTAGAAAATGATTAAACTTCAAAAGTTGCTCGGTGTTTATAAGAACAAATTTAATCAATTGAAAAGTGCGTACGATGAAGTCGAACGAGAAAAAGAACATGTTAAAGTAAAGAAAACTCTCTGATGATCATTTATGTCGACTTTATTCATTTGAAGAATCTCTTGCAACAGCAACAAGATAAATCCTTAGCTCGAATATCTGAATTACGCGAACAGATCAAACTCGATCGCGAAGCCAAAGCACAGTTAGAATGTTTGCATAAAAAAGAGATCCGATCGAAGGAAAATCGAATCGAAGAACTAACATTGCAAGTTAATGCACAGAAAGATCTCATTCAATTGCCAACGCAAGCTGATCATGAAGAAATGCAAAATCTACGTGAGAAGGTAAGCAAAATCGACTCTTTTTCTCATTTGAAATTTGAAAATCAAGAGCTCGTTCGTTGATTTCAGAATTCGAAATTAGAAACACTACTAACTCGTTGTAAAGAGGCAATCAGAGCTCATCAAGACAAACAAACTGAACTAACCAAAAGCCGCGATGATATTCTTCTTCAACTAAATGAAAAGCAAACTGTTATTGAATCACTAATGAAAGTAAATATCTATCTATTTCACTATCTAAATACAACAAAAGATAAGACGAAGAAAAAAAAAATCTCACGACGCATAAACGAATGAGCAAAAAGAAGAATCTCTCTTCTTCACGTATATATTTATAGGCAAATTCCAAAGACGAAGATCATTTCAGTTTGAAACATTTTGTTAAAAACATCTGGGTGAGTATTCTCCAATAATCAACTAGTAGTGAGCAGACAACTCGATCTCTGCCTACCGCATGTGGTTTTTGTTCTGTATGTCATGTATTTACGTCTTTACTTACATTATATAGATTATATTTTAACGAACTTAGGAATCATTGATAAAAATCGGTAATTTCGATCGTTTTTCTTTGTTCATTATAGGAACGTCATTCGGATGATACTTCAATAGCATCGATGGAAGTTCAAGAGCATTTCGATTCGGATATTAGCGTCTTATTACAAGACAAACAACGTTTACAGGAAGAATTAGAGACGGCGAAGATCCGCGTGAGACAACTTGAAAATGAATTGGAAGTGAAAACACAGCAGCTAACGATAAACGAAGATCTTCAACGTAAATATGATGAGTTATTGAATGAATTCAATGAGAAATCAAAATTAATTGACACATTCAATCGAGATGTTGAAAAACGAACTGAAGTCAATCTCGTTCAGTCTTCCAGTTTCAATCATTTACAAGAAACAATACAAAACATCGAATCGATCCTTCCGGATAGTCAATCCACGAATTTAATCGAACGTATTCAACAATTAATCAATGATAAAGTCGAACTTTCGAAAGCAAACGAAATTCTGCAAAGCCAACTATCTACGAATGAAATTCAATTCAATCAAAGTCTAGAAAATCTACGACAACAACATTCAGAAGAAATCACTAAACTTCTAAGGGAGAAACAAAATGAATATGAAATGTTAAAGCACAAACTTTCGGATACTCGTGACCAACAGTTATCAGCATTAGAAGATGAACTGAAATCTGCAATCGTACGCGAAAACGAAAAGATGGGTCAATTGAATATGGAAATCAGTCAACGGCAAGAACAAATCCAAGCAATGCACCAGATCATTGCGGAACAGAAACAACAGTCCAGTCAATACCAAGAAGAATCACGAAATACCGCCGATCGAATTCAACAACTCGAAAAACAACTCGACAGTCGCAATTCGCATCTAGAAGAAAACCAAATTCATATTAATCGACTAACAACAAATATCGATCAATTGAAAGCGGATATAGCGGTAATTACTGACGAACGAGAGCAAAGTAAAAAGAAGTTCGAAGATGCACAAAATGAGATAGCTCAGCTCAATGAATTCATAAGACAAATTCGATTACAAAGTTCAACAACAATCGAAGAGCATGATGGGATCATTCAACAATTGAACACAACTATTAACGAACTCAAAGTTAATAACACATCATCTGCCGATAAATGCGAACAACTCCAGAAAGAACTTGAAGTGAAACAACAGGAAATATCTCAATTAAATCAAACAATCGATGAAGTAAGATCGCAGATTGCTAAGACTAATGAAGAACTACAAGAAGAACAAAATACGACCAGTCAAAATCGTTTAACTATAAATGAACTGCAAGCTAATAACGCATTATACACTGATAAGTGTGAACAACTGGAAAAAGAAGTTTTTCAATTGAATTCGACTCTCGAATCACTTAGATTATCCAACACAACAGCTGCAGAAGATAATGAACAACTGAAGAAACAATTCGAAGATATACAAAATGAAGTACTACGTCTGAAGTCTGAAATTGAAGAAAAACAAAATGAAAACACTCAGCTGAATATTTCACTTGAAACTATGAAGGCAACCAATACAACGGTGACGGAAGATCGCGAACGTCTTACCAAAGAACTGGTAGAATCAGAAAATCGAATAATTCAACTGAACGTTATGATGGATGAAATGAAAACAACAGATATCGCACTTAATGCACAACAGGAGGAAGTTGATCGAGAATTGAAAGAAAAACAAAAGAAAATTCTTGACCTTATACGTACAAATGATGAATTAAAAACAACAAATGTAAAAATTAGTGAAGAACATGAACAGATTAGAAGACAATTCCAAGACGCTCAGAACGAAATCATTCAGCTGAGTGAAACCATGACACAGATCCGATTGCAAAGTTCGACAACTACTGAAGAATTGGATCGTGTAACCAAACAGTTGAATATAACTATCGAGGAATTGAAAGTCGATAATGCATCATCTGTTAATAAATGTGAACAGCTCCAGAGAGAAATTGAAGCTAAACAAGAAGAGATTGCTGGACTTAATTCAACGATTGAATCAATGAAAACTTCAAGTACAGCACTCAATGAACAAATGAGCAAACAACTGGAAAGTGCCCAAAATGAAATATCTCAGCTGAGTAGAACGATAGAAGAAACTCGACTGATGAGTTCAACAACTAGTGAAGAACATGATCAAGTCATTCAACAACTGAACACGACTCTCAACGAATTAAAAGTTGATAACGCCTCGTTAATTAACAAATGTGAGCAACTACAAAAAGAGCTGGAAGCCAAACAAGAGGAGACCGTTCAGCTAAACTCTACTATCAAATCAATGAAAGTGTCACATTTGACGATCAGTGAAGAAATCAATAAACAACTCGAAGATGCACAAAGCGAAATAACGCAACTAAATCAAACCATTGATGAAATTCGAACAAAGAGTGCGGATATGACTGAGGAATTGAGTCAAGTTAACAAACAGTTGAATTCCACTATCAATGAACTGAAAGCTGATAACATATCATATACTGATAAATGTGAGCAATTTCAGAAGGACCTCGACGCGAAACAAGAAATTATCAACGAACTTACTTCTACAATTGAATCAATGAAAACATCCAACGCAGCGTTCAGTGAACAAATGAACGGACGATTAGAAACCGCTCAAAATGAAATATCTAAATTAAATAAAGTAATCGAAGAGACTCGACTCCTGAGTTCGACAACTAGTGAAGAACATGATCAAATTATCCAACAACTGAAATTGACTATCGACGAATTGAAAGCAGATAATGTATTATCTGTCAAGAAATGTGAAAATTTGGAGAAAGAACTTACTACAAAACAAGAAGAAATTGTTGAACTGAATTCTACGATCGAATCAATGAAAGCATCAAACACGGCACTCGGTGAACAAATGAGCAAACAAGTGGAAGCCGCACAAAATGAAATATCTCAGCTGAATCGAACAATAGAAGAAACTCGATTGTTAAGTTCGGCAACTAATGAAGAGCGTGATCAAATCGTCCAACAACTGAATACAACAGTTGATGAACTAAAAGCGAACTATGCATCGTCGGTGAATAAATGTGAACAACTTGAAAAAGAAGTTCTTCAATTGAATTCGACTCTCGAATCACTTAGATTATCCAACACAACAGCTGCAGAAGATCATGAACAACTGCAGAAGCGATTTGAAGATACACAAAATGAAGTACTTCGTTTAAAGTCTACAATGGAAGAAATTAAAGTTGAACTGGAAGATAAGCAGAATGAACTAGCACAACTTCATGTAATTCACAATAACGAACGTGAACAAGCTGAAGAGCAAATTGCTCAACTAACAACATCTACAAATGAAATAGAAACCAATCATCAAAAGCAGATCGAAGACAAACAGAATCAAATCCATCAATTAACAACAACTATCAATCAGCTAAAAGAAACTTATGCAACCATATCAGATGAACGCGAACAGTTAAAACAAACTATCCAACAACTGCAAGAAACCGAAATTACCAAGGAAAAACAACGAGAACACGAAGTATGACATTCATTAACTTCAATATATACTCTCTAAGAATAAAACATCCGCTTTTTCTAGATTGAATCGTTGAAACAAAGTCTTGTCGAGCAAGAATCGCTTCGTAAATCCTTGCAAACTGATCAGCAATCCTATATTGAACAATTAACCAATGAACATCAACAAGAAATTGATAATCTTCATCAACAGCTTCTTGCTCAACGTTCTCAATCAGATTCGTATCAAGATACCATCGAACATCTTCGAAAAGATCTTCAAGATTACGAAATGAAATATTCAGAACAAACATCTAAAGTTGATCATCTACTTGACGAACAAAAACATGTCTCGGAATCGATGATACGTCTGAAAAACGTGCTCAGTGTCGATGCCAATGATCATGATGAACTTCTCGAGCAACTTCTTCATAAAATGGAACAATTGCATCTATTTGAAACCGAATCTGAACGTTTAAATAACGACTTAGTCAAACAAAAGTCCGAACAGGTCAATCTGCATACTCAACTCCAACAATTGGAACAGCAGTTGGACGATACGAAAGAAGAACTGAAGAAAACCAAACAAAAGTTCATACCAATGAAAACGAAATATCAAAATCAAATTGACGAATTGACGCATTCGGTTGAACAACTTCAACAAGAAAAACATTCAATCGAAAGTCGACAGCACGAACTAAATCAACAATTCGACGAGAAAAACAAACAGTGCAATGATCTTCAAAATCAACTTCATGAATATTCACTGGATCGAAATGAACAGAAAATGAAATATGAAATCGATCTCAATCAACATCAAATTCTCCTTGAAAACCTTCGTCGAGAGATGAATGATCTACACGATGAACTTAAGTCGAAGAGTAATGAAATTCTTTTATTACAAACAAATTCAAACAAACTTCAACAGACATTGCAGAACAATAGTGAGAAATTTGAAGAAATTTCTCAGAAAGAAAAAGAATTTCACGAAATTCATTCGGCATTGGAAGAAAAATATAATCATATTCTAACAGAAAAAGCAGGATTAGAAAACGAGTTAGATCAAATACGTGTTCAATTACAAACAAACAACGGAAATATCCATAAACGAGAAGAAGATCAAAAACATCAACTAGAACAAGCCGAGAAGATCATCAAAGAACTTCAGGTTTGTTCCAACAGCAGGAGTATAAAAATCATACGTATTTTCTTTGTTTTTAGGGTGAACGTGACTCTCTTCGTGTGGAAATGGAAAGTTTACGTAAGGAGCTTGATTTATTGTCGAGTAGTAAAGAAGAAATCGCTGAGAAAGACCGACAGTTAGCAGAATACGAAGAAAGAACTCAAGAACTCCAAGCAACTCTCAAACAAACACAAGATAGTGGAACGAAATTACGCAAAGCATTACATAAGATGAAAGAAACGATTACTAATAATGAGCAAACACATATTCAAGAATCTGGTAAGTAGAAGTTCGTGTATTTTTGGCGAAAATATCTTTATTTCTTCAAGAAATTCGTCATCGAATTATCACGGAAGAATATGAACAGAAACTCGAAGACCAAGAAGCAGAATATAGTGCAAAATTGAAATCTCTTACCAAAGAGATGCATTCGCAAATGGAAGAAAAAGATAAACAGTTTAATTTGCAACTTCAAGAAATAATCAGTAAATTTTCGATGAAGCACCGGTTTTTTGACATTCGATTTCATTTCGATTAGATAAAAGTTATCAAAATGAAAGTGAAATGAAACAGAAAATGCAAGATGCTGAACAGCGAGCATTAATTGCTGAAGAACAACTTAAAGTTAGTATTTCTCAATCTTTTTCTAACTCACATTGTCTCCTCATCTTCAATTTTGTATAGGAACAAAACATCGATGTTCTTCGAACTCAAGTTGTAACTTTAAATCACATTGAAAGTGTTCCTGTTTCGTAAGTTAAACATGACAACGCCAACAAATTCATTTCTTTCCCTTCTAGAACGAACGATCATGGCACCCAGACGATCTTCGAAGGTACTAAAAGCAAAAAGATTGTTTAAGTGTCTTATAAACAATTCTCGTATATACTATAGATTCTGTATCGAATCATTCCCGGACAACATCGAATGATAGTCTACATTCTTTTATATTCGAACCTACCGAAATTGATTATCTAAAACAGATCGTACTTGCATATATGACTGGAACTGATCGATTAGTAAGTCAAACTTCACGCAACAAACAAGGCGATCATGAAAGACTTCATTTAGACAATGGCGAAAGTCATCTGTGCACTTCTTCGTTATACCGACGATGAAAAATCCTTAGTGATGGAACATGAAAAACTTCGTCAAACAGTAAGTCTTATCTAACGATTGAACTTGTCCTTCATTAATTCGTTTAGCGTTGGTTGAATACATCGAGATAATTCAAATCAAATTCGTATTCATTGTGCAATTTCCATAAGCAATCACTCAAGGACAATAAATTGTGAATCTCTTTTTGTCTTAAAAACCCCAATATTTCCTTTCTCGTTATTTTATTTCAATTTTTAAAGTTATTATTTTCTGTTAGTTTTTGATCTTATTCGTTTGTGCTATAAAGTTTTATTTATTTATATATACATGTATATGCAATGTAATATAAATACTAGAATAGCTTCAGTCTCAATAACCTACACGGAAAAGTTGCACACAATGACCAAGACGTCATGTGTTTAGTTGCATTTGAGAAAAACCGTGAATTTATTGTAAACAAATATCGGAGTACAGTAGATTTTGTCAACGATGATAAGAATATATGTGAGTAAATGGAACAGAGAAAAGAAAAAAGAAACTCGGAAGTTAGATCTTGTCTAGGTTAGCCGATAAAATGCAGAAAATAAATAATGTTTAATTAAAACTATTTGGAGTAGATGATGATGATGAGGGTGATTGATGACGTTCATTACTAGTTGAATGAGTTGGATTATTTGTTGAAGATGCGTCTTGTTTTTCACGCTTAATGTTGAGTGATGTGGCTTTGTCTTCGTTTTTACTGATATCGTTTAAACTTTGCAGTTTATTATCTTTTTTCCACTTCATTCGCCTACGTGAAAATTCGGATGAAACAAGAAAAGGAATTTTTTTTATGGAGAAATCTTCATACCGATTTTGAAACCATATCTGAAATAAAAAGCAAGAAGTGAAAACAAGGAATGAATGAAAATGATCGATTTACTTTTATTTGTCGTTCAGTCAACGCTAAACTGTGTGCGATTTCAATTCGTCTTCTTCGTGATAGATATCTATGCGAGCAAAAAGTCATTTGAAAGAAGAATTTCTATTGAAAAGATAAAACGAACCGATTAAAATGAAATTCTTTTTCCAATTCGAGTGTTTGATATCTTGAATATGATGTTCGTGTTCGTTTCGTTTCACCAATGTGTGGATCTAAAATCGCGTGTTCACATTCATAGATCATCATTTTCGTATACATATCATCAGATTAGAAAGAAGAGATGAAATTCGAAAACAAAGAAAAATCGTCATCGAGAAGAAAACACATTAATCTCGCACGCACTTAACATCGCCTAGCTTCTCTAGACGTTGAACTTCCTGAATGTCGACACACCGACATGTTTGATGCTTTTCTTTTTTCACTATTGTTCTCTACAGTCTCATCGATTACATGACCATTAGAACCATCTGTGGAATCTTTTGACAACGAGTCGGCATCATCTTGCGTGTTGTGAGTTGCTTTGCCTCCCTCTCTCCTTTTCCTTTTCATATCTTTTGTCCCAATCAGATTGCAAGGCAATCGTCGTATATATGTATATACAAACTCATTTATTCATTCGTCCCGATCAGAACGAGCCCATAAATCTCCTCTCATGCGCAAGAGAACGACATAAATAGCCCATAAAAAAAGATTGTATGTATATGGTAAAAAATGCCGATGTTAGAATATAAACAAAACAGAAACAAGGAGAGAATGAATTGAATTTCATGTCGAGACTTTTTACAGACTTACCACACGTATTGTGAATTCGTCTCATCCATGGGTAAATATTTTGTTGTTGTTGTTGTTGCTGTTGATGATGATGAGATTGAGGATGTGCGTGTGGCTGTTGTATTGGCATTGCAAACGAATCAGTTGGTTTTAAAAGTTGTTGTTGTGAGTGTGGGTACGAGATGTACGAATTAACAAACGGATGAGCATGAGGATGATGTTGCGACGAGTTAGGTGTCGGAAAAGCATGATTGTGCAACGAGGGATCAGATCCAAGACTTGGTACTATGCTTGAAGGTGCCATATTTGCATAGGAATAATCAAATGCATTAACGAATGAGCCAGACGACATATTTGGATAGTAGTTGCCATTGAGATTCGCGTCATTTTGTTGGCGATAGTTGAAGAAATGTCGAACAAGTGGATCATTATTGAACGGTAAAGGTGATGTTGATGTTGCAACAACTGCATCATACGGTGTTGTCTGTTGAGTCGATGGTAAACACAACGAAAAATCTGCATTATTTAAATAAGATGTATTGCTATCGAATGTATTATTCAGATTAATATCATTAATAGGATTGATGGGCGTTAAATTTTCATCGGATGATGTACTGTTGTTACTATTATTATTATTATTATTATTGTTGCCATTTGATGCTGAGAGTAAATGATGATAGCTCAATGATGATGTTGTTGACAATGCATTAGTAACAGCAGTACTGGAAGGAGTGCTAGAGAAGGTAGCCATTTGTCCGGTAATTAAGTACACACGCGGAGCTTTAACGACGTTAATAGCGACGATAATCGGTCTTGCCGAACATCGTTTTGTTAGTTTTAATGGGAATATATGGAGAAGAAAGAGAAAAACGGTAATTGAGAAGGAATTAGAGAGGCCAGATGAGATGATTGAAAGTCAGTCAATTGAATAGGCGATGCGATTTTTTGTGTGCGTAATGGTGCAATCAACTTGAGATAATGGCCGTTTGGGAACTTTTATAAATGACTATTGATGTATTGTAATAGCGACTCACTGCTTTCTTTCTCTTTCCTTACACATACGCTTTCGCTTTTTTTTCTCTTCTTCTCTTGACTCTCGCTCTCGATGACGATAGGTTGAATATATTTTCTACTTATACGCATTTAGTCCAATCAAATAGCCATTTATTTCGATGTGATGAATAAAACTTACCGATCGTCTGTTTTTTTTTGCTTATTTACAAGAATATACATTTCTACCATATCTTTTCCGTCCATCGACAGGTAATGATGAATAACTCTCATGAATTTCGACAGATCAAATCAATAAAGCACTGAAAAAGTACATTTTCTTTTCACCGAGTCCCTCAACCATTTGAATTCAACCGATTAGTTCATTTGCTTTTCTTTATGTATGTATAAATACAAAAGTAGAGTAAATTTTTATTGAACACAACAAAAAAAATCACTAATAGTCATAATAATAAAGTTGCACGCACAAGGAAAACACATTTGACTCTGATCATACAGAAGAGAGAAAAAAAAAGGATATGAACGTACATCGAATGACGTACACATACATAGGACATTGAATAATTAATACAAACACAATATTTTTTTCAAAAACAATAATAGCTAACTGAATTCTCTAGTCTAAATCGCATCTCACTTATTAATGATTCTTTTTTTTTCCAAAATACTCTACTTTATACATTCGAATATGCGCAAAATATTCTTTCGAATGTGAAGAAGGACAGCAAAATTACACAGATGGACTGATACAAAAAAAAGAAAGTTGAAAAAAAAAGCAAATTTTCATAGGGTAGAAAACGTTTCATCTGATTAATTATTCTCCTGCCTGTTACATTGATCGACTACTTTCATATACAAAATAAATAAATAAATAAATAAATAATTCCCAGAAAAAGAAAACAAAAACAACTGCAGAGAGAAAATTTCTTCTAATACTCGCCGTAGAAATCACCATCGAGATCATTTTGTTGCCGATGATGATATTGGGGTAATAATAAATTTCCATGTCCATACGGTTTCTTAATCGTGCGTTTAGCACGAACAGTTAAACGTAGATTATATGGCGAAGGTCGATTATGCCATTCATGCTCATTATGAACAATACTAAGAGAAATTATTTCGACTAAACTTTTTGGTTACTCAGAAATCGATGAAATTTACCTTAACATATTAACAATTGATTGAAGCGCATTGAGAATTGAAATTGATGTCATAGATTCGACTTCTGAACAAGAAAAAGATACGAATAGGTGTAGATTTCATGAAATACGAACCTGTATATAATCGAAACGCATCCATTTCATCGCAGAATCGTCCGAGTTTGAAGGGATCATGTGCACGTTCGCGAGCTGCCATTAAATCGTCCATACACATTGTTAGACTGTAATTTGAATACCAAACTTCTGTAAAACTACGCACATAATCGACAAGTGAATCATTGCCGACAATTAATTCTGAATATTCTTCAGCTTCGAAATGAAATCCTAAGAGAAAGAAACAATACCATCAAATTCGATGTTTGGTCACGAATTGAAATCAGTTTACCTTCGATTAATAGCAATCGAACGATTGTTGTGTTATGTCGCATTTCGAATTCGTGAATATTGGTGATGTTTTCACTCAAAGATACGAGAACATCATCAGATGTTTCACGAAACTTTTTCAAACACGACGCTTTCAGAAATAATCGAACAATTCGGTTCATTAATTTACGATCGAATGATGGATCGCCCAAACGATCAATCAGTACATCGAGCAATTCGCCATAGCCATAAGCTGGCTTGATTGAGAAACATTCAAACGTATGTGCAATTAATGTTTGATGGATTTCTATAGGAAAATGAAAAACAACATAATGAAAAGTATACGCGATTTGAACTCACCTGCTCCCAGATAGCAAACGCGATTTTTCCATAAAACATTCCATAATTCATCAGCAACAGATTCAACTGGTAACATTAATTTAATTAAGCGTAAACCAAGAAAGATGGCGATATCAGTTAGATAGTTTGTTGAATTAACAAGAATATCATGGCTAACATCATCGAATGAAACTAACTCCATTAATTCTTCTTGGATTGGTAATGACCATGTGCCTACACAAATGCGTATCTGTGGTCAATGGAAAAAAAACGTCTTTTTCGAATACTTACACGCACGAAGAAGATCAGAAAGTTTACCAGTTAATGTAGCAATAGCTTTACTAGTCACTGATCTTGGTGGTTTCATCAGTGATTCGTCTTCTAGTAAAGTGCATGGAATAGGCGAAAGTCGTTTTGTGTTCGAATTATCTGAACTGTTCACTGGTTCATTACTGCATGAACTGGTTGCTGTCATGGCATTGGTTGCTGATGAGTGCGGAGATGAGCTTGCGTTTGACGCTGTTGTAGTACTTGTTGTGATAACAGTTAAAGGCGACGGAGCAGAAACAGGCACTGTTGTTGTTGTTGATGTTGACGATGATGATGGAGCCATCTTTCCAGACATCATCTGAGCATGGTTGATGTTCTGACCATTTGGGCGCATGTAGAATGGCAAAGGTGAAGCAAGTTGTTGCTGAAAAAATGCTCCGCCGGGTGACGCCGGTGCTGCTGCTGCTGCTGCAGTAGCCATGAAAAACGCTGATGGTGCTGTTTGAAATGGATGATGTGGCATAGCTGAATCAGTACTATTGTTTCCAACAATCATTTGATGATGTTGCTGCATGTGACGAAAAGGCGACATGGGATTTTGTTGGGCAGCATGTTGCATCATCATAGTTTGGTGTTGTTGTTGAACAGCAGCGAAATTAGGATCGAAAAACATGGCTGCAGCTGCGTCCGATGGCATGGTTATATAGAATGTTTGCACGCCAGTCATTGGACTTGAGGGAACAAGTGGACATGCCGGCATCAGACGAATTGGACTTGGACAATAATTACTTGGCATGGAATACATAATAAGCAAACTAATTAAATCGAGATAAGTTTTAGTGTTTCTTTCTTTGAAAATTTATCTTTACTTTGTTTTGTATATGGACGATTACGCTTAAGAAATCAGGCAGGCAGACAAAACAGACAGAGGCGAGTACGTCTGATGGTCACACCGCGCTGTTGTAATATGATAGAGTATGATTTCAAATCGATTGTTTTTCTCTCTACTTCTTTTCGTCTTTAGTCGATTCCGTCCGACGATACAAATGACTAGAATACAACGAACTATATCTTTTGTTTTTGTAAACCATAGAGAATCGATCTATGACGAGAAGAACGAAAGAAAGAATTTCCAGATACACGTGAAGTGTAGAGAGATAGTCGACGACGAAAGAGAATACAAAGCCGAGAATGATGTGATTCTTTAGGTTCAATGTGAATTAGTATAGATAGTTCAGATAAATCAATTCACTGACTAAAGTGTACTTTGAAGAGCACAAGAAAGATATGTCATTTCTAATAAATTATCTGTAGTTGGAAGAACTTGTCTAAAAGCTTGTAGTTCTTATCGAATTATTCCGAAAAGAAAAGAAAGGATTCATGGATTCGGCATCTACTTCGAAACATTTTTTGTGCTTCATAGCACAAGATGGATGGACTTTGCCCTTCAAAACCTGTGCGAATGATACAACAATTAGTAATAACAGTATCAATCGTATATTGGATGTTTCTTTATGACATCACGTCGGTTTCTCCCATACTACAAATATAACAAACTTTCCAAGCATTTGGTAGATAAACTGATAACATGATATGTTGACGCAAAGACTGTATAAGTTCGATATTAAAGGAAAGAAAATGTATTTAATTCTAGTGAGAATTTTTCCATTCTCATGTTGCATGTTTATTAGTCATTGTTCTTTTGGACATATCGAGTGTTTCATACACACACACACACATTTAAAGACAAAAAAAATGAAATCTTATAGATCGAATTGAAAACATAGAAGAAAAAGCGAGAAACAGGTGACTAGAAATAAATAAACTAACAAGACGGATTATAAGTTGATGTTGATAAAAAAATGTGTGTAAGTTGTCTATTTATTCGATGTTTAATCGACTTCTTCGATTGTTGGTCCCTTGCCGCCACCAGATTTAGCTCCACCATGACCGGGCATACCAGCACCAGCACCACCAGCAGCGCCAGCATCACCTCCTAGAATTAAAATGAAAATAAGATTTTCTGGTGTTTGATTCGGCATTCGATCACTTACCGTAAAGTTTGGCCATGACTGGTGAGCAGATTTTTTCAACTTCTTTGAGTTTATGATCGAATTCGTCTTTTTCGGCCAATTGATTGGTTTCCATCCATTTGAGTGCTGATTCGATGGTTTCAGTAATTTTAGCTTTATCTTCGGATGAAATTTTGGAGGCGATCTTGTCGTCATTGATGCTTGTTTTCATGTTGAAGCAGTATGATTCAAGTGAATTCTTAGCTGAAATACGTTCACGTTGAGCTTCATCTTCTTTCTTGTATTTTTCAGCATCAGAAACCATTCTTTCGATATCGTCTTTGGATAATCGACCTTTGTCGTTTGTAATGGTGATTTTGTTTTCACGACCGGTTGATTTATCAACGGCAGAGACGTTCAAGATACCGTTGGCATCGATATCAAATGTAACTTCAATTTGTGGTACACCACGTGGAGCAGGTGGGATGCCAGAGAGTTCGAAGTTACCGAGTAAATGATTGTCTCGTGTCATCGAACGTTCACCTTCGTAGACTTTGATGTCAACACCAGGTTGGTTATCTGAGTAGGTTGTAAACGTTTGAGTCTGTTTGGTTGGAATGGTTGTATTACGTTTGATCAAGGCTGTCATAACACCACCAGCGGTTTCAATACCCTATAAAATAATAGATGAAAGTTTGTCTTTCGTATTATCATAACTTACCAATGAAAGTGGAGCAACATCGAGTAAAAGCACATCTTTGACTTCTTCTGATTTATCACCAGTGAGAATAGCGGCTTGAACAGCTGCACCGTAAGCGACGGCTTCATCTGGATTGATTGATTTGTTCAATTCTTTTCCGTTGAAGAAATCTTGAAGTAATTTTTGTACTTTTGGAATACGGGTTGAGCCACCAACGAGTACGATTTCATGGATGCTGGCCTTGTCCATTTTAGCGTCGCGTAAAGCTTTTTCGACTGGTTCGAGTGTTGATCGGAAAAGATCGGCGCAAAGTTCTTCGAAACGAGCACGTGTTACTGTTGAATAGAAATCGATACCTTCATGGAGTGAATCGATTTCGATTGAGGCTTGCGATGAGGATGACAATGTACGTTTAGCACGTTCGCAAGCTGTACGTAATCGACGAAGACCACGTTTGTTTTGCGATAAGTCTTTGTTATTTTTACGTTTGAATTCTTGAACGAAGTGTGACACCATTCGGTTATCGAAATCTTCACCACCTAAATGGGTATCACCAGCTGTTGATTTGACTTCGAAGATACCTTCTTCGATTTTGAGTACTGAGACATCAAAAGTACCACCACCCAAATCGAAGATGAGAATGTTTCTTTCACCAGAGACTTTCTTATCTAAACCGTAGGCAATAGCAGCAGCTGTCGGTTCGTTGATGATACGTAAAACGTTAAGACCAGAAATAACACCGGCATCTTTTGTTGCTTGACGTTGGGAATCATTGAAGTAAGCTGGAACAGTGATGACAGCTTCGGAGACTTTTTTACCGAGATAAGCTTCAGCAATTTCTTTCATTTTTGTTAAAACCATGGATGAGATTTCTTCAGGAGTGAATGATTTGGTTTCATTTTTGTACTCAACTTGAATCTTGGGCTTGCCACCTTCATTGATAACTTTGAAGGGCCAGTGTTTCATATCAGCTTGAACAGTAGCATCATCGAATTTACGGCCAATGAGTCGTTTAGCATCAAAGATAGTGTTGTTAGGATTCATGGCTACTTGGTTTTTAGCCGCATCACCGATGAGACGTTCACTATCGGTGAATGCAACATAGGATGGTGTTGTTCGGTTACCTTGGTCATTTGCAATAATTTCAACTTTACCATGTTGGAAGATACCAACACACTAAAAAGACAAATTCAAATTTAGTCAATTGGTCTTCATCGAATCTTCTAACTTACGGAGTATGTTGTGCCTAAATCAATACCAATAGCGCGGGCCATTTTTTGTTTAACTGCAGTTGTGATTGAATTAGATAAACAGTATAAAAATTTCGAATAGCAGACAATGTAAAAGACGCTTTGTGTTTAGAGTTTATATAGGGTATAGTAATTTTCTTTCTGGTGTAGTCGAGAACTTTCTCGAAGAACAGAGGAGAGAAGGAGAACGCAAAAGAAAAAAGGAAGAGAAAGAGAATCAAGAATGTTCTCCAACATGGCCGACCAAAGAGTAAAACGATGTTTTCCCCCTTTAGTCAAACTTATTCATTGAGTAAATAATTTTTTTTTGGTTTTTCCCGAAATAATTTTTCATCAATGAAACTACGAGAATTATTTCGAATTTTCAAAAAAAGTTAAACATTCAAATGATACAAAGCGGCATCTATCCGAAACAAATCGATTAAGCTTTCGAGAAAGAAACACACAATACGAACAAATCACACAACTAGTTTTCGCTTCATGTTTAGTTTTTCAATGGATAATCACATTCGAATGGAGACAAAATATGTCGGATAGCATTGTTTTGTAAGCAACCGTTGATAAACTCGTCTTTGGATAGAGATTGATTGTGATCAATGTCTAACGTACGAAAAATGTCGTAGGCAACCGATTGAGGGGACATTTGGCTGACTTTATGTGTTATTGTGAGAACTTTCTTCAGAATTTCGATCATTTCGTTTAATTCAATCGTTTGAGATTGATCGGTATCAAATAAAGAGAATGTGTAATGCAGTTTTTCCGCTGGTTCACCAGTAGATGTTAGAGCATAAGCAATAAGAAATTCTTTGAAATCAATTCGTTGGTTTCCTTAAGAAAAAAGATGTCGACTGATGAATTTCTGAAAAGTCAATACGAACCATTGTGGTCAAATGCTTGAAAAACATTCTCAGCAATGCCTTCGACATTTTTTGTCGAAGAATTCTCCAATTCTTTATAAAACTTGATAAATTGACTTTTGTTCAATTGACCATTCGGACACAGGCTGACAAATTCTCGGTACCAACCTTGAATAACGTGCGGTGTTAAATGCGTTTGTTTCATCAGATATCGATAATCATTTAACGACAAATCTTCGTCCATTGGACGTGGATGATGATTTCCCATGGTTGATTTTTTCACTAGGAAGATTTCTTCTGTTATGAGATGTCGACTGTTAGTAGGTGTTCTGGTAGGTTTTTTTTAAATACACTGTCTATCAAACATCACACTTGTAGATATACGCATAATAAAGAATTATGAGACACATCGTGTGACAGAAAGAGAGATGGAGAGAGAGGAAAAGGTAGGCGGAGATTGAACGAAGGAAAACATAAGGCTTATTAAAGTAGGAGAGCAATGAAAAGATAACAAGGCGAGAAGAACTAACTTATTCATACTTCAATAAAAATTTACGTTTTTAGTCTGAACACGCTGTAATTGATGACATCAAATAGAATAATGGAATGACGCACACTGAACATGTCGAGGATAAAATGTAAAAATTAGACTACGGGTAGTTTGTTTCAAATGATTCAAAGTTGTCTTGATGGGAAACTTGAAGTATACCGAGGAATTTATCTTGTTAAACGTAATAGTCTTTCAATTCTGGTATGTGCATTGGAACGGAGATATATACTTTTCTCGACGTGATATGCCTGCATTGCATGATGAGTTCATGTCACCGGAAGAAAATAACATGATCGATAAATATACAGAAATTTAGGTAGTTTCAAACAATCTGATTACTTTAATTACAAAAGCTACAGAGAAAAGTCTTTGTAATTAAATGATAGAACATACTCTAGGTGTTTTATACTTAATCAACCTTTTTTCATAATACAATAAATCGCCTGATGTCAATTGATCATATGATCATTGTGTAAGAGGAGTGTCTGTGATTGATGATGTTCTTGAATTATACAGTTTAGTATAAATAATCATAAGTTTTATCCTTGAGAAACAATGAAGCGATCATTGAATATAGTCCATGAGACGAGCAATATGTACCAGACATAATCATCGCGACTTTAACGTGTCAAAAAGACAGATGAGGGATAGACATGCAGGGTCAAAATTGAATCAAATCGTCTGTATAATCACCTTGATCATTAAGCATATCATTTCTTTTCTTCTCTCTTTCTCTCAGACTACTTCTTTACAAAAGAAGTTTCCTACTAGAAAAATGAGATTCATCATCAAGTACGGTCTCCTTCTCTCTATCCCTCTCCTTGTTATAACAAAAATGATATGTGTAGTGAGTGTGCGTGTATATTTGTATTTTCATAGATTATATTTCTTAACAAGGTCACATATATTTTTGTATTAGTCTCTCGTCTTATCTCTTCATATTCAGGGTTTTCTTCACCTCATACAAAAAGAAATCAGTGAGCCGTGTTTAAGAATGATGCATGAAGTGATTATCATCGATTAGAAATCTTCTCCGCTTAAATAGACGTTCCAACTAATAACGAGCAGTAAACAAATTAAGCGAGATACTTAAGCCGTAACATTTGTTTATGCAGAAACGAGAAACCATTTGATTGTATTAGCATATGGGCTGCAATAATGGTAAACAGCAGGGTGAGCAGGGAAATCAAAACAATAATAGTAATAAACGATCGACAATTAAAAAAGTACTACGTTTTCAAAAACATCGAACATCGAAGACAACGCGACCATTGAGTTACACCGAATCGACATCTCCTCATGAAGAACACAACTTTCCCATCCGACCAGTGTCCATGTTTGTTAATCTTGAACTAAGTAAGACGAGAGAAGATTTATTAGAAAAGTTGTCATGTGTATTTCTTTGAAGAAACATTAACAAATGGTTTAAATCAACCGATCAGTAATCCGAATAATCTTTCTCGTTCAACATCAACAGAATCGATTCGAACTGGTGAATATTCTTGGTAGATCTCATTCAATTTCAATCGATCATTTTTAGAATTATCACACAATGATCAAAAAAGTCTGACAACACATTCTCAACAAACATACGAAATTGAAATTAATTTATCTATCATCACCAAGTAGGTCAGTTAACAATTTCTATTCAAATATAATTACTAATATGTTTTAATTAATTCCATTTCTAGTATACAAGAAACTTCAGCTGAGGTCTTCGATGAAAATAGCTGGAAGTATTACATTCCATTAACATTCGAAAAAGTGTCGACAATTGCCTTATTAAAAGATCTGGTTTATTCAAGAGTTAATAATGAACTTCTTCATATATTAAATCGGTTGAAATCCGATGAAAGTGAAGATTTTGTCGAATGGTTTTTCGATGAATTAGAATATTTCATGTCATCCTACGACGACGATTGCAATTATAAACATAGACCTTTACTTATTCGTTCGATCGAACAAGGACGATATGATTGTTCCAAGTACCTCCTGGATCATCAGCTCTCACCAAGTAAACTCGATATAAATCTTTCCAATGATCAAGGTCGTCATTGTCTATTAATGCTTGCACATAAAAATGGGCCAATCGATATGATTGAATACTTATTAACTCGTCATATCTCGTGTCTCGATACGAATAGACTTGATTTGAATATGTTTCATTCTTTACATCACGCCTGTCGAAATTTCAATTTAGCCATAAGTGAATTAGTACTCTCACATACGAATAGAAAATCGTTGCAAATCGAAAATTCTGAATTACATACGCCACTTGACTATTGGATCGAATGTCTTTGTTCACTGAAGAAACTCAAACCAACAAATATTCAACATCATTCCGATTCACTCCGACTCGATTATTTGCTCAACGATGTCGATTATCATTCAAACGTTTCGTTCTTTCAAACGCTAATCAACCACGGTGGACAATTAACGAAAATTCCTTTACGTTATATACGGTCAATCCTACCGCAATTAACCTTCGAGCAAAAGCTGGCTTATGTCGATCATCATGTTAATCTTTGTTGTACTTTATATAAGAATCGTTTGTCAACATTGTTACATGATTATGATAATTTCAAGATTAGTATCCAAGCGGGAGAGATTCTAACAGAGTTTATTTATGCTTTAGGTACGGTTCAACTTGAAGTTCAGAGTCGCTTAGCTGCACATGCATATTCGAATGTGTATGACACGGAGGATAAGTTGATGAAAACGAAAGAACATGAGGGGTTACAATCGACAATGCGTTTGTTATATTTCAAATTTTTTCGTTTATTTCAATGTATTTATAATAATCCAGATGTCAATGTAAAGAATTTTCATTTTGAACATATTTTTCGTCGAGTTTGGGTCTATTGGAAAGAGCCTGTTCGCGCATTTATTTCTCAATGTAAGCAAAAGAATTCTTCGTTGAAGTCAATCTGTCGCATTGCTTTATTCAAACGTTTAACTCATTATCCAGCGGATATTCAGTATTTACCGATAAATCCGGTATTGAAGGAATTTGTTTCGTTTGACAACCAGTTTTTTGTAATTCGGAGAAAATATTGATTCATGTCTAATAGAACGACAGTATATTTTCTCGAATAGAAATAAACAGTTGAAAAGAGTTCAATGAAGATGTGATTTGAATACTGTACCTTAGCAGATGTCACTCGGTATCAATCTAATAGTAACTGAGGCGAGGCATACGTGAATCATGGCGATTAGAAACGAACGAAGAGATAAATCTCAGTTTTAATCATTCCAGTTGTAAAAATAACGTCAGATAAACTTATTATTAACGAGAATGAAAAAAAATTCCGTGTTTGCAAATAAGAAGGGTCCTTTAACAAATGCTTTGGGTACGCCAATCAATAGATCATCGACAACATCATCTCTTTTCGATAGTAGTCTTCAACAACAGAATCGAAATTGGCAAGCAACGCCGACGAACACACGTCGACTACCTCCTGGTCTTCATCATCAACAGTTGTTACATCCATCAAATTCAACAACAAGCATTCGAGCACATCCGACGGTTCCGACAGCGCCTATTGCTTCGAATACACCAAACACAAGCGTTGTGGCTCGTACCAAACCATGTACACTCCAAGGTCTTGTCGAAAACTTGAATGAAGTAATGAAAGTTCTTGATTAAGCTGAACATGTTCTTTCTCATTGCACTGATATTAACAGTTGCTTGCTGAATTAACCATTCCGCATTCTATACGCTATGAAACAAAGTACGGCTTCGAAGACATTCTCACTGTTCTTGACGTAAGCTTTTCTTCTTTATATTGATTTTCATGTCAAATCATCGTTTAGCATCTGGCAAATCCCATTCGATATGAAAATCAACGCTTTCAACCGTTTCCTCTCGCACCTCAACCTACGAAGCCAGGTGGAAAAGTTTCATTAACAGATCGTTGGGCATATTTAAAACACGTACTTCTTACATATCGTCTTTCCACTTCGGAACAACTATCACGGATTAAACCCGACCGTTCCATGTCCAACGAACATATTATGATTATGTTTGAATTACTAATTCAATTAACAACGTGTGTAATCAAAAGCGAACGAGAACAACAACGTATTTCCAAGAATAATTACTTAAAAGAATTCAAATTATTAATGCGGCAGATGTTCTGGGTTGGTCGGCACGATCCAGTTGTGATGGAAGAGTCCATGTACGAATTAAGACACCATATTTACGCCAAAGATAGTCTTGAAGTCGTTGATAAATTGAAACATGAAAAACAAATGCAGGAAATGAATATCGAACGCGATCAACTCAAACAACAAGTAGAATCTGTAAATTTCAAAAATAAAAACTTTCAATGGGCCATTTAGTTTGAAGTACTAAAAATCACCTTTCATGAACTTGATCAAGAATGTACAACTTTGACTAAAACCAACGATAGTGATTTGGTTGAATTGGCAAGAAAACAAGAAGAAATATCTGAAGAACAAGCTAAATTAGTCGAATTAACACAAATCGTCGAACAAAAAGGTAAAACACCCTTCTTTTATTCAAGACCAATTCTTCTACTATCAATAAATAGAAATGGATAAAAAACATTTGACTGATCGTAATCAATCTTTATCCGATCGTTTATTCACTCAGCAAACTGATGCGGAATTACAGCGTCATATCCGTTCCAATAGTGAACTCAAGCAGCAACACGAAGTTCTACTTTCTACACTTCTTCTTGAACAGCAATTACATTCCACAGCATCGAATGAACATAAACGTCTCGTCAAAGAAGTTGGTTAAATTGAATATTCAAATGAACATCTGCTTTATTTTCTTCTAGTTACAAGACGCACTTGCTAAATATCAGATTTTATTGAGCGCTTATAAACACAAAGCACCTCGTCCACCTCCATCAGCTGTCGATTTTGATTTAAGCGATGTTATAGGTGACACAACAGCGACTATTGATAATGACTCTGTCAAACAGGCACAAATAGCGATTGAAAGTTTGACGAAAGAAATCAGTACACAGGAGATCGCATTGACACAACGTCATCGAGATTTGGAGCAAGAATCTAAAACAGTAAGAATTTTTGCTCGATATCGTTTGGTAAAAGAATGATTTGTTTGATATTTAGAAAATCGAAGAACTTCAATCTGCTGAACGTGAATGGAAAGCAGCAGCTAAGAATGGACAACGTCGAGCCGCTCAACAGAACGAATTGAGTCGTTGTCAACAAGAGATTCGTTTGATCCGAACGAAAATTCTCGACATTGAACGACGAATCGAAGAGAAGAAAGCATCAACAATTGAATTGAAGAAAGACTGTGAACGAGTAATTCATTCTTCTTGAATCATTCTCTGTCTATCAGCTATCTTCTTAGATCAAATCGGGAATTGTGGAGTTAACGTCACGATTCGAAATCTTAGAGACCAATTATCTCAATAAAGACGAAGAACTGCGTCAAGAATTAACATGGTTTATCTTTGATCAAAGTCAACTGGCAAAAACATTTCGACGTGATGTCGACGAACTGAAACGTATGCAACAAGAACATATGTCCAAATTAGAAATTCATTCAGTAAAATCGTCATTTGATGAACTTTTGCAACAACAAATTAATAAATTTTATCATTATAAACACTGTGAAGATGATGAAGAAGAAGACGAAGGTTGCGACGAACAAGACAAATTAGTAAAGAAATTTGAGAAATCTCATGAACAACATGTTCTATGGTTGAAAAAGAAGAAGAAAAACGTCAAACTCACAGGCCCTGTCATGGAGCGGTTTCGTACGTTTGTTGAATCTTCTCTTCAAGAGATTAATTCTCTTTTTGATTCTAGAGGAAATCTACGATCATCTACGAAGGCTTCAATAACTCTTTTTTTGCCTCTGTCTTTCTCTCTCTCTCAATCATTGTATCAGATAAAAGAATTTAATTTATGTTTTTATAATATACTAAATATAATTTTTTCAGATTATTCGAGAAAAAAAATATGATGCAATTGACTTTCGCAGTTGTGACAGGTATTTACATGATTATCTTGTTTCGAAAATGTGAAACGCTCTTCCTCGATCATTTCGCTATGAAATCCTATTTTTTGCTCAAAAAAGATTAATCGATATGATTTTATTTCTTTTCAGTGAGTACATCTTGCTATGCAGATCCAATTAAGGATCATTCAGGACCAGCACTAATTAAATATATGGCAGAAAAGCCAAATGATACGTATGTTGTTCAATTCGTGTCTGTCGGGAAACTATTCTTGTGTCTTATTCAGTGTACAATGGATTCATCTAGCATCTACAGTTGTACCGGACAATCAAAATCATTTGAAAGTAGGAAGAAGAGTTTACTGTATTGAAAAACGTTTCGCTTGGCGAGTTCTGTAGGAAACATTGTTGAAATTAAGTGACGAATTACGACCACATTTACTTTTGACTACGGGTGGGACAGGCATTAGTCCTGATGATGTTACACCAGAAGTAATTGTCTTCTTTTAATCGACGACCATTCATCGAAATGTTTAGGCAACCCGTGAAGTTATTACAAAAGAAATTCCTGGTATGTCCCAAACAATGATAGCAAAATCGTTGGCAATTACTCCAATGGCAATGATTTCAAGGTAGACTCTTCTGAAAATTTCCTTTTTGTTTCGCAATCCTAGCTAATTATATTATTTAGACCAGTGTGCGGCATATACCAGAAAACATTAATTATTAATCTACCTGGCAGTAGCAAAGGATGCGTGGTATGACTTAATTTCGAGAATGTACTGTTACATTTTTCGTTCCTTTTTTTTTGTGTAAAGGAGTGTTTAGATTTTGTCTATCCTATTCTTCGACATGCAATAGATTTAATACAGGACAAACGCTCAGAAGTTGCCGTTACTCATGCAACAATGCAACATAAGGTTCGAGGATTCTTATTTTTATTGATTATGAGAATTTTTCGAACATAATTATGCTTGTACAGACAGAGAGGAAACATCATTCTTGTGGTGAACATCATCATCATCATCATCATCAGCAGCATGGTATAATTGTTTCGATATTTGATCTGATAAAAGTATATTAATATCATCTAGCTGAGACAAGAAGAAAAGGTGAACGATTACGTCAATCTCCATTCCCAATGATATCTGTTCAAGATGCAATGAACATTATTTTCGAACAAATTGCTAAAATGCCGATCATCGATAGACCCTTGACTGGTAAATATGTCTGTTATGAACTATGTCGAACAAATAGATTATGTGATATTTTAGAATGTTTAAATTATATTTGTGCGGAAGAAATCGTAGCCAAAGAGCCTTTTCCTCCGTTTCGAGCATCGGTGAAAGATGGTTATGCTGTTCGTTTGTATTCTGACCGATCTCACGAACAAATCTATGAAATTATTGGACGTTCCGATGCCGGAGGCGAAAGTGTAAGTCAAAAACTCGAAGTGCCAATCTGGAATCTATTGACAATCATCTGTATTTCAGGAAAACATTCCATTGAACGAAGGACAATGTGTCGTGATCAATACAGGTGCCAAACTACCTGACTCTGCCAATGCTGTCATTCAAATCGAAGATACTCAAGTACATGAATGGCATCCGAAGAAAATCAATGATACCAACGAGAAAAGTATTCGTATACTAACGGAATGTTCGATGAATCAAGATGTTAGGTATGTTGAAAATGGATTCGAAGATAAGATATGCACGAAGAATCATTTTCTAGAGATATTGGAGATGATGTGAATGTTGGTGAACTCGTTTTGGGAAAAAATACATTGATAGGACCTGCTGAGTTGGGTCTTCTGGCAACGGTTGGTTTGCAAACAGTTCGAGTTTACGATAAGCCACGCGTAGTGATACTTTCGACTGGCAATGAAGTTCGTTTGATTTGTTTGGAGAAAGTGTAAAAAGATGAATTCTATCTAGTTAATGCCAGTCGATGCGCCATCGACAAATACAGGAAAAATTCGTGACAGTAACAAAATTATGCTTTTGAGTGCAGTACAAGATTTAAACATTCCCTTTGCTATTGATGGTGGCACAGCAAAAGACGAGTATGCTTATCTTTCTTTTAAATTAAAATTTTATACAAAAATTCTCTCCCTTAAAGGGAAACTTCAGTTATTCAAACATTACAATCAGCTTTTGAGTTAGGTGATGTTATTATATCAACTGGTGGAGTTTCTATGGGTGATAAGGTATGTATATTTTTGCAAAGTAATCTACAAGATGAAACTGCTCTTTAGGATTTGCTGAAATCGATTTTAGTTGATAAATTCAATGCTACTATACACTTCGGTCGTTTACAAATGAAACCAGGCAAACCGAGCACATTTGCTACGTGCGAAGTCAACGGAAAGAAAAAGGTTTTCTTTGGTTTACCAGGTATGATTTCATTCCTGTAGCTTCATCCTTCTTATTTCTTTTCAATTATTTTTAGGTAATCCTGTATCAGCTATAGTCTCATATTGGTTACTGGTTGTTCCAACTCTAAAATATATGATAGGACATCAGCAACCTCATCACCCAATCATTCGCGTTCAAGTGAGTTTATTTGCAACGAAAACAGAACAAAAAAACAAAACGTTCGTTTATTTAGCTTGATCAACCACTATCGTATCTTGATTTACGACCTGAATATCTTCGTGTTATCATCGAGTGGTCCGTAAAATCTTCGATTCCAATCGCACGTGTCATTTCATCAGGCAATCAATGTAGTTCTCGATTGCTCAGTGCCCGACGTTGTACAGGTCTTGTCCGTTTACCCAGTAAAACCGACGTGAATGCATCATTTTTTCATACTGAATCCGATGGTCATGGTCAACAAGTAGATTGTCTACTCTTGTCCTTATAATTACGATGAACACCGCGTGATAGTATCGACCTGATACGTGAAAATATTAAAATAGGCCAATTAATCCAATTAAAGGTGCCGTTTCGTTCCATTAATCACGTAGATGTAGCGAAATGCAAAGATTTATCCAAAACACCTGCGTCGGAACATTTGGCGGATGGTGTTCCTGAGTCTCTGTATGAAATCTTTGCACTACGTCAATTATATTTGTGCGAGTTTGATCGTAACGAGAAGCAAACGTCACATTTCATTGAATTAATTGGAATATTTCAATACTTTCCTTTCTAAGTTTTATACGAAAGAAAAATGAAAGCAAAGAAAAGTAAAACCGAATTATTGTTTTTTTGTACGTAATTCTTAATTTGATGATTATGAAGATCGAAATCCTCCGACTAATAATGATAAATAGGCAGATAATGCATTCGCATTCAACATATTCATATTAACAAGATTATTTGGGTTAATCAATGCATTATTATTCATATTGGAATTTGCGTTTGTATTGGAAAATTTTAGTCCCAATGGGAGTTGTGCGGGAGAAGGTTTGGCTGAATTGAGATAAATTGATGATAAACGTTGTTGACTTGTGGAAGATTTTTTCAAACCCATTGCCTTTTTAATATTTTCTTCGAATAGAATTGTGCCTTTAGCTTTGGATAAATGTGACGAATCTTCGAAACAACCACGAATATCATGAGAAATATTTGGATGAGAAATAATGAAAACTTTCAATTCAGGTGACGCCATGGCTACAAGAAAACGCTTTTCATTCATTCGAAGCTATCGAAAGCAGCAAACCTTGCAATAGATTATTTAATTTCTCGGTTTTCATTCGACTTTCATCACTGGATTGACGAGGGAAGATCAACGAAACATACACTTCAGATTGTGGACTAACTGTCTTGGTTGTAACAATCAATTCCTTGATCTGTTCGCTAACTTCCTGTTCGCTTAATTTATCGCGATTAAGATCATTTGCACCGATATGAAACATACTGAGTAACCTTCATTGTTAGCAGGAAAAGCTTCGGAAAACCACTTACATTTTCTTTGTACCGATAAAACGCGTTGTTTGAACAAATTCCAATGCTTGAGCGACACGTTTGCCACGCTAAAAATATCATCTGTAGAAAAGTAAACCGCCTTGGGCTGATTTACCATTGTTTTGATGTATGTTTTCCTTTCGACATCAAATCGAGCTGGATCTAGGTATTTCAAAGCCGAATCACCGATAAGTACACTTTCAAATGTCAAAGTGCGCTCTGCACGATATTTCACTGAATTGGTCATATTATCGAGAATTTTACTCGCTCTTCCAGTTGAATTATTGTTATTATGACTGTCTAGAACGACATGATTGTTGTTTTGAGCCATGGTGTAATTGCAGGTTGAGCTATTTGATGACAAATCTATGAAAAATCGCGTTTGATTACGCCTTCTTTTCTTTTCACATCAATACCAATACTTTCATTGTTAGCTGATGGAGAATCCGTTGGTTTCATTCGATTGATAGGTGTCATTTGTTCTGAGATAGCGATTTCATTCAATCGCCGTTGGACATATTCGCAAATTTTCGATTCCATGGTATTTTCCAGATTCAAAACTTCGTAGATGAGAAGTGTCAATTGTTGTCGAAGTTTCGAACAATTTTCGCAATGAATCGAACTCTTCGTTGTTGAATCACCTGCCCCCGTCAACGATTGATGGCTGGTTAAGGACGATTCACCTGTGGCAGTAATTAAAGGATCTTGTATAACATTAGCAAGTGCAGCATGAACAGCTTGGCTTAATGTAGAAGCTCCTTTCGCGTGACTTGTTGACAAGTCTATGATCAAAAACGGCAAATTATAGTTGAGCACGGGATGTTCATTTTACCTTGTTGTTGTCCGGTAAGAAAATGCTCGATCTGTTGATGTTCATTAATCATCAAATTATTCGAAAATGTAGTGAGATTCGTTTTCTCTTCGGATGAATGAATATTCGTCGACATAATCGTTCGAAATAGACAGAAAGATGAATGAGATACGCAGAAGAAGAAGATGAAGATCTTTTTGATAAATGTCTTAAGTTAGATCGACAAACAGTCGCATAGAACAGAATGAATGAGAGAGTGTTGAACGGCGCGAAATTGAAATTAGTTTTCTTTGACTTTATTTTTTATAGAAAAAAAAAGAAACCAAACGCACGATTTCGTTTCAGATTACAGTGCAATCGAATTGGTTTGTTTTAAAAAATGAAATCCTTTGCGTTTTTTCGGATTATCAGATAAGGATTTAATGATTGGAGAAAGACTTGCTCCGCAACTGTCGGAATATTTATGTGTTAGCAGCGTGTTGTATGTTGCTGACGCGTTCAAATGTCGTGGTTTAACCGGCAATCCTTGGGCAGGTGATGTACTCGACGAATGACGATTATCGTTTTCACACAAGCAAAAGATTTGTTTAAACGTGTCGCGAAACGCTCGTGACATGAGACAATAAAGAAGAAAGTTAACTGAATTATTTATCAAAGCTAAGATATCAAACGTATCACCTAAACAACAAATAAAATGTACTTTGAAGATTTGCAGAAGAACAATCCTTACCGAGATGTTGATAAATATCGGAATAATACTTCGACTTAGTTTTAGACAAAAACGCTAATAATAAAATTGCACCTTGAGGTAGTTCCGTAACCAGAAATAATACACAGACGATAACTAACATTAAAGTTGTTCGGCGATTTTCATTTTCACGTTTTCGGCCTCGAATCCGTCCACCATTGGATGACGAAGTTGTCGTCGTTGATGAATGTCGATGTGCTTTCTCAGATTGCCGTAACGCATTTCTTAACTGTTGAATTAATAGAAAACTGAACAACAACAAAAGTGCACATGGAATTAACTTGAATATCACGCTATGTAAAACAAAGACAGTTTCACGTAATGACAATGATTTACTAAACGAGGTTTCTTCGAAACGATAAAAGACGATTTGTTTAATAGGCTCCGATGATGTGTCATTTTGATAGGCTTTCACAATATGATGTCCAACATACGATGGAATACAAAGTGTCGTTGATAAAAGAACAACCATACTAACACCGAATAAAGCTCGTTCAGGCGAGGAAACATACGCGGATAAAGTTTTACAATTAAGAAATACGTAGCGAAAAGCGGCGAGAAACACTGTCAACCTAAAAATAAAAATTTATTAATTATTTATGAGCGAAGAAGACTCTCTGTAGTTGATGTGAATTATGTATTTCTACGTGTTAATTATATGCTGCCTTTTCTTTGCAATAAAAAATAATAAAATGAATATCTGCATGGAAAAATCATCTTTCTGATGAATTAACGTAATCACTTACCCTTTAGTTCATGTGATTACTTCATTTATCGTCCCGGAATACGTGTTGTCGCGAAACTGGGTGCTTTTTTTGCGAATCATTCTGTCTCCTTGTCATCTCAATGCACTTTCCATGTCGTGATAAGAAAGACTTTGCAACGACGGAAAATCTCGAAGTATTCAATATTTTTCAAGCGGAAGAGACTAAATCTTTTGCACGGACGTCGGTAAAGAATATCCAGCTTATGAATAAACGACGAACAGTCCTGATTAATCTAGTATTTTTCAACAAACTTATCAAACTTCTTCGCAATCACAGTTGCAGAAATGTCCCTTTTCCCTTCGAGAACGTGATGAATCTGACGCAGCGATCGGAAATGTCAATTCATACTAATTTCCTTTTCAAATTTGAAAAGACGTGAATTGTACACATTGCTCAACTTTTAAGTAATTAATAAATGACAATTCTTTTCAAGACAGATTAATCTATATCATGAGACTTACCATGTACTTATACAATGTAGTGTCAACGTGAAAAGCATATGTATCATGTAGAACTGGACTTGAAAGTACGAGGTTGGATCTGGTTCACTTTTCAATTCACTCGAAGGCAAACAATAAAATATAATAACAGCCGGTAAAACAAATAACATCTTTAATAAATCAGATAGTGCTAACGAAGTGAGAATCGTGTTTGTTGATGAACGCATTAATGGACGCGTTAATACAATAATATTAAATAAATTACATGTTAAACCAAATATACAGACAAAGCTTGATATTATTCCATGATAATCACGATAGAGAAGTCGATAGCGAACAAGTGAACTAATGTTTTCATTGAAACCATATGGAAGAACAGTGGACTCGTCTGAGATGAGTATTGATTCGGTGATATTAGCAATGATGAGTTGAACAATGGTTGAAGTCGAGTACGAACGATTTGTGAACATTGAAGGCGATGAACGTAATGACATAATGTCAAGAAATGAGTTAATATAGAGTGCTAAACATAAAAGATGACATTTATCTTGGATGAAGGAAGAGAAAGGTAAATGCATCAATCTATGATTTTGCTATAGAAAAAGAGCATAATGTAATTCCGGGTTACTTAGAAAATAAGCTGCTAATCTGTCTGGCCTCTTTCTCTTCTTTCTGTATAACGCATTCTTATGCTTTTTTCCCTCTCTGTTGCGTTTTTCTCTTTTGCCGATGGCATAGCGGAACTTTGATCGACAGGATTAATGTGAATAACAGCAATACAAAGCAATAACGCAAAGAGTGCCTCCGCCGCTGTTATACATTGTTTATAGAAGTCTTAACATTCTTTGACAGATCATATTGGTAAATTACTATAAACAGATTGGGTAATGCAATAAATGTTTGATAGACAAATGTTTCTGTAGAGAAAAGCGGCAGATGATTCTAACATGTTTTGCCCTAGTTCTGATGATTTCATATTTTTAGAACCTAAGCGAACGGTCGGGAGTGGAAGATTAAAACAAGCAAATTATGAGTATAAATAAATATTGATTGAACGGTAAATAGTAATTTGGTTCGAATGATTAGGAAATGACGGTAGAGAGAAGTTTTCTACATGACTAATGATTAATTCAGAGTAAATGTTGCTGTTAATGTAATATACACAACGATGAAGACTTGCACTCCATGATATGTAAAGAAACTTGACTTTCTCGACCGACTGATGTATTTGACGTGCTTTCCAATCAACAAAGAAGCAAGTTTAATATTCATCTCACATAGTAAATCACACTACGATTTGTTCTACACTGCTTTGACAAGTAAATACTTACGTTGAAGAAACCCGTCTTCCACGGATCCGCTGATCATTATTGTAGAAACAAGAGAGTAAGTAAACAAAGAAAATGTTTGATGTTCTCACACAAAAGATGAAACAAAACTGAATCAGAAAAAGAGGACATGGAATATTGCCACTCTCTCGACTTTTTTTTATTAACCAAACGGACAACACTCAAGACAACAAGTGTTATATTGACAAAAAAGAAACTCGTTTCACGCCAAGTTTTCCTCGATTTTTGGACGGCCGCGAGAAAGAAGAAAAAAAACCTATGACAGTCAAGGCGCTCCATAATTATCGTCAATCTCCAGCCAAATGATTGAGACATATGCACCGAAGTATTCAGTTTCGAGATCGCTGAGAACAACAACTCAACTGAAAACTACTCGTTGATGTCATATATCCAAACATCAACTTCCAAAGAAGCAAAAGATTGGAATGAGACCGAACGAATGTAATTCTCTGATGGGCGCTTAAAAGAGGAAGAATCTAATGAGATTGGCGATGATCGCACGTACTCGTTGATTTCTTCTATTTATTAGATTCTCATCCGTCAATCTATTCGATTTGAAATCGACTTGTGAATGAAAGAAAGACTTTTTTTCGCTTAATTTTCATATTGGCAAACTGAACGGAAGAAAACAAATGATGTATGATAAACTAAATCAGAAAAAAATCCATTAAGACTACTTAAAATGCTTTCATTCTCTTCGTTCATCTGATTATTGACATATGCGCGGCGAGAAGACATCGAGTGTAGTGAGTTATTTATTTTCGAGTGAAATTTTGTAATTGCTTTTGTGCAAAGATACCAAAAATAGCAAAACGCTCTCGTTTATGGAAAGGTTCTCCCACTAACTTAAATTTATGAGAGTAAACTGATTAAAGTAACTGTTTGTCAGCTATCAACGAAATGTAATTAACAGTTCAAAAGGTCTTCATTGTATACTGTGGATATTCTTGAGAAGCAATCAAACTTTGCTAATCAATTCCTATAATTCCAAGTCATTGTCTGTGGAAAAAAACGATGAAAGTCTATTTTCACTGATCTATTTACTTCTTTAAAAAAAGGGTTAATATATCTAATCTCGTCTAATCTTTCATTCAGTTCTCAATCAAATCATTTCATGAACTACTCTTCATAATACCTGTAAACACGAGTATTACATATTCGTTACTGTGACGTAAGGATTTGCTCATCAACGAAAGCTCATACTAAGTAACATCGTCATATATATGAAATAGAATTTTTTCATGCTTGTTAAAACAAGAATTTTTACGGAAATCTATTTAGTCTATTATATTAAAACATCATTCAACAAGAAGCACAAGAAAATGTCAAATGACACCAAGTCAAAAAAAAAAGTATTCTTCTGCCTACTTGTTGTCAGCGAATGAAACCATGAATACCATTTAATTTGTAAAGAATATTATCAATCCTGATCTCGCACGAGAACAAAAAAACAACATTTGTTACAGCATTGTATTCTTGAAAAAGAACGCCGAAACAACGCGAGCACTTGGCGAAGAGAAAACGTAAATCTATTCTAATCTAATGAAAGTTCCCAAAGAAATTCATCACTATTCTATTAACTCCGGCATGTATTTTTTTCTCGTGCAAAGATATTTTTATCTTGAAATTTGAAAATCCCTACCTTATGAATAAATTATCATATGATCTTCTTGCAAGCCAGCTCATCCAAATCTACTTCTCGTTTCCGTTGATAGAAATTCAAAGAATTGCCGTTCGTTAGCCTGTCAGGATCAATCGATTACTCTTTTCAAATACTTTCGCTTTCAATAGACTTCCTGTGTATCATTACTGAGTGAGCTGTAGTTTAAAACTTCGTCGCATGATGATGATGATGAGCGTTTTGTCCGTTGTATGAGAATTCTCGATTGAAGTTGACAAAATTCAAGAGAAGAAAACGTGGACTTACCGTACAGAGAATCAATTCATGGTTTAAATCATTCAAACAAGTAAATTTCTTCTCGATTGAAGCATGTTGTAATATTCTCTAATTTCTCATTATTTTCTACACTTGCTTCTCATCTCGAGCATTGAAAATAACAAGTGTAACAGACCAAAAAATAAAATAGATTTCTCCATCTCGTTATTTCTTTTTTTTTCCTACTTCCTCAACATTCTCAATAGTTCTTATATGTCATTCTCTATTTTCTTTTGTCTTGTACACTTAGAAAAGTCTTATGATTTGCCATCGTATTCACCGCTTTACTGATCGACACGACATATTGATGGAACTTTTTGTAACACAATATAGAAAATTAGATGACAATTACCTAGTCGAAGGAAAAAAAAACACATGGGAACGCACGAGCTCGTCTATTACTTCGAGATATTTCGGCTTTGACTTGTGTTTTTTTTTATGCAAAAATCACTAGTTCTTTGTTTTTCATCATTTGATTGCTTACTTGCGTGTTTGGGAATTTGATCATTAAATAGAATATTCATGTAACAAAAAAGCTTTTCCACCCGAAGAAAAATTACTCTCAAAGTTGGAAAAGACGAATGACAGGAAAGTATTGGATTAATTTGACGCAATATACGTTCCGTTGCATCTTTTCATCCAAATATATCAGTTCTCAGCATCGAGACTGGCCAAGATCAGGAATTTCAACCTGTTCGCTTTTATCAAGATTCGTGATTTCTAGGTTCTCAGACACAATGGCGAAGTTTCTTTTTCTCAATCATTAGCACGTTTTTTACCAGTGTATTGAATGACTTTCTAAAAAGCTTTTATCGTATTTCCGATAGCGGATATTCGGCTTGTGAAAGCATTGAAACATTCACGAGGTGAAATTGACATGATGTACTTTCCTTCTGGCACTTGATTCTTCTTATCAAGTTCAGATTGAATTTATTTGTGGAAGTCTACTGATTAAGTTAAAAAAGATTCGCCTCGTGTTTCTTCGGATATTTGAGTCGAGTCTCACGATTAATAGAACAACACCGAAGAAGAAAACTAATCCGATTACATTATCTTCTCGTGTAATGAAATGTGATAAAGTATATTTCCTCTGATTAAATACTTGATGACATCTAAAACAGTGTTAGCATCGAACTAATGATATTAAAGAATTTAATGTGATTAGTAATGATATTCGAATTTCTTTTCTGTTTGATGCCGTACCATATAGATAACGAAAAGAGAAAAAGACAACTTAACGCGATTTACTATGCCAATAACTGTAAGTGAAGTAGATAAGAAGAGAGATGAAAATGACACACGTGTAGCCCAGCCAATCATAAGCATCTTGAAGAAGCATTAAGAAGAGAAAGATTTTTATATTGATCAATGGAATTAACGGTACACCTGGACAGGTGAAGAGCAGATCTTTCGAATGTTTCTTTGGACGCAATAGGCAAAAGACAACAACAACAGTGACATTCACCACTACACATACTATTACGATAATGAGATGCAGTGCGGAATTTCTGTTGAATACATAAATAAGAATAATTCCAAGAATAATTGTATTGCATACGAAGATTGACAGTAAGACAATAGCAGACAATTTCGGGCATAAATATGAATCAATTATCGAAAGACATGCACGGCATAGCGAGCGGATGGAGCGTGTTAAAAATGGATCTAGTTCTACAGTTGAACTGATATGTAGGTGTTCCTCATCGTCAGTTTTGTCACTTGTTAATTCGAATGTTTCTTCTTCTTCATTGTCACCATCATCATGAGTTAACACAATCTGATAAGATAAAGTATGATTATATCGTTCAATGAGTAGGCCTATTGATACACCAGTGTAACTAAGTAATGCAGAAATATCAGCAAAGCCAATCAAATCCTTTCGATAGACAATTGTGTATGAAATGGATCATTAAGATTTCATTTACTTTTATATCAAAGAATGTTCCAAGAAGAGCAATAACAAAGCAAACTAAACATGTAGCCATTACAGGAACATGTCGTCCTTTGTTAACATAACTTAATTTCGAAGGTAACAATCCATCGATTGACATTGCATAACTAGAATAGAAGAAAACGTAAGTGTAATTTGCCTTTCTGTTGTTCGACTTCTTTACATAGCACGAATACTGCCATATGTACCAGAAAGTAGATTTCCTCCAGCACTGAAGACAATAGCGATTGAAATAATGTAACCTGCCCATGGCCATCTCGATGCTTTATAAGCACTCGCGAACGTCGAGTCAGTGTCAATAGCGTGATATGGAGTTAAGTAAGTTAACGAGCATCCTACTAAGGAGTAGAGTAGAGTGACAATAATAAGTGAAATGACCGTTGCTTGTGGGACTGTTCGAGAAGGATTTTTTGCTTCTTCGATTGCGATTGTTGCCATTTCAAAGCCAATGTATGAGTAAAGTAATAGTGAACTACCACGAAATATGCCTTGCATTCCAAATGGGAAGAATGGCTGATAATTATGAGCATCACCGAGAATGAATCCAGTGATACCAATGAAAAGCAAAGCTGTCATATTGATTATCGTGAGACTGTTTGTTAAATACTTGGAATTTCGTAGACCAACAAGCATGGCTAAGAGAAGAAATATGGTAATAGCAAAAACTAGAAGATCAGGAGATTTAGCAAAAGGTGCATGTGCATTTGTCCATTGAAAAGTGTGGTTTGCAAGAAAAGAATTGATTTTATGATCGAAAACAGCATCGAAATAAGCGGACCATACTCGAGCACTGACACCTAATCCTGACACACCACCAATAATCGATGTGAATCCCTTTAAACGATGGAAAAAGTCGATAGAAGCAAATATTCATCTGAGCAGAAGACGATCAACTTGCCACAATAAAAGCGATTATTTCACCGATGGATTCATAGATGAATATATACGACGATCCAGCTCGTGGAATTCGTGCAGCGAATTCTGCATAACAAAGAGCACCTACAAAATGCAAACACCTCAACATCTATGTTCTATTCTTTCGAGAGAGTGATTACCAGACAGACAAGCAACACCTGCGAACAGATTAGCAATGAGAATAGCCGGTCCCGTTTGGTCTTTGGCAACGACACCTGTTAAGACATATATGCCTGATCCAACCATTCCACTTACACTCAAAAGTATCAAATCATAGAGATTCAAACATCTTAAAAGTGGTGTCTCGAGATCGTTCGTTCGCGTACATTTCTTTCGAAATAAGCTCTGAAGCAACATCGTGATTCGATCTAAAAACACTACCAAATGTAAACAAATGTCGCCAAACTGTTCACAATCGATCGCAAGTATTTACTGTGATAGTTAAAAAGTTAGTTCACAAGTGAAAATTTAGAATTCATTTTAATTCGGGTATATTTGTACTTAAGAATTAGATACATAGAACTGTTTTTGATCTCATAATAAAAGAAGAAACAATGCAAATTCATACATCACTTCTATGACACAAGAATATCTCATAGAGATGAATACGTGAGTAAATACTGATTGGGAACAGCGCACATCAAGATATTTGACAAAAAACTTTAGATTAGGTGGACATTGACGATTGTTTCGTAGGAATAAAGTAAAAACATGAAGATCTGCGCTATGAACATAAAACTTCAGCGAAAGAAAAGACAGTGAAGGAACATCAAAGCGGATATAAATGAATATATATGTATACATAACTTCATCACAGAAATACGCGTCTGAAATACTGTTGTTTGATTAGATTTTTGGTGAGTATTGTTGTCGCTGCTCAAATTCGATTTGACTGTCACTATCGGTATTCTCATGATCGTTTAAATCAATGATTGCATTGCCATTTCGTGGTTTCAATGGTTTTAATTTATGATTGTTCGATTTTATTATGACATCTCCATCTCCACCCAATACATCGTCTTCATCATCGTCGTCATCCTCTTCGTCGAGCACACTGTAACGATTGAATTCATGATGTCTTCGTCTTAAGACTGACCACACAAAAGCGGATTGAAGAAAAAGAAAAATACACGATAGTAATCCAAGCCAGATGAAAATAACCGTTATAATCAATATATGACCGTGCGATGCTGTCCATTTCCAATATGGATCATCTGACGGAAAATAAAGTATAAAACCAGCTGCATAAAACCTGAAATGATTCAAATAAGAAACTATTTTCTTCTTTCAACACTCCTACGAACCAGGCTCCTTGTAAAAGTGTTGCAGCGATCCGACAGTAGGTTGCTAAAATTTGATTTGGACGATTGAATTCCCAGATACCAGCTAGGACGCAAAATGCAATATTGTAAACAAGTAGTGTATGAGCGTGTATGTCGATTTCGTCTCGACCGTGCAAATGAAAATGAAATAAAACACCTTCGATGGCGAATGCGAATATATTGGCAATAAAATCGATGCCTTTTGGTAAATCGTACTTGGCATGAACGAGAATTTCAATTAAAGAAGCAAAACCAAACGAGAAGAACATCGTAATGTGTTGAGCATTCACCTCCACGAATGTCCACGTTTTACGCTGTAATGTACCATCATATGGATGTTTAAGACCTGTTACAGCTTCACCTAAGATTCCAATACTGACACAGATTAATTTTAAATAGGATTCTAGCGGAATCTGTCGCATAGATGATGAGCAACACACACATGGATAGGTGGTCGTTGAACGATAACGAGTTGGCTTCCGGTTTTTCTTTGATGAGTAACGAGAATGGAAATGTCGAGTTGCGACACAGAAACCCCACCATATGGCAAATATGGCAAAGAACGTGCCTGGCAAAATATGACCCATCAATGTACCCATGATGATTTATCTGGAAAAAAAAGAAAGTGTTTCGTATTCATCATGCAGGAACGATAAGTAATTCAATTGTACGAATTGTTCTGTCGACTGCTCTCGTCCATAAAGAAAGGGAAAAAGAGAATCATACTCTTGTTGTATGACCTTTGAACTACAAATAGAAAAATTATGTGTTTCTATCGAACAATGACTCAGTTACAACTTCTGTTTGTTCTGTCGATTTGCTCTAGTACGACTGTTTCAAGCAAATATCCTTCATTGAAAACGGCATGTAAAATATGCACTATTTGTCGTTACTATTCTGAAAATGACTAATACGTACTACCAACTATCAAAATAAATATTTTCGATTCTAGTGTATTCACTAGGTAAAAGATACTTATAAATCAATCGTAATCGGTGATTACGTTGATTCATATCGACTGGTACATGTCGGCGCATTTGCGAAGATTGTCCACTCATGATCTTGATGCTTTCCATATGCTTCATGTATATATCCAAATCTACGAAGTTTAGGTCTGATGTGCTGTACATGCTCTTTATAGCGTGTCGTATCGAGAATTCCATACGGAGGGTCATGCGTTATTAAAATATCAGTTTCTGATGGGATTTGTCTCCAAATTGAATAGATTCTTTCGCTATTCCCGTTCGACATTGAATGCCCAGTCACAAAATTCTGGTTGCCATGGACTAAAAAAATGAACGAATCGTTAACTCACTTTTCATTCAAATGCATACCTTTCGCACAATTTCAATTCTGTAACTGGACCAACGTATATTTCATCTTGTAGATAAATAATTCCGAAATCGTTTCGTATTGACGAGTCTTTGAACGTATCAATAATCTTTTGACTATTTTCTTTCTGTACGAAAACTTTTCCAATGACTTTCGTAATACGTTCCGTCAAGTGTCACGTCATGATTACCAGCAATGAAAATTTTCAAGCGAAATTTCGTTAAATTCTTTCACTAATCTAAGAAGTAGTCTAATTCATCACCTTTACCCGTTCGTGATATACCACCAGGATGCAATAGAATATCACCATCTAGTAAATCGAAGCTGTAATGGGAATGAGTATCCGAAATACAGACGAGACGAGTAGATGGTCTTGGGTGGATCATTCAGTGTAGTGAAATAGAATAAGATGAGTACGTGATACGAAATAACTATCTTAAGATCTGACTCATAGATTAGATAGAATGCGGTAGAAGAAATACTCGTTGTTTTTTTCTCATGCAAATGGCATAGACGTTGCCACAACAGAGATATTTGAGATCGAAAAAGAGAAAAACGTTTGAAAAATATTGATTGATAGAGTGAGTGATACATAATCTATAAAATTCGACGGGGACATCTAAGAATTCTTGTCGCCTTCAACTGAGTATTCTCTGCCAAAGAGCTCTGCATGCGCTATGAAAAATAAACAACATGTTGTAAGAAATGTAAATTAGCAACCGATGACATCTATTCGAAACGATAATGATGATGTCGTTATCGGTTGATCTTTTCATCAGAATGCAAAAGTCGATGCTGACACAGAGCCAGTGGTTCAAGCACATTTTCATTCATTTCTAGTGCTTGTTCTTATTCTATGGATCTGTTTGTTAGTTCAATTACATCATCAATTTGAGTATGTACTGCTCAGGGTTGTAGAATGCCGAATAAGGAGTCTGTGTTTGACAATATCGTTCAAGTTCACGTTTCTGCTCCGAAGAAGCACATTAAGATCGACATTATAGAAGAAGAGAAGCATTGCAATGTATCCCAGTTGCCGCTTCTCTCACCTTCGAAGATGAAAGTTCGAAATCAATTGAAAAAGAAGAGAAATTCACTGCGAATATGTTATAATAATCAATCGAGACAAAAACAACGTTCTCGGTATGATTTCGATCGATGTTAAATATCTTTTTCTTTTTTATACTGATTGTTTCTCCCCATTCTTTTTCTAATATGTACAAAGGACTAGGAGCAGTTGGTGGTCAACAATTACGCTTCGATTTATATACTCTATTGTATGCAAATTTTCATTCAAGAATGTTATTTTCTTTGATTTGAAATGTGTCACCTGTCATTCTTCATAAAACTCGAATAGGTAAGTACCGTTTAATCGAAAAAAAAGAATAAGAGAAAAGGACAAGGATTATTCTACCCTTTCTTCTGGCGATTATGATATTTGATAGTAGTATACTTTGAACTTAAATCGCGCGCGAGTGTCAATAGTACTTTTTATTGTAATTCGATGCATTTTGACGCAGTATCAAATGGAACATCACGTTCCTTGGGCTCTTGAGGAATATATTCACGTCTCCAGTCGAAATTCGGTGAGTAATTCCCATCAGAACCATTACATGATAAATGAAATGGGGCTAATTCGTAGAATGTTTCGAGTATCGATGTAGTTAAGGGTGTCCAACGTATTGACCAATAATTTTCAAACACCGTTTTGTCTTTACTTGTCTTTGCAAAATCATATCTGAAAACGAGTCGACGTGTTTTATTCTATTTGATTTTTGTCCAAATCATAACTTACTGTTTCATAGTTTCGAAGAATTTGTCTAGTTCGTCGTCACGTACACTCGTTTTACATAGTTCAAGCTCACTGCGCGGATAATAGTGCATATAATTAACACACATTTCATCGCTAATTCCGTATCCCCCAAATGTCATGTTTGTTCGAATTTCTGTGTTGTAAATACATGTGTGTAAGATTGTATCACCTCGTTCAATTTGAATCGATTTAGGCAAAATGCGAATCTCTTGGAAATGCGGACTGTAATGTCGATCGACGTTCAAGGTCTCGATCTCTCCGGATTTCTTAACCAGACGAGTAAATGTTTGGACACCGTTTTGATGTGTGTGTAATTGTGAAGCAAATACTGTTATACCTTTGCGTGGCAATGTTGCCTTTGTACATTCACTAGCACAGTAGCCAGATATACGAAAGGATGACGCACCTGGTGGAATGGAGTTCTTCGGATTGTATTCCAGGCCGACCTCCATAATTCCGGCATCGTATTTTCGTAATTGTGGAGTGTAGTAAATTCGTATACCGGACTGATCGATAATGCCTTTCTTGAGATAAGGATTATTGAAATGTACTTCAAGGACAAGAAAACGTGAGGATTTCGGACCGCCAATCACTCCACCAGCTTCGTCGGGATAAGTGAAGTTCTCTGCACCCATTGCCCATGCACCAATGACACGTCGACATGGTGTTAAACCCATTGGTTTTTGTTCACTTGTACATCTGTCATTGAATGCTGGAATTTTCACGCTCGGATCGACGTCACAATGAAATAATTCCATATGATGAACAATCCCTTCGCTCTGTGGTGAAATAACACCATCGAAACGAATGATGTGATGTGGTTTTGCCATAACATTTCGTGGTAATTCAAATCGTGTACACCAGTAAGTTGTTTCATCGCTTGGAATATGAACGTTCTGATTGAGAAAATCAAGATGTGGTTCACTATCTGCCACCGGTTTGTAGACAACCTAGATTGATGGGAATGTATGGAGATTTTATATGATGTTAGAAGACTTACTTGACTTTTAAGTAGTTGTACACGCTGTAATGTTAATTTCATGCGTTCAACAGTAACTTCAATAGGTTTTCTTTGTTTACCATTTTGAAAATCTTCGCTGCTCATTAAGCCTGTTAATATATGTGTTGTACCATGGTCGATAATGTAGTTTCGATGCTGCTGATCGCATGTATCTAGCGGTCGAGTAATTTGTATGGAATATTTCTTTTTCCGTCCACCGTCAATCTTGACACGATTTCGTATGACATAGTTTAATTTCGGTGCGCTCCCGTCGAGTGTTAACAAACTATTTTCATCACTAAATGCACTGTAAAGTTTTTCATCACTACCAAAAATGATCATGTCTAAGTAATTCGTATTTAAATCGTGAGTTGAGAATGCAAATAAACCACTTTGGCCCGTTGGAATCGTAATGTTCCAGAGAAGAATCAGTTGCGTTTCATCATTCTCATCATAATCCCATTCTAGTGTGCTTTCGAATGGTTCTGCTAAACCTACTGCATACCTTAATTGATTTTCGTCATTCGATTGTCTTCGTTGAAAATTCGCACAGAGGCTAACTTCGATAAGAAATGCAATTGAGAAAATTTGTAAAGACAACATTTTATCTCTGAGTACTCTGGTGTGTGTGCACAACTTTTTATATCTCCTGATTTGAGGAAATAAAAGAAAACGACGAAGAAAGATTGTTTCCTTTTATGATTGCCTACGATTATCAGTTAATCAGAATTCAATGAGATCAAACACGACAATAAAACTTCAGGAACTAACATGTTTTTCCTATTATTATTATTATTAATTTGCTTTTTTTTTGTTTCGTCCTGCTGTTCTCTATTTGCATACGCACATCTAACATCCGGTTAGAAGGAAGCAGAATCAATCATGTCTTCAACTTTCGAAATTTCTCTGCAAAAGTCTGCAGAATAAAATCGAGATCCGAAAGGTGACGGTAAAATCGTTGATTAACTGATTATATTTCACGTTGGCGTGTATTTACAGACATCAAAATACATCCATCATTGATTCAAGTAGCATTCATTTACTTAAATATATTCCGAACTACACGTCTTTTGTGTTGTATTTGATGAAAAACGTGTGATCAGCAGTCGAAATAACAAAATAAAGGGCATATGTATGTGCACGTAAAAAAACCTTCTTAGACATATTTATATTCATGATTGGTTGTAAGAAGAGAAAGAATCAACAATAAAATCTGAGAGAAAACTGCTCGTCTCTCGAATAAGTTCTCATATTTTGAAGAGACTACCACCGTTTAATCGTTTTTTCTTTTCAAAAAAAAAAAAGAAAGAAAAAAAAAGAAGAGAAAGATATTTATTTAGGAAATAAATAAAGCGCAAGAATTTTCGAAGTGTAAAACATTGTTTATTAATAGTAGGAAAGAAAATAATCAACACTTGATGATTTTTTCCGATTTGCATTTTACTTCAATCAATTTCAAAGACTTTTCATAACCTCTGCTCGTCTTTTTTCATTTAGAATCCTACCAAACGTCTTCGCACTTTCAATTTACTCATGATTATGATTAATACCAACAAAAACTAAACACAAGTTAATCCATGAGAGGATAAAAAAAGCCAACCCTTCAATTTTCTTTCTTTTCAACTATGATTTACAAAGATCGATTAACTCCTCCGCCGAATTGGCCACCATTAGTTCGCTATCCGAATTATTATTATCCCGATCGTGTAAGTAGATGTTTTTCTATTTCATTTCGAATTAACTGCCGATCTACTTCATTTACTAAAATACATAATAACAAGTTTGAAGACAGAAAAACACTGCGAAGCTCGAGGATGAATTCACGCGGAAAATACATTCGAACACATCCATGAAAATACGACTTAAGTACCCGAAAAAATCTCCAAATAAATATTCACACTAATTTTTCACAGCAATCTATCATATGAAGTGCGATCGATCGTCATCAAATCTTCCTTTTTCTCCGTTCTGAAGAAAAACAGCGTCTCTTTTTTTTTCAATTTTTTTCGCTTGTTGTCTTATACGTTTTAAGTGAGCGTGAACAGACTAAAAATTGTTAAGAGTACACAAGCATATATATGTCTGCCGCAAACTTTTGAGACGACTTGAAATGACTTTAAAGTAAACGGCAAGAAGACCAGTTGTAAGATAAACATACACAAAGAGACATTATTTGTGCTAACAAACGAAACGACATATACTTATGGCAAGAAAGATTATTTTTTATAAGCTTTTTTTTGATTATCTTTTCATTTTTCTAGCGTTTAAGTATTCTTTGGTTTCTTATATTTGCTGCACTTGCATTAGTATTAAGTGTTATTGCATTAATTATTGTTTTTGCTGTTGAATCGGCTTGGTTTCATGATAATTTCGAAAATTCCTTAGTAAATTACGGTCTGTGGCGGTTATGCTTCTTCGGTAATGGTACTTGTGCAAGTTGGTTCTCAGCGGATGGAACAGTTGGCGCTCGTGTTGATCGACGTCTTAGTCAATCGAAAGGTAAAGACGAAATCGAAAGTATGCATAAGCATTTTCTTCTTTGTGTTTATCAGCGGGTATCAACGCATGGCAAGCGCTGGAGATTATTTTTCTATTTCTTATCACAGCAACATTGATTATCACCATCGCTTCGATCATATGCTTTCGTGTAAGAAGTAGTCTTCATTATTATTTAGCTATTCTTGCGGTCTTTTGTGTTTGGCCTGCAGGTGAGTAATGAAAATACTAAACCGAATAAGTTTAATTCGTGTGATGTTTTAGCAACTGTTGGTGTGTCTGTATTATTTGTGTTCGGTTTTGCTGTATATAATGTTTCGACACAACCACGAGAATTAGACTGGTGTTTCTATGTGAATCTAGTAGCTGTGATTCTTGCCGTTATTGCAGCGATACTTCTATCAATTTATGATGCACTTCTGAAAAAACCGATTAAGTAAGTTTGATATTAATAGTTCTTGAGTATTTTATCCATTTACAATAGAAATATCGATGATGAGACAGTTGTTGAAACATTCGCCGATATCAATGCTTACCCAGCAGCTTTAAGTCCATCAACATTTGTTGTTGTGAGACGTAATAAACGTAATCGGCATAAACCTTATAGTTATTCTCAAACACTTCATCCGAACTATTACCTTCCAACAACCACGAATCGAGTGATCACAAGTGAACAAAATAATCAAATGCTCACACCTTACACCTCGATTACTACACATGAAACAAATTCCAATCTACAACGTACACCATCGATTCCGAATCGAACTGTTGAATATCGTACGAATATATACCCATCGTCCTCGTCAACCACAGTCACTCATCCACCTTCCATCCCAATATCGACTCAATTTTATCGACCACCATCGACAAGTTATCAATACCAAACACAATCATTTCCGATCCAAGGCGAGACAATCAACCGTACCGTAGGTTCCAATTCCGAACTGAATAATGACTACAATCAGCATGACTTTTACAATCCGATTCGAACAAATATTATTGAGCAAAAATCTGAACCACGTGTCTTACACTACTATACAGGTTATGATTATTTTGCGACAGTAGACCCCGTGGATGCTGTTGCAACAAGACGACATCATGGTCCTTCGACGGTAAGACCTGGGACGGCAATCAGATATCCTTCCAATCGTTCCTATCATTCAAGTGATTACATAAAGAGTTCAATGTAAAAACAAAGATGATAGAACACCTTTGCATTAGATGTACAGTAGACATGCAGTCGAATCGTATCGTCTATGTTGGATGCTTTTGGCAATTTTTCAGTTCTTTTTTTCTCTTCTATGATATCATCTCATCTTTTATCACTTTATTTGCTAAAACAAAATTTTTGGGGAAATGTTTTTTCTTTTGCTATATTTATGTACGCTTATTTTGAAAATCTTAGATGAAGAGGAACCAATCTTCTCTTCAATTCCATTTTGGTATTTTTCTTCAAATAAAAAAAAAACAAACTTTGCTTCATCACGACCTTTCTATCTTGCTAACACAAATGTATAATAAAACAAAACCAAATCTCATCTTGTATTCATTGCACTTCAATACATTTGTCCCACATATTTTCCTACTGAATAAACTTGAGATTAATGCTTAACATATTTCTACCAATAATAAACAAGTCAACATGTGATTCATCTTTCTTCAAACGTATGGATGTCTTAATTACGAATTTGCATTGCACTTGAATAATTCTATCGTTTATTCATTCTCATCAATGGTTTGTACATACAACAGCACAACATATACATCCTAATGTCACAAATCAGCTTGATTAAAAATAATACAAAAGAAAAATATCACATATTTTCTTGTTCAGTGGAAAGACAAAAAATGATTTAACTCTCGAGTAGTTTTCTTTTGATTTCATCGAAGTCAGACTGAAGAGACATCGTTAACTTCCTTAATTCATGATGAACACGCGCATTCGCTTTTTCGAAAACATCACGGAGTTCATCGGTTTTACGCATCAAACGAGTATGATCATTTTCTTGTAGCAGCGGTTCACCAGCTCGATCGATATGATGTCGATAGTATCCAACTTCACAAGTGACGAACTCTCGTGTTGCATGATGTTTGTGGCTTCGTGCTGACTGAATAGTACTTTGCAGTTGATTGTTACTATTTCGATATGGTAAAACAATCGTTGATTGAGGAAGATCGACACGTGGTGTACGTAGTTCTAATTTCCAGAGATAGTATTTCTTGATTCCATGAATTTGTGTGACATGATTTTGAAATCGTGGAAAGAACGAACGTTTGGATAATGCTAGAACCAATCGAGAGCACGTCTCGCAGAGTAAACCGAATTTTGCTTGTAGACCAAGACAGGTTTCGATTCGTGCACGTAGATGTTCACGTTTTGCATTCAAACGAAAGCGTTTTACATCTGAAACTGCTAAACCGACCTAAGAGAAAATACATAAATCAAACAATGATAACATTTGAGCGAGAAGAGACCACTCATACCATGATATTCATAATAACGATATTCATTGTAAATACAAATGTTGAATAGAGTACCATGGCTGCTTCACTACCTTGCAAAACTTTTCCATGTGGAAAAAATAAATCGTCAAAATCATATTCGCCTGTTAACATGGCTAATGTCTTCGGTATCGAATAAAACACCGAGGTAAACTGAGGCTTCTTGTGTACGAATAACATATGAAATGCAATGATGTATCCAATCCAAATAAAGACATAAATGAGACAAAACTTTAAAAATGTCAAAAATACACTGACAAATAATAAACCATATTTGCCTATTTTTAATGCATTCATGAAAACAAGTAATAGCAATGTCCATACACTAGCCATGCCGAGCGCACCGGCTTCCCATTGCCATTTACAACGGAGGCCTGTACGTTGTGAACAATAGTTGAGATCCATTGCAAATAGAATTGCACAGATGTAGGTATGTAATTCTAGGACATTGACGAAAAATCCACGAAAATATTTCTCGCGTTGGGTTATCAATTGAACGAATTCTTTCAGTAGTGCAATACCAGAGCAAAGCAATAGAAGGGCACGGAGAAATCCTAAAAAACACAGATATACTTTCCGACAAAATTTTAAGTGAAACGAAGAAAACTTACGAAGAAGAATATTGCCTGGTAGCGGATCGAATGGATCGGTGGTTAACTTATCACATAATTCTTTACAAGTGACATTCAATGAATCATAATACGAACGTGGTGGTGTCGGCGAACCTAACGCAACACCTGTATATAGAATGACGAAGAATATTTGTGCACATAGGATTAATAAATATAGAAAATTTCCAAATAATTGAAATTTTAAATCAACACATATTTTCACTACGTCATGATCATAAACTGGTGCGTGATTCGCTTCGGCTATTAGAGATAATGGATGTTGTTTCAGCCAGTTCGATGTTGAAAATCGTTTCGAACGACCAAAGATACAACGATTGTGAGATGGACGTGCTCGTAAACAATCGTCAACAACGGATAGATCGATACCATCTTCGCCAACAAATTGTTCGAGTAACAATGGAACTAATGGCAGCATTTCCGTCTAAGGGAAAGAATTTATTTCACTTGTCTTTCTCCAGTTACTAATGAGACTTACCATGGTTAACATACGTTGTACAGGTGTTTGGTCATAGTTTGAGCCGGAATAAGCAACATTGTAATGTTTTAAGAAGTTCTTATACGCTCGATAAAGTTCTCGTTCGTCTCCAGGAATCCGCACACTAATGAATGTTCGAACAAAATCGGGCTTTTTCAATGCTATTGAATATTCGAGGACATTGTAAGCACGGCCGTTGACATCAATTTGTATTTGAATAATTGCCGCGAAACGTCGTGTGTCCGAAACAAAAAATGATGCGATATCTAATTGATCTTTGTCAATTGTTGTTTTTAATGAGTCTGCATTGATAAAATCAGTGACATCAACATTTCGATGTAACCATTTACTGCTTAAGATATATTTAATACATTTTAATGATCCTTTTTCAACCGCGATGACAAATGGAGTTTTTCCATTGGAATTTTTTTCAATTAATCGTTGAAGAGCCTAACAGTTTGTTTAGAACGACAATTAGAAAGTCAGGTATTTTGATTTCAGCACAACTTACCGTGCCTCTGGCAGCACTGGAACTCAATCGTTTCAATAATGATATCGCACGACTTAACACAATATCATTTTGTTGTTCTGTCGCATAATGAAAAACACTTGAACCAATATTATCTTTACACGTTAATGATAATGGATCTTGCTCCATCAGCAACGTCGCTGTTGATGTTGCTCCGGCTTCAATAGCACAAAGTAGTGGAATTTGGCCACGTGTGTTTAATAAAACGCTAGCATGCGATGTCTCAGTAATTAACATTCGCATAATTTCCTCGTGACCCAATCGAGCAGCTAAGTGGAGCAATGTTTGCCCTTGAGATTCGCCTGTATCAAAACTTCCTTCATGTTTCGATGTAATAGGTGCATGATCAACTGTATTAGACGCTGACTGTCCACCGGGTACGTCAATAATCGGAGCGGTGACGATAGCCGATACAGTTGGATGTTGATTTTGTACAATACCTTCTTGAATACGAGCTAGTCGTTCTTGAAATTGCTTCTGTTGACGATTGCGAACAAAGGCTGAACGACGTTCAAAAGGTCGATCATCTTCATCCCACTCGAGTAAACTGTCAATAACTGGCTGCGGTGGACTAATACGAACTGATGGTATCGGTTTGCCAACTGATAGTTTATTGTCACTAGACGCTGATGCTTGTTCAATTAGAGGAGTATCTGGTACTGATTGAGAGATTTTATCACTTCGAGCAATCGAATCACTATTGGAGGATGTTAACGGCTTATGGGCACGAGATTGTTTCGGCGGAATGATAAAGATTTGAGTGGGCATGAGAACCTAGTTGATAAACAGACAACAGTTCATTATAATCGAAAACCAATCGATTATTGTCGATGTATTAAGTTACTCATGAATGTCGAACTATATCGTCCAAGAATGTTTATTTTGTAACATGATCATTCAATAATTTTTCTAGTATTTCACTATCAATATCATACAGTTAACAGCTACGCTGATGTTTGTTTCCTCCCTATTCACTCTGATCATGTGTTTATCTTTAAGAAAATATATGTCATCGCGTTAAATCAAGCACATAGACAACATAAAGAACAACATCTGGACAATTTTTTCTTAATTAATTCTATCTGTTTACGACTAACTATGTGAACTTATCGGAGATATGTTGAAGAGAAAGAGACGAGCATTACTTACACCGCGTGCCACTGTATATTTCTGATGCTTGCTCATAATGAAGTGTTTCTATGCAAACTTTTTATAGAATATAAATCATCAATGTAAGGAGAAACAAGATTCATTAGCATGCAACATACAAATAATGATTGTCTTAGAAAAAATCGCGGATAAGAAGAAGAGTGCATTGAATAATCGTCTAAACACACGTTACACTCAATAACTGATTGCTTCCTTTGCTTTTTTTTGTATTTTTCTTTGCGCTTTTTTATTTCAATGGAAAGAGCACGAAGAAAAAGAAAAAAAAAAGAAACGAATGGCATTACGTATACGTACTCACAAGAAAGAACAAGCAGAAAGAAAATAGAAGATTTTTTTTCCTTCTCTTTCGACTCGACTTTTTTTCTCTGCCTTATCCAACTGTCCCTTTTGTAGGCTTTCTCATTAAGACAAGTAACTCGAATACATCGACATATACGTCCGTGCGCTGTTCGTTGATTTAACTCAACCTAATCTTCTCTTTACATTGATAAGAACTGTAGTTAAACTTATTTTGCTTATATATCTATCTTCATGTTGAAGAAAAAGGTCTTTTTCGAATGAAGAGAGTGGTAAGATTCAACCGACATGTCTTTTTCTCTGGTATTTATCACGGTATTGAATGTTCCATGCACAAATTCCTTCTGCTTACATATTCACAAGATAGTAACCAGAGAAAAATATTTAGCGAACGTAGTTTTAATTGAATGAATCCATTTGGGATTCAGTTTTATTCCATTTATCGAGAAATGTATGTACAGCTGAGTTAAGCTATCGAAGAGAATAATTGTCGATAGAATATGTTTATTATTCTGTTTTCGTATCCGTCGGGAAACAACAATAACAAGAAGGAGAGAAAGATCGTTCTTAGTTCTCGATATTCAGTTCGTTTTGTTTTCCAAACTATTTAAAATCATTCTGAAGAACAAAGAATATCTCTGCATGTGTATGTGGAGAAAATCAAATAAGACAGTGAAGAAAAACCGAAAACATCAATAGAGAAAATTTTATATAGCTGCCATTGGATCCGAAGTTTGAGTTTGGCGTCGTTCGATCGAAGTTGATGAGCGTTATACTTTACTAGGTCGTTTTGTCGTCAATCATCGGTATTTCTTCTCGCTCATTCGATGAATTCATATCTACAGTTATTGTTTGTGTTGCTCGTCTTGGCCAAAGCATTGCTTGAATATGTCGTAGAGGTGTTCGATATTGTCGACCTTGAACAGCACCGATGGTTTGACGACGTCGTAGTGCGTTGGTTTTTCTTGATGATTGATTTAAAATGGGTGTGCTTGGACGGATAGAATCAAATGGCACTGAATTTTCACGTTCATCATCATTCCATTCGTCATCATCAACATCGGGCTGCATAGGAGAGAGATATACATATATAGATATAGAAATATTTACAAAATGTTTGATTAGTTAGTCAGCAGAAAGCAGATTGTCATATGATAGTTAATAATTAGAATCAAACGTAAAGATTAAAATTAAACATGCACACATGCAGCGAATAGCCCATTGATCAGTGATTAACGATAACCAACACCGGTTGACGTTTTTCTGTTTCGATGAATAAGAACAGCGACTTACATTTATATGTATTTACAACTTCATTTCTTTCTATAAAATCGAGAGAATTGTTTACTATTTTCGAAATGATTCATCTAGTCCGTTGTTTATCTTATAGAATCTTTGATTATTGCGTGAAGAAGGAAAAGCGACGGAGTAATGTCGAAGAAAGTTCTTGTTATTCAACATTCATCAGGCGTTCGTCCTGCCTATGTTACAGAATTCTTCGCGCAACATCAAATACCATTCCAAATCCTACATATCTACGATCCTGAATGTGAACTCGACCTTCCTGATTGTCAAACAACGGATTATCTAGCTATTGTCAGTCTCGGAGGTCCACAAGGTACTTATGAAGATGACGAATATCCATATTTAAAATGGGAAAAGTCGTTTCTTGCTGCTCAACTTGCTCTCGAAACACCTATACTTGGCCTATGTCTCGGCGCACAACTCCTTGCTGATGTCATTGGTGGACGTGGCCATTTAGGAAAATATGGTTACGAAGTTGGATATGTTCAGTACACCCTCACCCGCGAAGGTAAACAAGATCCAATTTTTTCTAAACTGTTCGAAGAACAAGAAAATCAACCGTTCCTAATTATGCATCATCAAGATTCGTTTGATTTACCACCGGATGCCTCTCTTTTATCTTACACATCAAATAACTACACAGCCGCATTTCGATTCGGTTCTGCGTATGCAGTGCAGTTCCACCCCGAAGCATCTTTTACTGAATTTAACGAATGGGTACAACGAAAACTATCCAAGCAACCAGCCGCATATAAAAACCTCGATATCGATGAAATCTTACGTCAAGCGCAAGAAAACGAGCCAAAAGCGAAAGAATCTAGAAGATTATTCTTTGAAACATGGTGGAACTTGATTGCCAAAGTCTAAGCTTTTCTCTGCATAATAAAACGATTATTGATCGAAGAGATTTGCTGTTTTTCTAATAACTTATTTTCAATAAACATTCATCACCCTAAGTGGATCTATCTCACGCTGACAGTTCTATTAAGTACATTTACAATTACACGCGTATCTCCATTTTTTTTGCACATTGACTGTCATATTAGCATAACGAATAAGCACGCAGATTGTCGTATCAATACATCGAGAAATGCGCTTATTTTCTAAACTTCGAATGTCATCATTATAGTTGATGTACAAAAACACATGCTTGCAAAGACCATTGCTAAAGATGGTAAATATCATTTGAAGTCATTAAAGCGAACCGTTGCGTTCGTCGGCTGTATTTTTATTCAATTATGAGTGCTATTTTTGGTTGACTAGATGATAATTGTGAGAATATCACAAGACAAACATTGCTGATAATAGAAAAATGACTAGTGCATGTATGTATAGAAGTCAAAACAAAGGGGCATGAGCAAACAAATCAATGGAGAGCATACAGCGAATCAAACGAGGTGCCAATCAATAAAAGACATCTAATCAATATGTGATATGACTTACTAAACTGATTGCATCGGTGGGCATTGCTAATTCATCGAGTCCAGTTGTCGCAGTCGCCAGCGAAGTGACACGTTTACTTGTGCTTTGTTGAGCGTTCGAAGCAGATGGATTGTGTCGATCATTCCTTCCCCATCTTAATCGATTCACATTTTTGAAAATATTCTTTGATTTTTTCGATAAACTTCCCGTTGTTGTTCCGCCTACAGCTAAACTGCTACCCGATAATCCAGCATTCTGATGTCCACTAGTTAATCCAGTTGTCGAATGACTTATTGCATCTTCCATCTGTTGCTGATCGAAACTATTCATTCGCCGAGCAGATGCCGGTCGATGTTTGTTGGTGTCACTTAAAGTTCGTGGTAATTTTCTCTTCGCTTTCAAAATAATATTCTTTCGTGCTTTGATGCATCGAATATACTCTTCACCAGTAGCGTGAAGAATTGGTATACTACCAATCGATGCAATATTCGTATTCGTATCCCCATAGCAGGCTAATTGACTAAAATCTGTTTGCTCGGTATTCCCACTCTGTAATTGTGAAACAGGATCGATAATCACGTGAATGATTTCTCTCCAAGCTATATGAGGTTGCCAATCGGGATTTGTGGAATTCTGATAGGTTTTGTACATAGTTGTTTTCATGTTGGTCATTAATTGATCAAAAACATTCGCTAAATTTCGAACCACACAGTACGTCAGAATATTATGTCGAATATCACTGGGCTTTGTTCGACAGGAATCATAGTAAATCAAAGCGTGGTTTTTAATCAGATAATCCAATTCGATCTTGGCATTACGACGTACACAGCAAGCAAATGCGTGAACGAATATACGTTGTATAGTTGCAGAATTTTCTTCCATGAATGGATCACCGTCAACTTGATAATATCGACTTAAAGTTGTGCATAGTGCTAAGAATGTTGAACAGTTGTTTTTGATTTGTAAAACTCCATCTGAAACAAAACAAATATTTAATTTCATTTTCTGACAGACTTTTGTTTTCGTTTGACTTACCGAAACAATGTTCCAAATGTCTTTCTGCTATCGTGCCCCAACAGTGCAAATTCCGTCGTTTAAAAAATGAATCGAAGATCGTATCCATCATCATAGTCGAATCCGTCATACACGAAAGATAAAACGGAGTTTGATAGACATTAGCTAGTGCATCCGATAATGGATCACCGAATGTTTCAAAAAAGTAATAATCAACTTGCATATACAGGGATTGGCCAGTTTCTGAACTTAAGCGGTATTTAACAATAACTTCCCATGTCACGTCACTACGTTTACGTGAAGATATCACATCACCATCTGGATATAAGATCGTTGGGCGACAACCGAGTGCATTTTCTAATTCAATGAAATGTTCTTCGATATTTTCACGTAGAAGGTGAAAATCCCAACGTGGGTATTGAAGGAAAATATCTCGAAGAACGAGAACAGTTAAAAAGCAACGAACACTGATAGGTGTTTCTGTGGCATGACCATCATCGGATGCCACTGACTCATCATTTTTCGATGTGTTCAATGTAACAGATGAGCCCGACATGGCGCCCGAAACCGGTTTAACATCTTGATGTACAATAAAACCATCGAATTGATAGAATATAAATGCAGATGGTCCCTCGGTTTCAGTATCACGATAGACTAGAACATGTTGAAATGATGCATAGTCTCTCTTGTGCATATAATCAAGTACACGATTGAGTATGCATTCATGATTGAGACCATCGAATTCCACAAGATGTGAATCAAGTAGAATTTTCACAACTTCCTCATAATCAGCTTTCTCGCCGAACGTTGCTATACATGCCAGAGTTAATGGTGAGGGAATTAGCATTTGTTTTGTATCAGTACCATGAATAATCTTTTCAATAAATTCTTCACGTTGAATCAATGGCAATGAACTTAATTCGAGTTCATCAGCATCAGGAATGTCATTATCATTGGTACTATTATTCGCCGTGCCAATACTTTGATGATCGTCTGTTGCATTATTTGTCGCTAATGATGGTTGATCTCGTGCTGTTTGAGAATCCATGCGCGAACGAAATTTTTGTTGCAAATATTGTTGTCTTAACATTATATTATGACTGTCGAGTAAAACCGATGGTTCTAACGATGGTAATGAATGTTTCCGTTGTTTAGCTGGATGTGTATCACGCTCTACACCACATGCTTTGAGTATATATTTATTGGGATTGTTTTCGAATTCTCGACGTTGAAATGTAGGTATCAGCAAAGACAAAGTATCGAACTGATTCGATTGTGCTAGAGCTGTCAATGTATCACATATTATTTTAACCTACAGAGAAAAAATCGAATCGATTTTTTTCAAAGAGAATCTGAATTTACTGTTTCTTTATCACCAACGTAAGTTGCATAATGCAATGGTAACCATCCACGTTCAGTAGCAGAGTTCATCGATGCATCCAACCAATTGCCTGAACCATTGTAGATTTTATCTAATAAGCTGACTTTTTTATGTGCAATTGCGAAATGTATCAAATCACAATAATCATATCGCAAAAATTTCATAAACGACGCTTGTAAGGCATTAAAAATTTTTTCGTTTTCATTAATAATCGGCTTATCCATTTGTTCCATATACAAATACGTGTGTAAACAAGTGTATGCTTTAAACAATCCATGAATTGGAGAATGGAGATATTGCTGTTCTAATTGAACTGGATCTTCGATCGCTGTGGAAATATTTGGTGTTGAATCAATCAAATGTTCAAGTGCGGAAAGAATATGACGACGAGAATCGTCGTTTTCTATCGTGAGATGTTTAGCAGTGAGGAGCTTTTTCTTGATACGATGATACCAACGCCATAGTGGATATCGATCTCGCGTGTAACCATGAGCATCGTATAGTAAAAACAAAAGAAAATGAAAATTATTGAAATGGTCAGGTTTTCTTATGGCACCAGTTTGAATTTCTTGAAGAATTTCAAGTAGAGTATTGTAATTGAGTTCTTCTAATGGCAATTCTTGGATACCAATTGTTGTCATTGGATTGGACATACGATCTAGATTAGATGATTGAATAATTTATGATCACTGCAAATGATTTTATGAAAGAAAACAGGTTTAATTGACTATATTGATGTTCTTTTTCTTGAGAAAGAGAAAAAGTGATATTAAACAGATTTTTATCATCGATCATAATGATCCATAATGTCATTTTCAGCACATTAGTGTCGATGTCATCGATTACTATGACAATCGAAAGGTTCGGTAGAAACTGAACTCAATCGCGATGATTTTCTCTATTTCAAATGCCAAATAAACAAAACTTACATGGTGATAAATAATCTTTACTAATATCTTCAGCAGATGCATGTAAACGTAACGTATTCATTGTTTTCTTCGTTGAAGATGCAGTGATAGAATCCAAGTCTTGTCAATTACAACGTCTTATACTTGTCACACAACGTTGTTACCGTAAATCTTAAGAACATGAGACAAGCTCTACTGGATCGACCTCAACACAACACTATTGCTACTAAGACGCGTCATCATCTTCTTTTCTTTTTTTTTCTCTTTCTACATTTTGTATGCTGCGCTTTTTTTTTCTTTCTTTCTTTCTTTCTCTTTCGCTTTCTGTTCTTCTTTTCACATTCATTCGTCTCGTTTTTTTTCTCTCCTCGTTGCCTATTATATAGACTTATTGAGAAGTTTCATCTGATGTGTGCAACTTTGTTCTTCTCTTCTTCTTTTCCTTTCTTTTTTACTATTCACCAAGCATATATTATTTGCTCTAACGTGTACTGCATGATTCTCGAAGTGATTATACAAACTGGTTCGAATTGAAAGTTTTCTGTCTTCTCCAAAAGAAAAACACCACGCCGAGAAAAAGGTCACTGATTTCTACCATGTTTTTTCGCATTTCTATCAATCAGACAAGAGAAAAAATTTATTGACAGCTACTAATAGCAAATATCGAGAGAGAAAAGATAGATTGATAACGTGCCAGATATTTTCATTACTTACAGCAGATAATGTCGAAAGATTCTTATCAGCGAGGTACGTGACTGACGAATTCTTTTCCCTTCTCACCGCTGATTATCTCGACGAAATATTTCTTAATAAGATATGCGCTCGTTAACAAGAAATATACATACATTCAAATTCATGTACCTTCCGATGAGACACTATTTCGTCGTATTTGTATCAAAACATCGATGCACCTTTGCTTTTCTAATGATGATTTTCACACGTAACGAAAAACAAATATTCCTAAATGCACCTTTGTCAGTGCAATCATGTGATATTGTCTATCTAACTTATATGCATCCATCCGTGCAAATCAAAAAGGGGAAATATATCTGATCAGAAAATCAAGATCGATCGAAACATTATTCATGAATTACGGATGGATCACAACGGGCGTTTTCTTTTTGTATTGACATAGAAAAATACCGAAAATATACACTTACGTCTGTCATGAAGCGATGTGTATTCGACAAGAATCATTACAAAAATGAATGGCTTTTTCTTCCTCGACAAAATTGATCAGCGAATCAGAAAAAGAATAGATGATACTTTCGTATGCAAAACTATCTAATCAATTTGACTTCCTCGAGAAAGTTTATTAACATGCTGAACGCATTCTTTCGGATTTCCTTGTATTTTCAACACAAAGAAAAACACTTTCTCACTGGTTAAACTTAACAACGATTTTGCTAAAGCCATCTTTGCCTTGTTTAGGTATTTCAAGTGCCTTTTGCATATCTCCGAGTGTGATCGTTTGGTTTATATACGGCTTAAATTCACCTTCTTCAATCTATTGGGCACCTTGTTCTAGAGAATTTCGAGAAAATCTACACAATTCTACTCGATTAGATTCTAACCAATAATGTGAAATGTCTGCATGAGTAATTTTATTTTACGTTGAGTAGCTTCTTTCGCTTCTCTACTTCCTTTCTCTGCAAAATCACCAAGTATTATCTATGTACCATCTTGTCTTACTGTGACAAGAGATTTTGCAAAACTTGATTCAACGTATATCGAATCGTAAGCAATATCAACACCTTGATTTTCGCTAAGTTCGAGGACACGAACAACAACATCTTCTTTCGCATAGTTTATAACATCGATATGATCTTGTATTATTCTTTTAAAATTCGAATATCATCGTCTTTTGATGCCAAGGTAATTACTTGTTGAGCATCGCAAATTTGAACGATTTCGATGGAAAAATATCCAACTCCGCCAGACCCGGCGGGAATAAAGATCGATGTTTACTTGACATAATCTATCCTAGGAAAAGAAAACATTTTCCATTGAGAATAACAAGACTGAGTTACCATTGGAGACAGAAATACTATATCAAGTGTACATGCGTCTTCATGACTGACTTTTGCCGGCTTTTTCATTAATACATCAGCGTAATTTTCAAGTAGGCTTGATGTTAGCTAATTTAGATGGTTGAATGACGGGTGCTGATTTTGTCCATTCGAATCAATCATCATTACTGACGCGAATGTATCGTAGTGCTTTCTGAGTCATCGGAATCATTTGTTAAGCAGATATTATATTCGTATCTTGAAAAAGAAAGAAACAAGATTCATGAGCATTGAAATCCAATCTTGTTCTCGTGTTCAAATTGCATTCATATAAGTTATATTGGATTGATGCAATAGTATCACTTGTAGATCAATCTTCTTCTCCTTCGGTTCTAGACTTGCATATACATTTCATCATAATCATTAGCACGGATACGTATATATGTCTGTATTTATCTTTTATCCTTAACAAAATACCCGTCAGTACAATCTACAACAAAAAAGTTTTCTTGAAAACAAAGAGTTGTCCGTTACATGAATTACAATGGAAATCGTTTCGGTAAAGATCCAGAGGTCACTAAGTGACGGGTGGTGCATCTAAAACCAACCTTTCGTTTTTTTCTTCCCATTTCAGCCATTGATATACTGTCAAATCGAAATGAATAACTAGGTCAAATCAAATTTCTTTTTACGCACTGTGATCATTATCATCTTTTGATCTCGACGCATTTAAAATCCTTTGTTTCAAAGGATATTTTGTACTTACAACTTTATTTTAAACTACATAGATAAGAACGGCTGAGAAGGAATGAATATCTTATCGAAGACACCTTCATTCACTCGCCAAGTATTCTGTACAATCAATCAACAAATTCGTTTTCTTTCGCAAAATGTATGAATATGTTGAGCTGAATTGAAGATATCAAAACTTTTTCTTGTTTCGTTTAGAAAACAGCAGTTAGTAATAATCGACAGCAGTCCGAATTACGTTTTACTTTACCCAATGGAAATCTATCGAAAGAACAACGACAAGAATACGAAAAAAATGGTTTTCTTGTCATTCGTAATTTAGTGAAAGCTAAAACGCTCGATCATTTCCGGTAGATGAAAGTTTTCCGATTCAACTTTTTTTCGATATCTTGTCTATTTAGTGAACGCTTTCAACAAGTATGCGTAGGCATAGTCAAAGTACCAGGCATGACCGTTATGAAAGACGTTGCTATTGCTAAATCAGAGTTTGCTGATGGCGAAAAGGCAATAACAAAAATACAGGATTTTACATTGGATGATGAACTGTTTAAATACTGTTGTGAACCTGAAATTGTTAAATATGTTGAAAATTTTACCGGACCGAATATTATGGCTATGCATACTATGGTGGATAGATCACTGTTTCTCATACATACATCGATGCCGATATTTTTTCCTTTAGTTAATAAATAAACCACCTGATCCAGGCACTCAATCATCGCGACATCCACTTCATCAAGATCTTTATTATTTTCCATTTCGACCAGCTGATCGAATTGTTTGTGCATGGACAGCAATGGAAACGATCAATCGAGAAAATGGATGTCTCGTAGTCATACCAGGATCGCACACGGGTGAACTCGAAGTGCACGAGTATCCGAAATGGAAGGTAAAAGAATTTTCTCCATAAGTTTCATTGCTTTTTCTTCGTTTTCAGGGCGGGGTAAACAAAATGTATCACGGAATACAAAAGTTCGATCCAAATCAAAAAATGGTACATCTACATATGGAAACAGGTAGAATGCGCCGCTTTTCATGTGATTGTAGATCTATGATTTCGAGTAGGTGATACAGTCTTCTTCCATCCATTACTTATTCATGGTAGTGGAACGAATCGATCAAGTCGATTTCGAAAAGTACGTTAATTCATCAGCTGAGTGAACTACTAAAACTTTTTTCTCTTTCTCGCGGTGAAATAGGCTATTTCGTGCCATTATGCCGATTCTGCATGTGAATATATTGAATGTAAGGATGGTGTACAAGATTTTATTTCGAAGGAAGTGACAGATATCTTTCGCAAGAAAACAGGATTGCAAGACGCACAATTCGAAGTAAGATTATCTCAGAATGTTTTGTTAATATTGCATTCAAATTAAATAACAGGATGTATGGAGAATCAAAAGTCGACTTGTAAAAGGTGAACGAATCAATCTATAGACGAATACAGAACAAAAACAATCTTGATTTCATCACTTGTTCGTCTCTTCTTTTAATCATACGATAGTCTTTTTTTTCTTTATCTTTCTAAATTTGCTGAAGAATAAATAAAAAAAGCGATTTGCTCAAGATTTAGCTACCAACGAACCAATGACTAACAATAGAATGAATCATAGATAATCATTTTCTTGCGTTCTGTCAGTCGTTCTTCGTCTTTCTTTGCATTAGTTTACTGTGCAATTTGTGCAGCATTGATGTGTATATAAGGAAAAAGAAGGCAACACAACAAGCATACTTACCTGCCACGGGTGCATAACCGATCAGGAACGGCGATGCCCCAGGTCGAGGCGCGGGCATTGCACATCGCCCCCGTTGACGCCTGCGAAAAGTCCAAATCGGGCTTTCTCGAGTGGATAATTTGTTCCGCGGCCACTTGCGTTCGCGCATTGGCCATTCCATCAATTAAAGATGAAAATAAGTTTTTCTTTCAGACATGAACTTGTAGTCCGTTTCTTGTAGGTTGAGCGCCTCCATGATAATGAATGTTAGTGAGAGTTGCATAAAAGCGAAGCGATACTTGAATGGTTTCCATTCTTGTTTGTATATCGATAGAGAAGCACTGCGTGTTGTACTATGGTTATGTTCAATACTTAGGGCATACCAAAAGTTCTGGCCACGATATTTTTATTTTTCAAAATTGTCAATATGCATTTCTTCTCTCTCTGTATACAGAGTGGTTAACTTGTCAAATATTATACACAGTGTTGGTTTCTTCCCTCAATATCTATACCACTCAAATCCTCAAACATTATTTACAACATGAGATCATATAACAGTAAAACAATACTGTAACGGCAAAATAATGAGATGAATTATATTTTATTATTGTTAAAGCATCGTATTTATTTCTTTTTGCGATTATGATAACAAACTAGAAGAGTGTTACTGCTATATTCCTCATGTAAATGACGTTCGCCACACTCCACTACATTTCAACTGCCTCTCATATACTACACATTATCGTCTGGTATAAATGATACAATGAAGAATAGGAAAAATGAAAGAACTATTTAAACGACATTTTGTTATGGCCGATCGCAAACTCTTCTCGCTGATCATTACTAATCACAGTAGATGAACCTTTATCTAGAGTTTTTAACAGTATACATGTCGTTAGCATCATTGACAGAAGATTATAAATCAGAATTCGAATCAGCATTCTGTGTTGACTTTGTTAGTTCTTCTCTTTATAACACCAAAAATGAATGTATATTTGGACGTTCTCCCGTCGTTCAATATATTACAGAGACGATATAAATTAAACCACTCACTAGTGAGCTACTTCTTTATTGTCGCATTAATATATTTCTATCAGTTGTATCTGGTACCTATGCGACAGAAAAAAAGATGAAAAATAAATGAAGCACGGTATACGATAGATATGTACGAACATCTATCTAATTATGTTAGATACCGAACAGAACAACCTGTAATCATAAAAGATATTATTCAATCTGAAAATAAGTCAGGCTTAAGTTTCACAAGCCTCTCCGCCCCACCGTCTCTGACTGTATGGCATGATTGATGTTCAAAAGGTGTATATTCATTGATGATTATCGAACAAGGTACACATAATCATCAAAGATACATAAAAAAAGGCGCTTTCTGTGACTCTTCAGTATGGCAATCGTCTTTTCCCGAAAGAGAAGACAATTCCATAACATGATACTAATCTCATATTCATTCGTTTACACAAAAATCCGGCCATGGCCACTTTCCACGCTTTATCGATACAGATCATTGACCAATCACTAGTCTTGACACTTACCCATTGCACCACTGTATATGAGATAAAATTCAACGGTTTATTAATTAGAATAGAGTAACATTCAAAGCAACACTGACACAGCACTTTCGACATGCTAAGGAAAGTATTCACAAAGAATGTCTCCTAGACAGCGTTAATTCTTGGATCCTATGATCGCAACGCTTATGTCAAACAATCGAGACTATATACTATACTAAAAGTATCCGCACTTTGTAGAGACGTTCATCAGGAACCTTTCTATCAAAACAGTTCTTTTCTCTAACAAAGTATGGATACAAAGAACTCATAATACTGCGAGATCCTTCTAATCTCTACCAGGCGTCAATACTGTAAAGATTAAAATGATTTAATAAAGTTTATTTCCAACCAACTTTACTTAAAAGAACACAAATGGACACGTTTATGTCCTTTGGATAAGAAAACTTTTCAATATCGTCTGCCACCATAGACCAATTGTTGTTGATTGAAGAATTCTTCAATATTTTCAACTGGTTCACCGACACTCACATGAGCATTGGGTTCGTTGCTGGAAACATTTTGAACGACACCATTGCTATTACTAGAGGCAGATGCGAAACTAAAACTTGAGCGAGGTGCAGCAGGACGACCATGGTTGAAGAATTCTTCAATATTTTCAACTGGTTCACCGACACTCACATGAGCATTGGGTTCGTTGCTGGAAACATTTTGAACGACACCATTGTTGTTACTAGATGCAGATGCAAAGCTAAAGCTCGAACGAGCTGAAGGAGCACCACCTTGATTTACGAGTTGTTGAAGTTGATTAGCAACAGTGTTGTATAGTGCATTGTTCGAATGAAGATATTCTTGTAGTTGCGATAACACGTCACTTAGAACTGCGTTCGCATTGAACTGACCATTAACTACATTTTGATTGAGTTGATCAATTTGCTGTGCAATAGTTTGGAATAGTTCTGGAGAAATATCATTAGCAATTTGACTTGCAAGACTGTTCAGTTGATTAGCCATATTCTATTGGAAGAAAATAGGAAAATAATGAGAAAAAGAAAGAGACGAATATATTTTTACGTTTTGTGATGATAATTGATTAAACAGTGGATTGAAATTATTGGCTCCATTCGAAAGAGGTTTGCTTTGTACCGAAACAATGCCAACGAGAAGAAGAGCAAATTGAATTGACGAACGCATGATTGTAAAATATTTCACTTGCAAATTCACTGAAGAAGATGTAACATTTGAGGCCTTTTTATACTTTGATTTGAGAAAAGAAAAAGCAAAGATTAGATTGCGATCGTAGTTTTCATTTCTAATTAAATCATATACTAATCCGTAGACATCGGATAGAATTACAAAAACGATAGGTCCATTATGATCAGAAAATAACGAATGTTCGCATTAAGCTTCTTGTTTTCAAGGTTATTCAGAGAGATTCGAGTTATGAGCTCCTATTTTTAGAAGTTTTCAGATACACTTCATGCCCAGTTCGAACAATCGGATACTCGGATCCCATGTTGGATCCGAAGGATGGATTTCCTGGATTTTCTAAGGGTCATCATAGAACATACCTAAAAAGATCGCTCATAAAATTTGCAACAACCGACGGGATATTCCTAGTCGGATTCCAATGCAATTCGGTTTCCAGGAATCCGATCGGATTTTGTCGGATCCGGTCAGATCCAGCATTGGATTTTTTGACCTGGGTATGGAAAAGATTTTCAGACAAAGATATAATGAAATGTTTGTTTGACAAGGGGCTGTATCGAACAACTACATCTTGGGCTTCAATTCATAATATATACATATGTATAAGAGGATCGCTTTTAGACATACCAATTATTCGTTTTCTTGTCACTTTGTTATTCCATGTTTTCTTTCGTTGTGTGTGATCTTCGTTTTTTCTACTTCGATTAGGAAACAACAGTTTTATGTAACTACACTTTTTGGAATACCTTAGAAATGAAACTAAAGGAATCTTCTTTTGAAGTTTTAATTCAATCTTATGAAAGCTTACACTTGGTATTGAGTGCTACAGATTTCATGTAAATAACTATAAAATACACCCACATGAAATTATGAGGTATATTATTAGATGCAAAACATTCCATCATATTTTTCATAAGAGCGTTTTCGATATTAACTTGTTTTGTAAGATTTGAAAAACAAGGTTTACTTAGGGCATGCCAAAAGTTCTGGCCACGATATTTTTATTTTAAAAAATGCCTAGCTTTTGAAAGTTTTATTACACGAATAGACAGTAAAATATCTGCTCTACAATACTGCATATATCAATCGTGTTTTGGATTTAATTCTGATATCCATTTCAATAAAGTCTATGATATCCAGGATTAGCAAAAATTCTGATGACATCAAATAAAAATATAAAAGGAAGGACATATCTCTAGTTTTATTTCATTAAATGTTCAAAATAATCACCATTATATAATGTTCTCGAACACGACGTCATAAAACATTATACAAAAGGAAAGAAAAGAAACAGCACAGAATATTCCGGAATTTATTCAAACACTATACAAGGATCTAATAGAAATTGTTATAACCGCTATTTAATAGACTTTATCGAAATGGATATCAGAATTAAATCCAAAACACGATTGATATATGCAGTATTGTAGAGCAGATATTTTACTGTCTATTCGTGTAATAAAACTTTCAAAAGCTAGAGATTTTTTTTAAAATAAAAATATCGTGGCCAGAACTTTTGGTATGCCCTAAGTATATCAACGTTGATGTTAGTGGCGATTCTGTTTGTAATGCTTATGACTGGGAAAAGATTAATGTTACTTCTAGAAGCAGAAAGAAGAACGATAGCAATTCGGTCGAACATCGACATTCAATTGATATCAAATTATTTTTGTTGAAGATGAGCAATGAATAGTGTCAATGATGACTCTACTGTTTGGTTTTGTCGATACATTCCGCACTATATTGTCTCTCAGATGAACAGATCGACAACTGGCGTCCTCTATCAGAATTGTCCGAAACATGAAATTATTTCTTTTTAATTAGAAATTCGTCTGTCTATGCTGATGAGAAAATTACATTCAATGAGAATAATATTCAAATATTTTAACAAATATGGCTGAAATATTATCCAGTAGGAATAATGTAATCACCAACTAGTTGATTTGGTTGTTGTATTGTATGTGTATGCAATACCATAAATAAGAATAGTATTCGATCTAAAATCGACTATAACTATATTCTGTTTAATTTTATTAGATAAATTAATAATGGTTGCCGGTTCTGCCAAGAATCATGCAGGCAGTGGACATCATTCAGAGCACGGGCACCATGCCGGAAAAGCGGCAGCTGCTTATCCAGATCGTTTTCCTAACGCCTGTGAATTTCGTATACCTGGTATTTGTCATTCACATTTGTTTTCTTAAATCTACTTGCTTCTTTCGTAGATTGGCGTTCATACAAAGTAGATGGCATACCTGAATTAGAAAAACATCGTTCAGTCTTATCGAATAAAGGATTGCGTGATCCTTGGATTCGAAACCAAGCCTGGTTATATGATCCAAAAGCTGGTGCTTATCCTCAATGGCGTGTTTCGATGCGTACAGCTTTCTTTGGTTTCCGTTATGCGCTCGTTGCTTTGGCTACTTGTTTCATAACAGAAAAGATTCTTGAGAAAGCTTTTCCACCATTTCACGAACACATCCACCTATATAATCCCGATAAACCTCATTCACACGATGACCACGGCCATCATTAGGAAGTGTCCATTACTTATAACCCAACCTTTCGTTTTTTTTCTTCGTCTGTAGATTTTTGGAAAAAAGAAAACATCCATCTTGATCCTTTTATCTTGTTCACTTGTTTATTTTATATAACAATAATTGTACTAAGACAATACTCGTACTAACAATGATATCAGAGAAGAGAAAATTCATACCTAAAATTTCGTATCTATGCAACTGACAGAAACATTTCAGTCAAANTTTTTTTTCTTCGTCTGTAGATTTTTGGAAAAAAGAAAACATCCATCTTGATCCTTTTATCTTGTTCACTTGTTTATTTTATATAACAATAATTGTACTAAGACAATACTCGTACTAACAATGATATCAGAGAAGAGAAAATTCATACCTAAAATTTCGTATCTATGCAACTGACAGAAACATTTCAGTCAAACAAAGAGCCAAATTTGAGTACTACATAAGTAGATTTTGAATCTGTCTCACGTTTCGCACGAAAATTCATTGTGTCACAATGGATTGATCATGACGGAAGTGGTTTTTTTTACCTAATTCATTCGATCACGAAATAAAAATATGTCTGTCATCAATGTACAAACAGAGGCCATTGTAGTTTTGCATATTTCAATGACGCGGACATCCAGGTAATTATCGAGTGTCTATTTTAGCCTTGAATTACTCAGTTTCGTTAAACATCGGCATGACTTCGGTATTCGTGACGTCAATTGAATAACGAAGAGAAGAAAAGAGATCTCCAGTTATTTTCTGTTCTGTTCGGCAGGAAGGACGGCCGTCGAAAGTCATGCGTTGAGACTGTTTGCTTTCTTCAAGTTAAAAAGAAACGAAAAACTTCAATATTTAGTTACATTTCACATTCGCACACAAAATAGGTTACAACATGCAAACTATTAAATGCGTTATAGTCGGTGATGGCACAGTTGGTAAGATAAAAACAACTGATATTCGAATTTTCATTTCGATATGTTTGAATAGGAAAAACATGTATGCTTATCACATACGCATCGAATAAATTTCCGACAACCTATGTTCCAACAGTGAGTTTTCATTTGCAAATGACTGATGATGGTAACGAACACTCTGTTTAGGTGTTTGATAATTATGCTGTTACAGTAAACATTGATGGTCAACCACACTCACTGGGTCTGTTTGATACGGCCGGTAGGATATTTTTGCAGAATTAAGCTGTTTGACCAATCATATTGATCTAGGTCAGGAAGAGTTCGATCGTCTCCGTCCATTAAGTTACAACTCGACGGATGTTTTCCTAGTTTGTTTCAGTGTCGTATCACCGACATCGTTTAGCAACGTCCGTGAAAAAGTTCGTTAGATTACGTCGAGAAACAAATTAGGTCATTATATTTTCTTTTCTCAAATTAGTGGGCACCTGAAGTAGAACATTATTGTCCAAAGGTTCCATATATACTTGTCGGAACACAAATCGATCTCCGCGATGATGCAGCAACCATTGCGAAATTACAAAAATCCAATGAGAAGCCCATCTCACCAAAACAAGGTCAGAAACTGGCACAAACCATCAAAGCTGCACAATATCTTGAGTGTAGTGCACTCACACAGGTAGGTTTAACATGATATGATTGACTATGGACAAAAATATTTTTGCCTTTTTTTAACCTTCTAGCAAGGATTGAAAAATGTTTTCGACGAAGCAATTATGACTACGCTGAAAAGAAAGAAACAAAAAGCCGTAAAAGAACCCGGCTCATGTTGTTTACTATGATACCGTTTGAACAAAAAACATCGAGGTCTTCTTTTTGTTGTTTGTATGTGATTGATGAACAGACTTTTGCTAATTCAGTTTCTTCGTTTTCGTATAATAAACTCGATTGTGTTAAAGCGGAGAAACGACAGAGGTCACTAATCAGCGAGGATCACTCATTCTCGATTTTTTCCCATTGGTGTTTCATTGACATCCATTTATCTCAATGTTTGTTTACGTAGTTATTTATTTACTCATATCTGTTTAATAGAACATCGTCATTAGTCGAAGTTCGAAAAAGAATTTGCGAATATTTCCAAAAGTTGATTAACAATGCAAACGATCAAATGTGTTGTCGTTGGCGATGGAGCAGTTGGTATGAATATTCGATTGCATTCTCTCTTGTTTCTTCGAACACGAGTTTTTTTTCTTAGGAAAAACATGCTTATTGATTAGCTATACGACGAACAAATTCCCTAGTGAATATGTTCCGACTGTAAGATTCACCTTGAAAAGATTTCGTCGAACTAATACATCTCGTTTAGGTATTTGATAATTATGCAGTGACAGTCATGATCGGAGGTGAACCCTACACATTGGGTTTATTTGATACTGCCGGTATGTGTTTAATTCCATGACAAAATAGTCATCTAATTCATACTTTGATGTCATAATTAGGACAAGAAGATTATGATCGTCTTCGTCCATTGAGTTATCCTCAGACAGACGTATTTCTCGTATGCTTCAGCGTTGTCTCACCGTCGTCATTTGAGAATGTTCGTGAAAAAGTAAGTGTCTCCTTCTATTTTTTGTTTATTTCGATAGTATCAGTATGCATCCTTGATTTAGTGGGTGCCTGAGATTTCTCATCATTGTGCTAAAACTCCGTTTTTACTCGTCGGCACGCAAATTGATCTTCGCGAAGATCCAGGTACAATGGAAAAATTACAAAAATCTCGTCAAAAGCCTACATCGCATGAACAAGGAGACAAACTGGCACGAGAATTGAAAGCAGTCAAATATGTTGAATGTAGTGCATTGACACAAGTATGAAAGGATCGATTTCTACGAAAAGAGAAGTATATATTATTGTGTTTGTGTCTCTTTTACAGAAAGGTTTGAAGAATGTCTTCGACGAGGCAATCCTAGCTGCATTAGAACCGCCGAAAAAAACGAAAAAATCAACATGTGAACTTTTATAAATGAACAATCAACCGTGCTGAACTTGCAGAAAGAAAAACTCCTTTTTTTCACATTCTTATCCTCACTAAACATTTCTTTTGTGTTATCGATTAGCTGTGTGTGTTTTTTTGTCGAAGTATTATATACATATATATTTGTGTTGTCTGGAGAAATCTATAGTTGACTATAGATTTGTGTCTTTTGCTGTTGAATAATCTCATCTATTATCATGCGTGTTCCATTACATACGTTCTCTTTTTTTATAATTTGTATAACAATATATATGTATATGTAATTCTTTGTTCCTTTTTCAACTTTAATAATATAATGAATATAGAAAAGCAAGCGGTTGAAATGTTTATGCGAAATTAAAAGACTTAACCAGTGCGAGGTGGTCGTATGATTTTGTTGCCATCGTCAACGAACAATCGAACACGATCGAGACGATAATCACGAGTACACGGTGCTCCATCTTGCTTAATTTCAACATTGAAACCTTAGACAATTGAATAGTAGAAAGCATTCGATCAAATCACGCTCATACCTTCAGCAGTTAATTGACTCTGTACTTCATCAGCATCTTTACCAACAAATTCCGGCCATGATTTATTTTCATTCGACATACTACTAGAACAAAGCGAAGAAAAATCATGTCACACCTTGGAATTCAATTCTCACACATGCCTGTTCGTTTGCACTTGTTAGAATCCCGATAAATAAATGAAGAATACATTGACTTAGTCTGCGTATTTATACTATATTGATACTTTTCTCTCGACATTTATGGTAAGCTAAGTAAAATAGATAGTTCGATGAATAACCTAAACAGATGTATTGTGAGTCATGATACAAATCTGCTAAAGGAAGAACAATGATTTTTCTTATGTGAATTCTATCGATGAGATGACAGATAAACTAATCTTCGAAAATTTAACTTGACTCATGTGAATCAACACAGATGTGATAGATTAAGTGAATTCGATTGTTATTTACATATTACAATGAAACATTCATCAGTCGAATGTACTCGGAACACTTTGTTTTTCAAGAACACACGCAATTTTATTATGAATCAGCTAAGATATTAATAAATTAAAAAAGAGACTTTCTTTTATTTGATAACTTTAAGTTGTCGGCCAACTTCAGCAAATGCATCGATACATCGTTTTAAATCATCTTTGGAATGAGCAGCGGATACTTGAACACGAATGCGAGCACGACCTTTCGGCACCTATTTACAAAAAGAAGAGATCGATGTCGTTGCTTTCCAAAAACAAAAAGAAATCATTTACCACAGGATAACTAAATCCAATAACATAGATATTCCGTTTGAGCATTTCATCAGCAAATTGACTGGCTAATCGAGCATCGCCAAGCATCACTGGACAGATAGGATGCGCATCACCTAAGATCTGCAAGGAGGTTAGAATGAGGACAGACACATCAGAAAGAAAAGATAATGATCGTGGTTCAATACCGTGAAACCTAAATTTTGCATTTCTTCACGAAAATACGTGGCATTTTCAAGTACACGGCCCGGTAAACTTGTATCATTCTCAATCAAATCAATTGCTTTCATCGCACTTGCTACAATCGCTCTATCGAAAAGGAGAGAAGAACAACTCCTACTGCAAATTCACATTCTTAAATATACGAACGGTGGCAAGGTATTCGAGAAAAGATATGGTCTGGATCGTTGACGTAATAAGTCGATTAGAGCTTTTGGTCCTGTTGTATAACCACCAGCTGCTCCACCAAGTGCTTTACCAAGTGTAGAATTGATAATATCAATTTTGCCCACCATTCCGAAATGTTCTTCCGTACCACGACCCGTTGGTCCAAAGAATCTTTTAATAGACAAACATTCTAACGCAAATCTTCCCTTCAAAAGCAATTTGTTACCCGGTTGCATGACATTCATCAACAAAGACTAATGCATTATACTGATCTGCTAAACGTCGAATCTCCCGCAACGGTGCAATGGTTCCATCCATCGAAAAGACTCCATCTGTAGCAATCAATCGAATGACATTTTCGTTCTTATCATTGTAACTTTCTTTCAATTTCGCTTCCAGATCTGACAAGTCTTTGTGTTTATAACGTAATCGTTTTGCCTTGCATAAACGTATTCCATCAATAATTGATGCGTGATTCAATTCATCCTAAACAAATATAGATAAACGTTCTTTTCCTCATCGGTATTCAGTCACGGCACAGTACATGTCAACTTGTTTTGCAGTGCCAATCGTACTTACGCTAATTATATAGTCCTGTTCTTTGAGTAGTGTTTCGAAAATTCCGGCATTTGCATCAAAACACGAGATATAAAGTATCGCATCTTCGCGTCGATGAAACTTGGCAATTCGTTGTTCAACTAAATGAGAGAAATACGAACGATTGTGACGAAGACTTCGTGTTCGATTTACGTTGTTTATGAATTGTTTGTGTGCCACAAATGAATCGTACTGAACTAAGACCAGCACCGTACTCATCGATAGCTTGTTTCGATGCTTTCATAATCTCCGGATTATTTGCCAAGCCCAAATAATTATTGGCACAGAAATTCAATAATTGATTCGATGACTGTTCAATTTTGATGTATGCACTTTGACTAGTCGAGATAACTCGCTCGGATTTCCATGTTCCAGCTTCCCGAATGGAATCTAATTCGGGTTTTAGACGGTTTTGAACTACATTAGCTAGATTTGATGCATAGCGAATGGAGTTGGATTGTAGAGGAGCAAGAAAAAACCGAACTCGTGTGCTCAACATGTCCGATGTTTGTCTTTCAACTTTACTTCTCGAGCAAAATGGTATATAAAGTTCGAAGTGTTTATTTAACTGAATGTATATTTATTTAGCATGGAAGAAAAATGGTTTGCTATGAGAACGTCGAAAGTAAAATATCGAATGGTGGAATATGTCGAACAATTGGCGCTACCTATCACGTCTTTTTTTCGACGTTTTCATAGTCAACCAGAAAAAGAGAAAGTAGCAAATCTTTTCTTCAGTTACAATCGTCAAGAGAACAAAATGCGAAACAATCAAGACGATTTATATTCTTTATACAGCCACTATTTCGCGATCCGATCACTTTCTTCATCGCTTTGTATCCTTTGGTGCCACTTGATATACAATCACGTTCAACTCTCACTTCAATACCTACAATAAAGATGTCGAATATTTTCATTCGATAGTGAATGCACTCAATACCTTTACGGTCAAACCATGTGAAACAAAGATCTTCACCATTGCCACAAGTACGACTTTCGATATTGTCACCAATGACGCAATTCGAATCTTCTTTGGTGCATACTTTACATTGAAGAGCGGTATCTAAGCAGAAAAAGAGGTGAAATGAACTTGTCTTCTGAAATTAGAAAGACTTACTCAAGCAGAATACGGAAATAAGACAAAAGACTTGAAACATCATGTATGATTTTGTTGCCATCGTTTGATTATATTCTTTTGGAATGTGCGAACGTAGATGTGAACTTCTTGCATGACTTCTCGATCATCGTAAGAAAAGTCTCATTTAGTTTGAGGAAATGAGGGAATAAATTATGTCTCCAGATGCCAGACGAACAGCCAAAACTAATCAGGACTTTGTTATTGATAATAAATGATAATATGAAAAAAAAGACTTGAGATGGAAGAATAAACTGATATTTTTCATGATATTTAATAATTGACATTGATTCATTTGACATGAATGAGAAACGACGAAGAAGATCTGATCTTTTCTCCTTTCAATCAGTAGAAATATTTATTTGTTTTGATGTTTTCATCACTAAATAAGACTAATCTGTAAAAAACGTGTGTCTTAATCGATTCTTTAGTGTCTATCATGATGTTTTCTTCGATTATTACTGAAAAAATGCCAAAATGTCGATTAAATGCTGTCGGCACAACACCACGTTTTCATGTACCCAACGACTGACAGACCTTCATCGTGTCCATGAGGCATAAGAAACGATTCCATCGCAAAAGGCTTCGTCATTTCCATGTCGATTTCACATCGAAGTCCTTGAAAATGACGCCATTGGGAAGACGATTGTTTTTCTCAAGCAGTTAATGAGTTATGTCAAAGAAATGTCTTATGACAACGTTATGTGAATGTATACATGTCATCTATACAAAAATCTGTTCTGTTTTATTCGTTTTTGTCGCACACAGGCAAAAGAAAAATGAGAAAAATGAGAACGAAACAAAAAATATATATATGTATAGAAGAGAAACAATGAAGATAGATAGTTGATTATTATTGTTATGCTTACACTTCTCTAGAAAAGAAGAAAGAGATCAAATGGTATGTGATCGAGTTATACCAACAGAATGAACTTACGTCGCATCAAGTGTTGTATTTAGTAGGAGATGGCTGCGAATGTCGAATAACTTTCTAGCTGTCACAGGATCTTTTCGATAATCGATGATATTTGTTGGTGCATTATCGTCAAATTTTGTTGGAATCTGATGGTTTGATGTCGATTGAATAGATATTGTTGGATTATCTGACTGGGGATTATTGTTATTAGTCATAGTAATCTTTGATTGACGAGATATTCCAGTTTCATCATCAGGTTCATCTGATAGATCAACATGTGCTTCTGTTGACTCATCATTGTTGAGGACAATTTCATTTTGATCACCCAAGAGAAGATCATCGGTACGTGTTAATTCATCAGATTGGCTAAAATCGGTCACCGGTATTCGATTCGTTCGTGATGATGATGATCCATATATAGAGACATTGGTATAATCGTTACTCGATTGATTGTTATCGTAATCACTTTCATTGCCACTGCCAGTAAGTGAAGATGATATGGTATTATTATGGTCATCAGATGTTGATACCACTGTTCGACGAATAGGAATTGACATTGATGAAGTGTTGTTGACTTTTGAGGAATCGTAGACAACTGTGTGTGTTGACGCTCGAAGATCATTTTCATCGAAGATTCGATGACGACGAAACGGTCGTTGTTGATCTTGTTCGTGATGATGATGTTGATGTCCAAACCCACTTCGATGATGAGTATGACCTGGATGACGTTTCTTTACACTTGGAAATGGTGTTCGGCGCAACGCTGATTCTGGCGATGATACCTGAGTGTTATTTGGTGTTGTGGCTTCTAAAAATCAATGGGCAGATATGTAGATGAAGATTTTCGAAGAATCCTAGTTTACCGTTGGATGATGTGATTGTATTCGTACTTGATGATGACAATCTACTGACGAGCTGTGGACTATTCGGTCGATCAATCAGATCACTATTAATTAAATCAACTGGATTTTCTGTTAATAAGATGTTTTGTCGATGCGATGATATGGGATTTGATAAATGTTCATAATCATCTGTGCCAATCACAGTTGATGATGAACTTTTCCCATCGATTTCATCGAGTTCATCTGTTATGTCATCGATTTTATTAGTTACGGATGGTACAATAGCTGGTATGGACGATGATGTTGTTATTACTAATGATTCTTCATCGGCGCTAGATAAGAATGAGCCGGTGGAACTCACACCACTTGAACTATAAACACTGCGAAACGAATTGGTATTGCTCAATTCATTTGTTGGAATCGTTGGTGAATCGTTCGCTTTAACCGGTTCGTTATTCCAAGACATTCGTTTTATAATGGCTGTTGATGCTGTTGATTTCATTGATGATGGATTTATTGATGACGAAGAAGAAGATGATGAAGAGGGATTTGGAACGTGTGTACCTGTACCATCAGCTGTGAAATATCGACCATAGTTCTTATGATCCGTACGTGAATTTCGACGTGTTTGTTCCACAGTTTTGAATACATCGGATTCGATTTTCGATGAACGCCGATCCGATTCGGTCATATTATTCGTAGGTGATTCTTCCATAGATGAACTATCCAGTGATACAACGTCATGCTTCGCTGATGCCCCTAGGTCTAATGATATTTCTGATGTTGATGATAGACTCGGTAATGAGTGATGTATAGTAGATGGAATCGAATTGGATGTTGTTATTGAGATCGTCGATGACGATGGATTTGAATTAATAATCGAATGATTATGTGCGTGTTGCAGTTTCATTTTCGATTCTTCCATTAGTAATTGAAAATTGGACTTTGTTGATCGGATATTTTCCATCCATTGTTTACTTAGATTTGTTTGAAATAAATATCCACATTCAATTAAATTATATTCCGAAAAAACCAGAATAACAAAGGATGCCTAAAAGCAAAACCAAATATTTTCCTATGTTATATATACTCTCTTTCCTTCTTCGAATAACCTACGGTGTTCGGTTCGTTGTTGCTACCCCGCCGATCGTATTCTCGGACATCGATACGATCGATTCGTATGGGTGGTTTAAGAATCTTATTCGATATCGCCGATGCTCCCCGATTCGATTGTCCATCATTATTCATCGATGATAACGTCGATGCTGTCGACGATGACGAATTCAACGTTCCACCTCGTTTTCCACCTTTTGTTATAAGAAACATATCAGTGAATAAATAACAATAAACATCTTGACTATTCTTTGCATCTTTCATTTTCATCGGTCCTTGCTGAATGATCTGACGACGATAGCCTCGTACGTACAATGGCATATCACGAAGAAGATCCAATCGATGAGAACATGAATCACGATAGTATTCTTGGAGTATCTAAGTGTGGAATGACATTTTCAGCATGGAGAATAATAATCATATGACGATACATACGGAAGTGATTTCAGGCGGCGCTGATACATATTCATATGGACCAATCCGATCACTTATCTGACGTACACGTTCTTCTTGTTCCTGACTGTGCAATTTTGAATTGACTCGATTGACGAAATTTGCCACATTTTGAATCTAAGAAAGTAAGACGCGTGTTTTTCCCTTGTTGTCTCATTTTCATATATATATAATATATCACATAGCAATAGGAAACAAAAACAAAGGGCATAGATAAATATTTATCTTTGAGATCAAAAGTCTTGATGTTTTCTTCTAATTTCTACGTATTCCAAAGCAAAAGAAAACATTACTATGTATTTCTTTTCTTCCATTTATCACTCAACACAAGTCTTACAATGACGTTAATTTTTTTTTCTATCATTTACCATTTCATGTAGATCATTTCGTTGTTGATTATCTTGTGTTCGTTTCTGTATTGCTTCCAGCAATAATTTATATTGTGTAAGTCTTTGCAACGGTTTAATCGTCAGATCCGGAAATGACAAACGGTTTGTAAAGTTAGCTTCGATCCACTAGAATAAACAAGGAACTATTTATCTCAACCAAGATTTCATTTCCTTACAGTAATTAGATACTGAAAAAGATCATCTTTAGCAAGTTTTTGCTTGAAATATTCGGCACTTGCTTTTTGATCAAGTACATAATGAAGATATGATTGAAAATAAATATCAAACTACAAAACAAAAAGATATACCATATGTATTGTTGTCGATTGTTTTGATCTATGAGAGAATTGAGAAGAGATATATCTCGAGATGCGTAGGTTGACACTCGCGCGTCGACTAAATAACAATCATCTTAATGTATGAGATGACATTCTGTATGTCGCTACTGTTTTCCTTCGTTTTCATCTTGTCTGACAGTCTACATCGGTGAATGAAGTCGAAAAACTTACTTTGAGAAATCCTTGTTTCAAATGTGACGGATTCATTGCACAGCCTGTTTGTTCAAGTTTTAGTTTGATGGGCAATAAAATCTCTTTCCAAAATGTCAGATTGGCTTTCAAGACGTCTTGAATATTCGAAAATAATTTTTCCATATCGATATCATTTAGCAGTCCATCACGTTGAGATGATTTTAGTATCATTACACTTGTCATAAATATGTCGGTCATGGTTAAAATCTGACGTATATAGGAGACTTCAGTTGAAAGCATTTCGTAGATGGCTTCTTGTTGAAGTTTGATCGATTCCGACATGAACTAGAGAAAATCAGGTGTTGACATCGTCATAGGAGAAACAAAAGAAGAACGAGATAAGACGAGTTTTCGTCACTTTCTTGTTGATAGTTCATACAAATGCACGAAGATAAATCGAGTGTAGATGGATATCACATTGGAGGAGGAGGAGGAGGAAGGATGGAGATGAGAAGAGAGTTCAGGGTCTATGACTTACTGATTTTGCTTGTTCATTTAAAAATGGTTGCCATTCTTTTTCGATCTTCAAATCACGTTCATCAATTTGCAATTGATGGTTTTGTAACTGAGCTAGTTTGGGTAGGCCATGTGTTAACCATTCATCGCATTTACGACGAACAAATGCGAGATTGCTCTCGGGTCGTTCATTATTGGAATCACTGACATCCTAAAGAACAAAAACATTCATTGATCTTGTAATTGATTTGACGAGAGGGAATTGAATAAATCATCAAAGCGGAAGGACTTAAGTACCGGAATACTCGTTACATTTCCTGCAATTCCTATGTTAGTTCCTGACAGAGATGATGATAGATGATCTTGTTGCGGAGACATTGTTGTAATGGTGTGCTGCCGTAACAGTCGACTTGCTGCCCGTTGCCATCGACGTGTAGTCGGATTTTGTTGATTGGCAGATGATGCTTCTAATGCACGCCATAAGGTAGCTGTATCATAGGTTGTGATCGAATTGGCTTTCGATAGACGCCGATTCATGATTGACGCCTCTCGTGCTGTGCGACAATTGTCGACTCGTAATGATATGACCAAATAACAAAGGATAAAGGAAGAATAGGAAAACGAGAAGTATGCGGGGGAAAAGAAGAAAATGGTTAGTCGCTCGACGTGGAAATCCACTCTGTGTATATTCCTTTTCCCACTCTCGCTCGATGTTTTTACGCTTTCCCTATCCGAGAAGAAAATATCGAACGTTCTTCTCCTTTTACTGTTCTGACTATGAGATAGATGTCGATAGGACTATTAATTTTTGTTTTTGCCAGTAACCCATCATACGACGAATCGTTACTGATAATGAGAAGGGTGGAGTGGCACCACATATTTACATATCAGCAAGAACGAACGAAACAGTAATTTAATCCATAACATTATTTCATCTTATGACCGTTACTATTATTGCTCGTTGACAAAAACACGCATAGATATATACTTATTCATCGCAAATAACATTTTCCTCTTTTTCTATTAGATATTAATCATATTCAACAAATGATAGATTGCTTAATTGGTCACTTACAGAGACATAGAAGATATTTTGTCTAGGTTTTAATGCTCGCCAAAGTGAAACGATCGATGATGTTGTCGATGTATCCGATTTATAATAATTAGGTAAAGACGAATGGTGAACTTTGTCCAACATAATTTATACAAAAGTCTTTGTTTTTTTTCCGTTGTCTTAACGTGTCAGAGATATAAACGAAGATTTCTTTCATTGAAAAGTGTATCTCTCTTGTTTAACAACTGATAAGAAGTACCTCATCGTTTTTCATTCGGTCACCTTCGTTCGTTTTTTGTTAAACTCTATTTTGAGTAAAAGTGAATGACTCAGACGAAAAAAAAAGCCTCCTCTTCATCGTTTCGAGTACAAGTGTACAGATTTTAATTAAAACGATTAGAATATCACATTGGGTTGATATATGAACATGCGATTCATTTCTTCTGAACAAAGTTTCTTTTAATACTCATGAGATTCTGACAATCTTCAATCGTTTCTTGTGTACACGCGATCGATTGTTCATTAAAAACAAGATTTCATTCGCGTGTGTGAATGCGAAGACGAAATACGATGTAGAAAAATCGGATCTCTAATGTAATGGATAATAAGGAAACGATAGTTCGCTATTTTTCTTCGTCTTATTTCCTATATAAACATACTATAAAATATGAATTAGCGGTCGGACTGACACATGTCTATCCACGTAAACGAACATTCCTTACTCGGGTAAAAATGCTGCCTGTGAAAAGACCAGAGCGGATTGTTTTGTTGGATTTGACATGTTGTTGTGGATTTATTGGCTTGAATTCTTGATTGTAATTAGAATTGTTGCTCGTGACGATGCTTTCGTCGCTCTCTGGCACCATACATTGACTTGATAAACGTTTGTTTGCTGTCGAAGTGGACTTTGAAGTCTGCGAAAGAGAAGAACAAATATAGTAAAACGAAATATCAATCAAAAATCTCTTCATTTCTCTCTCTCTCTCAGCTAAGAAAACAACAACAGATCTTGATAATAATAATAACAGATGAAACTCATTAGAGATGCGTAGGCTTGTTTTTTTAATTAAGGTAGGTGATCAAAAAGAAGAGAAGGAAGTATCAGTTGATCGAAAAGACAATATCAAACTGTATTCACCATGAATAAGATGGAAAATCTTCTTGGGAGATCAGATCAACGATAAACCCGAATTAGCGAACGTTTATGTATATATAGAGAAAGAGAGACAAAAGAAAACAGATAACTATACAATAAGATCTGTTTATTGACAGTAAACAATTATCAAGCTTCATTCTCTGATTAATAAACAGATGGTAGAAGAACATCAGCAACAAAATCAAGATGAAAATTGAGACTAAACATTTTCTTTTTTGTTTAACTCTTCCTACAAAGAAATTATAAGTGCCACTTATTTTTCCTTCAATAAGAAGCAAAGAAGCTAACAATACGTATATATATCTGTGATATCAATCGTATGTAACGATTAAATGTGCTCGAGGGAATTTGTTTCGTTTCGACATGATTACAACGATGACAAGCAGGTGGTTTGTCACGTCGTCCAATTATCTTCTTTTTTTTAGGAAAAAGAATAACGCAATAATGACTGTTAAGTGTTTATGTACCAATGTGGACAAATGTCTCGAATATTGATAGGTTTGTTTTACTTACGGCAATCAGAATTGCTGAACCTGTTGAATTTCGTTTGTCATTTCGTTCTTTGCCAGCTGAAGTCTTTGCTAATGATCGATTAGTCAGACCAGAGCATGATGATAAACCGTGTTCCTTGTCTAAATAGGCAAAGAGAAGAATATTTAGATAAGTAGTAAATATTGAAGATTTGAATAGACAAAAATAGCGCAAGCGAGAGAGAAATGAGAGACCATTTTGTTTCGATTGATAGGATATCGCGGCAGATGTAGTCGATGATGGTCCATTGACGCAGATTGTCTGTTCATCTCCGCTTGAAGATAAAAATGCAACATCGTCACAGCTGACGCTTTTTTGCTTAAGCAAACAAGCCGCAACCATTGACCCAGTAATTTCCTTTGTGTTGATGACATTTGGATCATCAGAGAGGCCATTTTTTCTTGTTCGTAATTGATGTTGAACTGGCAGAATATGTAGGTCTTCATTCGATGACGATCCAGGTGGAGAATCCACTTCAGTGAGAGCGCAATTCCAAACAAATGTAAATGTTGATGAAGCTGAATTTGTTGTTGTTGTTGATGTAGGCGATGGCGAGGGTATGTATGGCAAATGATCGCTACTATTCGAACAATAGGATTTTCGACGATATTTTAAAACGTCAGATAGCTGTCGACAGATTGATAAACGACGAAGAGGTGATACGAGAGGTGGATGAGAACCAGCTGATGCTACTCCTTCGTTAGACATCGTAATTCGACTGAATGAATAGATGTAACGATGAATATTGTCTCCTGTTTCTTCTTCTTCTTCTTCTTTTTTGATAGACAATTCATTCACAATAGAGTTAAACACAAAGAATAAACGATGCAACCTCTCATTCTCTCTCTCTCGTTCTGTCCTGCTTAGTTTTTTTGACAATAAGTAACAGACTATGTATGCCGGAGGGTTGACAATCACTACTAGTGGTAGTAATAGTCAAAGAAGAGAAATTGTATATACATAGGGAGATTCGATAGAAAGAGAAAAAGAAATTATATAACATCATCAACGAGAAAATGCGACAATAACAATAACAAGCACGACAATAGTATTTCTAATCAAGGAGGAGTTTCTCTCATTGAGTCCGTCTGATTTTCTCTATACATCAATAGCATATTGTCTGGTATTCTGGTTTTTTCATTTTTTTTTCTCTCTCTTCTTTAGAGATATACTAATTCAATTTACAGAAATGATTTAAGCTTCGATAAACAACAGAAGCAATGACACATGAAGATTCCTTCAAATGTTGCATCACAGATTGAATGTGTATTGGATATTTCGAGTGTACGTACCAAGTGATTTTGAAGAGAAAGAAAGAATGAGACAAAAGAGTTTTGAGCCGTAATTAGAAAAGAAGAGAAGAAAACGTGAAAAAAGAAAGTTATGTCATCAATCAGCGAAGTTTTTCGTAATACCTGTAACGACTAGATCATCCAATAGCAGATGTTTGACTGGTTGATCCAAGGACAATGGTAAAGTTGGCGCACTTCTTAGACAAATATTACATTTTTCGATATTCAATTGATATTTTTCGAACAATTGTACTAAGATTTCCCTAAATAAATAAACATCGTTTATGCTGCCTAACATTTCTCTTCATAATGTTTTCGTTCACTTACCTTAGAGTTGTACTTTCGACGACACCAGACCATCTCAAACGTTCGCGAAAACTTTGTCCATTGATATCAGTGAAATAGATATATGTTCCATCCTAACAATCAGACAATACGGAATAAGACATAAACATTGACAATTAGTCTCAAGGTTAATATATTTCTCCTCACATATTCACTATATTCGATTTGTATTAAGAGTTGCCACCACATCAATTGAAAAGCTCTCTTTTCTTTCTATTAATTTCTTTCTTTTTGTCTACCCAAACAACACATACTTATATCTGTAATTCGACCTTCCCAATAAACATCTATTATCAAATAAATAACTCGCCGAATAAAGGTAAATCAATACGAAGGTTTTATACTCGAATCGCCCAAATCTCACTGATTATCAACCTTGATTTTCGACTCACACTTACCGTTATGGTGGGTAAATTCTCTTCAGATAAGGCATGCTTTCGCAGATCAATATGATGATTGACAAGTGGCGAGTTGTTGTTCATCGATGAAGTCGAATGGTTTTGATTTGTACCATTCGATGTCGTTAAGTTAATCACCGACACACTAAATTGTTTACCGACCATATTTGTCTAATTGAAAATCAAACGGAATGTACACGAAGACATTCGACAAAAGTGGGATTTACCTCATTTGAACCCAATGTTATATTTGATCGACGCGTGCGAAAGACATTGACTAATAAGCTTCGTGTCTTTTCTCTAAAAGAAAATCCATATCAGAGTTGATCATCCACAGTTTCACAAGCAAACCTTCTCGACTTGAAATCTATCAGAAATTCATGACGGTTATCAAAGATAAACATCATCGGAGCTCGCATTAGATCTTGTAAATTATATATTTATTCAATGTCAATATTGAACTTTTAGAACAGATTGAAAATCAACTACTGAGATCAGTCATACATACGAGCGCATATATATGTGTATAACTTGTTTCTCTTTCCTTCTCTGCTCTACATCCCAATGTTCTTAAAATAGTTTTTTTTTCATCGTCATCATCTGGTATGAAGTGTGAACAATCGTTATACAAATAGTAACGTTTATTTGCTTAGTGTCAATGTGGATAGAACGAAAGGGAAAAGACAGAGAGATATAAGATTAATTAAAATATGAATTCTTTCCATATTCGTGAGGAGAATCATCAAACAGTGATATTTACTTATTCGAGAAAGGGATTTCATTTGCGAAAGATAATTGTTTCAATGATATTTGATTGATTATCTTACCTAGTTGAAGGACGTGGGAAGAGAGCCCTCCCGTTGGAGAGGTCAGTGTGACTACACGATCGTTTTGCAGAAGTTGTTCTCGAATTCGAATCAATGAAGAGATGAGTCATTGAATCATATTTGGTTAAATGAACTCTCTCTTTGAGATCAATGGGAGATGGTTGAAACTGCTTTTTCACTTTTGTTATTGTATCCCGAAACGGCGACCGAACAAGCATAATTCTGACTATGCCGTCGTCATCAAAATGCTGCCTGATATTCAATGCATATCGAATAACCACGTCGTCCATTGTCTCTTTTCTCCTATATTCGCGTCTCGTATATTTTTTCGAAGAGAAAAATCTCTCTGGGAGAACGAAAATTCGTTATTTGTCCATGACACACAATCGAAATGTAAAAAAAGTAAAATCTCTTACTCTGGTGGGTGCACAAAGAGTTGATTAGGATTAAATTCAGTTGTTGATTCGTCGGTACTCATATTATTCATACCATTCGACGAGAATTCTGTAAAAAAGAAAGGCAATAGAGTTAACATTCCACTAAGTCTTTTGATTTTGATCTTACCTTTGTCGAAAACCATTTTATTCTCGTCTTCATTTGCTCCGGAGTCTGTTCGAATCTGTAGCCGAGAGAAACAAAGATATAAGAAACATATTCTGAGAAAATATTGTTTTGTTTTGATTAATTTCACATCCAGTCGTATACTCTCTCGGATTATTTGGCTTTTCTTCGTCTTATTTTCTCATCTTCCAGTCGATTAAAACAACTCAGAATGTCAACTAGATCATTCTTCATCTTCCTGTTTCGATAAGGTTTCTATTTTGATAAGAAAAAAACAGTGGACAACGCAAATATTTCGATTTCACAGCGAAAGAAGAAATGATGATCTTTGAAAGACAAGGTCTCGCAGATAAGAAACTGTTCTTCGCCTATGAAACTACAGGCAGGTGGCATAAGTGACATTCCTACTCTATTATCAACCTATTTCATTCTCCTTGTTGCTATTATTAGTGATTGAGACCATGTGTAAACTCGAGTCGTACATGTGTGCGTCTTTTCTAGTCAAGAAGGAATATGTGAATGAAGAAAAGGTGGAAGCCATATGATTTATGGATTTCAATTGAAAAGAAAGATTGTCGAATTCTTCTCATACCAAACAAATTAATTGAGAACAAGGTAGTTATTTTGTTAATGCGTTCTTCTTGAAAGACGGAGAAGTCTGACGCTTACAATATCACAAGGTAAAAGGGGGAAAAGAAAGGAAGATCTTTAACGACGTTCTTGACAGTACGAACTGTTTGTTACTCGTCGACTGTCATTGATACGAATGAATTCAAGCGCTTATACTGACATAGCAAATGACTGTCCATATGCAAAAGCAGTTATCGTCATATGGCAATTCAATGTAAGACAGGGCAAAGAGAAAAACATCCGATCGACGATACATGATAATGAATTAAGTGTTTTGATGTTTTCTTTTCCAGTACGAGAAAATTCGAATTGATCAAGTATGTCTTAAATTTGAATTTGCATATCTTGTTGCTGAATTCATTTAGTCATCGTATGAGCACTTAAAATAAAACACCGATATGACAAGCACTTTCATATCGTTTCAATAAAAAGGAAAGAAAATAATGGTCAAGTGATGTATCTCCTTGTCTGAAACATTTATGGAAGGAACAAAACTAATTTCATTGTTACACTCTATTCTATCTTCTCCGCATAGTATATTTGGAAGTTAGAAGCAAAGTTCGTTCTTTTTCTTTGACAGATTCATCAGCTGGCGGCGTAGGCAGACAGTTCATTTGTACGAAAAAATCAAAAGGCGAAAGAATGAGAAAAAAGGTCAGCAAGGTATGAGTATGATTCTCATCAATACTTGTGTGTATGTGTATGTCTATGTAATACGATGCAATGTCTGCCATGGTCGTGTTACAAACACATTCACGTTCATTCGCCTTTAAGTTGACCATCACTCTTTGTTGACTATGTGTCAGTCATATGATAAAATCTTGTGAAAAATGTCATTGACATCGTTGTCCTCATTCTCACTAGTATTCATAATTATAGACACCAGGCATTATATCGTTAACAATAACAAATCGATGGTGCCGGCGCTGATCATCATTCGTTGTCTCAAAAAGACAGTACATACGTGTGTGTATCAGGGTCAAACAATAATAAACTTTTTTCTACTGAGACAAAGAGTATTAACACTTGACCTTCGTTGTTCTCTGTATGCATATGTTTATGTTGAAAGCACGCGTGCCGCTATGAGCAAATAATTTTTCTTCACTAATGATAAGCTCGTCTTAGCCGACTTACTTACATACCTTTTCGGTTAGTTGAGATGAATCATCGAAAGTTATCGATTGCCGTTGATAAGATTTCAGATTGCGATTCGTTTCGTCTTCATCGGATTCGGAGAGTGAAATCGACGAACATGAGTTTGTTGATGTTTGTTTGATAATAGCAATTGATTGAGGCTGTCGTTGTTGTTGATCATTAGTAACAGTATCAGATAAAGTGTGAGTCAATACGGAGGAAAATGATGGACGATGTTGAATATGTTTATTGTTTACGTGTTGTTTATCTTGATGATCAAAATCGAATAGTGTATGAAACAGGGATGGTAAACTTCGCCGTCGTTTTGTACGTAGTAATAAGTGTCCATGATCGTGAAGTAACTTGGATGATGTTAATGATGTTGAGGAAAAATTTTGTGTTGATGGAGATAATAGTTGTTTATCGTCATCGATGTGATTTGTAATTGTACTGTAAAAAATTGATTTTGATAAGCGTCGTTTGCAAAGAGAACAACGATTTGGATTGTTTTCGTTGACTGTTGTTGTCGTTGTGTTAAGTTTAGATACAAGAACACCGAAAATAGATGGGCGTTTTCTACACTTAGGAAGTAAATCAAGATTAGAATGATTTCGACAAGCCAAACATGGAGAGAGTGATTGTTGTGTTGAAGCATCAGTTGTTGACATCGCTATTCTCGTCGATGAATGAGTTCCGGAACGAAATGCAAGAGAATGAAGTAAACGTGAAAAGGTTTCTTTTGATAGACTAGCTTTAATTGTTGCCGGCAGTTTGGTCGACTTAGATAATAATGGTGATGTGTGAACTAATTCACCTGAATGTATTCCTTCATCTGTTTGTTTATCGTCGGAATTAGTTGGAGAACCGAGTGCGAACGAAAAACTTCGTTGTTGGTTCATCGGAATTTCTGCTGAAGAGTAAAATTCCTTTTGTTTCAACGATGATGTACGTAGAAGCGAATTACGTTTCAATTCATTTTCTAATACTTGATCAAACTCATCAAGAATGGCAACATGACCGTCATCATCGTCATTATCGTCACTGGGCTTAGTATTATCGATATAATCATCGTCATTATCGACACAAATTTGTGGTATAGAAACAGGCGCTGTTGTCGTTGCTACTGTTGTTGTGGCGGTAGTTGACGAAGATAGCGGCTGTTGAGTTCGACCACGAAATCTACGTGTATTTGTACTGTTTAACGTTGAATCCATCGCTAATAAATCAGCAGCCGATTGATGATTATTCTGCGATTCAAGATACTGTTGTTTATGATGTTGTAGATAGCGGCGAACTTTGTTCGAACTCGTCATCGTTTGATTAAACGTCTTTTTTCAACCTGCAATAATGATCAAAGATTATCGTCGATTTCTCTTTTGTTCTGCGTTCGATGTTGTAGACAAGAGTAGTATGTTCACTATCAGTAAAAGTAATAGTAGAGACAGCGAGCGAATGAGAACCGAAATTGTCTCGTATGTTCTGTTCTCTTTTCACATGATGTGGGAGTAACGGCAAAATTGAATATAAAAGGATAAAATGAGAGCTCATTGGACATCGAAGATGAAGAGAAAAGGAAAAAGAAACTATGACAGAGTCGAAAATTCCATTACATCAAATTTGATCACAATTTTAAGAATATCTTTCTCTTTAATACAACATATCTTTCAACTTGTCTATCATAATTTACTCCTACACATGAACTAACGAGTATATTCAGTGGAATTCTATATAAAGTTGTCACTGCTCGTGTGATTGTCGTCGTGAATCGAATTATGACAAGAAAAACTAACTGACACACAACTCCAATTCTTTTGGAATTTTCCTGCTGATCAATTTCCATACTGAAAAAAAAAGAAATTTATCCATATCTTTATATAATAGACTTGTCCTTTTACAATCGGAAGTCAATATACAATACATTTGAGCACGTGCGTGAAACTACTTTTTCTCTTTCTTTCACTGATTGATCTCTGTATGATGACATTTAGCTTACCTGCTTTTACAATTGTGATTTATTCGGATACAGTTCTAAGACATGTTAGCACGTATGTTCTGCTACTACTCGTCGCATTCTTACTCTTCAGTAGACATTTTTTGTCTATCGTGTTCCTCTTGTCTCTCTTTAATTGTTTGTTCGATATGCCACACAATATCAGTGGACCACCCGCTGTATGCTAACAGAGTAAAATATCAACTATAATGTTAGTAGTCGTTTTAGTTCTATTGTCGTTCTCTTTCCAATTGCGTTCAACTGCATAGAAAAAAGAAACGACGAAAAATTAAAGAATAGAGATGACGAGGGTAAGACTAACGTATGCTCAGTAGGTGTATGTTAATAGTGGTACCGTTCGAATATGAATGGTTTCATTTTCGTTCATTTACAACATCTTCTCATGTACAATAATGGATTAGAGAATAAAAAGAGAGAGAAAGAGAAAAAAAACGAATGGACGAAAGCAAAAGAGTTCGTTTCATATCCAAGTGCTTGTGGCTTCAACAATTTTTTCCTCTGTTAAGGTTTCAACAACAAATGTTACACGTTATTTGTAAACGTATGCGAGACTATACCCTACTTACAGCAGAGTTGCGTATAGGCATATACATCTATGTCGGTATGATCACGGACAAGCGAAAATGTTTGAATCATTCATTCTCTTGCGCGATGCACAGTGATTTCTTATCAGTGTTACTCGTTTTTTTTTCTTCTTATTTCGTTTGCCGGCAGAAATCGTAGGAGATGCTGTTTGATCAAATAGAAATTCTTTCTTATCATTATCGCTATTGAAATGATATCCCGTGTGAGACGTTAACTAAGAAGAAAGCTATTTTACAAGTTCAAACGAAAACACGTCTCTCTTCTGAAAGACAAATTGACAAATATTTGGTTAATATAAACTAAAACAAGATGATTACACCGTTTGTTTTACCAGATGAGAATTGATTTGACATTGAATGTTCTTATTTGCAATTGCCAACGCTGATATTGTTTACTATTATTCGATCCTTGGATTTCTATCAGATGGAATAACTAACATAGTAGCCGGTAATCGACGTACATATTCAAGACATAGTCTGGCTCTATTGTCATTTAGTATGCAATTTCAAAAGACATTATTGCAAGTCAATCAACCTTCGAAATGATCTACTAGTCAACAATCTTCAATGAAATTCTTCATTGACGAATGCTGATAATTGACACTGAATACGAGCGAAAAACTACTCACGAGTGATTGTCTTAGTTTGATATATATAGCACCATGACTGGATGGAACGAAATTTGAAATTCAGTCCTCGAAAAATAAGACATGTCAATATTGACATTCTCAGTTCGTCACCAACGGCTCAGACCACTTTATTCGTTCTATAGATTTGCATCAGAACGATATGTACGCGTGTGTTATTAGTGTATCGATTGTCATAATATTTTTATTTGTCGAAATTGCGACAGAGTAAAGATTTCGATAGGAACATATCAAAGAATCGCGTTTTTGCTTCTATTTTTATTCCGAAAAGAAGGTTTATTTCGTTAATTATTATCTTTACAATATTTATACAGTACAAAATATATCTTTTCTGGAAGGAAGACACATTTTGATAAAGATTCTAGAGTACAACACATATATAGGTATATCAAATACTCTTAGTCTACAAAATAATCTTAATAGAAAAGGAAGTGAACGATATGAAAGAAAACATGTACAATTGATTAATACAAACAGAACATTGACAAATCATTTTATTTATCTGAACTGGCATCTTTGGCTTCAGGAAAGTGTTCATAGTATCGATTGAGACGAATATATTTGACATTGACAGTTTGGTCTTGAAAATAACAGATGATTTACACAAGAGAATGTTTTCTTTACAAAAATATTTACTTTGAAAGCGCCAATTATTGAGTAGATGATAACCTTGTGCGGCTGCTTCTTTTGACGAAAATTTCACATAGACAAAATTCTAAAGAACTTCTTTTGTATGAATAAAGAACAACATGTCGAGACTTACGGAATGAATACCAATATGTTCGATGCTCTTAACTTTAGCGCATCGATTTTGAACACTCTCGACAACATGATCGATTTCATCATCATCGGCAGTATCACTGACAGATACAACAAGGAAATCATATATAAGAAATCAACTATGACATACTCATCAGATCGAAAACAATTTCGTAGTTTCAAAGATTCAGTAAGGCCAACTTCAGATGTTGTAGGAGCATCACTTTCATCAGCTGCGTGCTTTGATAGCTGGTATGAAAAAAAAAGAGAAGTGACTAATTGATACTGACTGTAATCGAACATACTGATTTCGACTTTTTCGGTGATGATGCAGCCGATTTGATCCAACGCCAAACGTCCGATGCCTTACCATCAATTTCTTGTAATTCACCACGTAGACGTGAATCTTGTTTAGTTATTTCACTTTTAACACGTTCCCAAACGTGTTTCAATCGTTCTCTATCCATATCAAATTATTGTTACAAAGCCAAATGATTTTTCAGCTAGGATACATACTGATCTTCTTCAGGAATCAATTTATCGCGAATATGATTAATAGCAACCCATGGTTGATGATTTGGATCACTAACATGTTTCTTATATTGTTCTTCTAATAGATCCTTTGCCTTTTTCAAGTAATTTTTGAACGCTGCTTCGTTCGTTTCAAAAGCTTTCGATTGCTTTCGAACAAACCAAGCTAATGTGAGAAGACCAACTGGTCCTAGAAACATTTACAAGAGATAGACAATCGATTCTTCAGGGGAAAACTCTTTACCTAAGATCAACAACGCCAAGTTTCTCAAAGTTTTGTCTACATCTTGACGAGCACGACATGTCAACGAACGTAAAGCCTCTTTGGTGCTCATTTTTGCTACTAAAGCAGTGGTATTCGTTTCTTTGTTATCCACAGTCCATAATCTAAATATTCATAAGGAATATTGATTGAACATTCATCCGATAAGTTTACATGATGTCAGAAACAGGTTTTCCTTTGATGTATTCAATCAATGCTTTCCATCGCTCTTCGTTGCCTAATTGAAATTTCAATCCCTAAAAACAATAAACTTGAGATTAATTCTCATGTAGAGTTCATTACTTTTTCGTCGAGATTCGTTTGTATCTCTTGCTTTGTCACGAGAATTTGAGACTTATCACGAAAACCACAATCAACTTCACCTATATAAACGTAAATGTTCATTTCTAATTCGTTGTCTTTCTATTATAGATCATACCAGTTCGGATTTGAAGTTGCTTTCGTACTGCTCCAATGACAGGTTTCATCTGATCGCAAGTTGACTAAAGTATGAAACATAAAAGATTAGAATTGATCGTTAAAGTAGTATCTTACTGCATTTTTGATAGAACATGTAATCACTACAAAAGAGTCGAGTAACAATTAAATCGAAAACTATGTCTAGAAATGATTACCTTCTGGAGGTGGAAACAAATCAGCACGCTTCTGATAAAGAAAAGCAAGTCCACCCAAAAGAATGGAACCAATCAGCGCAAATTTTAATAGACTTTTAAGCACATTCAGGCAATTCTTGCAAGAAGATGATTTCGATTTTGTACCACGTTGAGGTGAAGATGTCGATGTTTTCTTTGGTTTATCATCGGTAACAGTTTCATGATCTGACCTTGATGAGTGTCGACGAGTACCGGTCTTCGAGCTTGGTGATGGTGAACTTTGACGACCTGAAGAATCACGCGGTTGTCCGGAACGTAACGATGATACTGGTGTATTACCAACTGTACTTCGATCACGTGCTGAATCAAGCAGTTGTTTAATCTCACGACGATGCCGAGCAACTACAAATAGATCAGTTGAAGGAAATAATTGACAAAGACTCTAAAACTACGAACTTGATTGTTCAACATCATTGGTCATGTTTGCTGATGCTGGAGGACTACGTGTTGGCGAAGATGGTTTAGGTGATTCACGTTGGTGGCGTGATCCAATTGAACGGGTTTGAACATTCGTTGATTTTATATCAGAACGTCCTCGTAGTGCATTTGCAGGCGAGGCGTCGTTGTCGGAATCACTCAACTCAATCAAATGTGGCGTTTGCTTTGTTCGTGTTTTAGTGACTGATGTCGTTGTCGTTGTTGCTACATTCCCCCGAGCACGTGATGGTGAATTAGCAGCAAGTGTTCGAGACGGTGATGCAGTTGCACGTCTACCTGATGGTGAGGCAGGAGTGCGTCTAGTTGATGGCGAGTCAACGCTATTACGAGTTCGCGCTGGTGAAGCAGCTGATCGTGTACGTAATGGAGAAGAACTCGCCTGAGATCGTGATGGTGAAGAAGCAGCGCCAGTACCAGAAGTGCGTGTTCGTGTATGCGACCGAAGAACCTCGAGTCGAGCACGAAGTTGTTCTCGATTTCGTTGTGTAATTGGTGGCACAGTTTCGCCATGGCTAATTAATTCTTGACGTAATTGTTGATCAGTAAGAACCATTCTCAGATGAATTTCAATCTGTTGCTTCTATCTAAAAGAACTGTTTCAAATCAAATCAAATCAATTAAATAGTCGAAGAAGTCTTTGTTTAGATCAGCAATAAAAGAATGAACAACTCTGATTATGCGCGCACACGCATGTGCAATACAATGAGAGGTTAAAAGAAACCATAGACAATGTCGAAATTATCTAGCGTCACCATCTACGTGATTTGTATTGAGAATGCCGACCACAGACATCGAAAATTCTATAGTCCTTTTTTCCTTCATGTCTATATTTGACCGGCAATGACAATACAATGACAGAAAAGAAGCTATTATGCTCTATTGGTTAGTTGTCTAGAACTAATGATCAGACTCATCGTTTAGTGCTCAACGACAAAGTTAAAATTTGCAAAACATTTGACGTACAAATTGTATTTTATTTGAAATTTGGAGTTAGGATTCTATCTGAAAAATAGTTCACTTGGGTAGATGTCGCACATTGACGTTGCAAAATTGATCGACGCGAAGATTGAGGATACAGTTTCTTCGTCTTCTTGTGGTTGTCGCTTTATTCTACCTAATCAACCTCTTGATGTTCTTTTCGATTTAGAACTGAAAAGCAATTAAAATGTAATTTACTTGGAGTTTTTAGTTAACTTATATTTTCTTCAAGAAAATAAAAAAATATTTCTGCAGAAATAGCTATTTTTCGTTCATTTCCCGTGCGCATTGACGATATCAATGGTTGAACTTGTATATGTAGTATCTTTAATCACAGTTGCAATTCATCTGTTGTACGGATTCTTCCATTGAAATTCATTATTCCTTCGCTCGTGAATTTGAACACAATTCGTTGAAACAAACGGATCATTTCATAAACTATTTATTAAATTTCCCAATTATTTTTTTTTCATTCTAGTTTTTCTTTGAAATGACAACATTTACCAGAGAAATCTATTGTCTAAAGTATATACCTGACATGCAATGTACACTCGATCGATCGAAAGTTTACATATGACTCGTTTGGTGAATATGCAAACAACATCTTGCTACTTTTCAGTACACCTTGCATGTCGTCGTCTTCTTCTTCCTTTGATTAAACATACATATACAAACTTTCTGAAAATGAAAAAAAAGTCATTGTCTTAAACAAACAATTCAAGTGAGAGAGAGACACATCGAGTGTCGTATGGAGAAAAAGAGCAGCCATCGAATGTTAAATAAACTTGCTTGCAACCATGTCCGATATGTTGATCTAGTCATTCTCAATCGTGAATTTCATATCCATATATACAAAAGATAGAAATGATACTTGAGAGAATTATACTAACCGTTATGAGGAATATTGTACAAAATATCAGCTGATTCGGTGCTTGAAAAGACTAGTATATAATTCTCTCATGTTTCTTCGTCTCTCCTTTCTCATTTCTTTTTGCACACACACTTTCTTTTACTCGTCTTGTGTCAAACGCACTCGTTTTTAATGGAATTTCAAAATGCATCATACTTGGTAAGGGAGAGAGAGACGACGCTGTGCTCGCACACACTTTAACGAACATTTTCATAATTCTCTCTCGCTTTTTTCTTCTTCTTTGTGCTACTCCTGCTACAACTATTCTCTTTTCATTTCAACACAACGGTCGACTACCCGTCTTTCAAAATACACACACATACCTATCGGCATAGACATAGAAGAAAAGTACACTAAGCATTCGCGTAGCTCATCATTTGATTCAAGTGAGTTTAGTTCATTATTTTGCAATTCATTTTCATTTGTAATTTGAAACGTTATGGGAGAAATATATGTGAGACACATATGAAATAAATGGTTCCTTTCAGGTCGTAGTTTTCAAGTAAGAAAGTTCATCAGCTAGAAGAGAATATCTGAGGAGATATTTCGTTTACTTATTAGATCCTTTTCTTAATTGTTTTCTTTTCTACATAGATGAATAGAAAATGTATATTCACTAAATCTAATTGTCACCAGAGAAGAAAGGGAAAAAAGAAAGGAATTGACAGAAAGAACAACTAAATCATTTCACACTCACTTGCATCGCTTCCAGCTCATGTGTTGATGTCAATTTCCTTCATTTTACCTACTTCTCTTTCATACCGGATAGATAAGTAGACGATGACGATACATAGCTGTTTTCTCTTTAGCTTTTTGACTCAATAGTGATTATGATGGTAGTATAGCGGAAACGCCTTCGTTCTCTTTTTCTTCTTCTATACCTACGCGTATATATATATATATACACATACCTAGACATATACACACATTCCTTTTTCTTATTTCACATCTGTCATTTCAAATCATGAGCCGAAACGCTTGATGCCGTGCGTGCGTATGGGAAAAAAAGTATATACTGCTGCAAGTAGTAGTTGTGAGTGAATAAGAAAAGCAAAAGGAAGTTGTTACGGTGGAAATGAAAGAAAACACTTATCGATGAACTCGTACGAACATAAATCGGTGCGAGACATGATGGACATGACGCTTAGAGAAGGTATAAGAACGTCATTTTCAATCTTTGGAAATGGGAGAAAAAAGGTGACGACGGAGAGAGAGAAAGGGATTTTTTTACTTTTAAAACTCTTTAGTGTATGTGTTGTTCACTTAGTTGCATTTAATCACTTTGCTCGTCGTCACACTTGAGAGACAAGAGCTCTTACTTCGTTCTTTTTCCTCCGCCTCCTTTTAGAATAAGAAAGTAAGAAGAAGAAAGAAAAGGTATTCTTATAAACACATCTATATATCCACACTTGAACACTGGTGAGGTGGCAATCGTAATGATAATAATGGAAATGAAAATATTCGATTGACTAGCGATGAAGCGATATAGTTTTCTATGGAAGCGAAAGAGCGTGACATTGTTCAATAATGTATATGCGTATATTTCCAGATGATGGAACTGTATAGAGAAAATTTATATGATTACAGAACAGGTGGAAATCGGGGTGGAAAAGATATAAGTTGCCTGTCTGTTGTTGAGTTGAGTTGAGTTGAGTTTACTTTTCTTTTATTTCGATTGTCTATTTAGCTATCCGTAAATATGACAAGTGCGTCAACTCATTAGAAAAAGCAAAAGTCAGGTGGGCGAAAGTAACAGAAAAGCGAAGTGTCCAAATATCTTGTTATTGGAATCTAGAATGTACACAAACGGAGAAAGCGAACGAAAGGCACAGAGAAAGAGAGAGACAAAGAGAAAAGGAGAGAAGGAAAGACTCACATTCTCTCCCCCCTTCCTCCCTAATGTCTCTTATTCTACAAGTTTCTTTCTTTTCTTTCTTTTTTTATTCTCTCTTTAAATCAACATCTCATTTTGTTGCTACTACTTTTACTTCATTTTTTCTCACTCACATTTAACATTCATTCGTCCGAACTTACACACGCATATAAAGAGACATACATACGTATGGAGATACATATATACACCGTTCATTATTGAGATGTATCTTTACTGAGCGGTTGATTTTCAAGATTCCGCTTAGTATCGCTGCATCTTCAACAATCTGATTCGGTCTTCTCAACTGATCTTTTCCAATGAGCAACAATTTACTCAAATGATCTCGAGATCATATAACATTAACATGATACTTCTTGCAGGAATGCATTTGTCTGAACAAAGATTGTCGCTTGAAAGAGCTATGTCAATAAATCTCATGAGTACAAAGAAAATGAATCTTTAACTGCCTTTTGTCTATTAAATATCCAAACAAAACCAGAGTTCTACGCTGAGTACGATCCTATACGTATTTATCTTCCTTTGAACTACAAGTGAGTGATTAGCTCTGTAAATAAAGTTTTTCTTACCCTCCGGTCAAAATTCAAATCTTATTCGAAAGACAAAGACAAAAAAATACCTTGCAAACTCTTTTCTCCAAGTATATAACGAAATAGAAATTCACCATGTATTCAATACAACTCTACAAATTGATTGGAATCTTTCGTCAACATTAGACATAAATATCATTCTTTTCTCATTTCAACAGTGTCAACAGAAGTGCAGTGACGTAAAAAACTATGGTAGCGTTCGGTGTAAATAAAGAAAAAACAATTGGAATATGTAATTGAAAATCTCTTGCTAGTTCAAAAAGATAACACAGCATAGAACTTTGCCAGGAAGTGGTACATATGTACACAGAAAGATCGTCATCTTCCATCGTTCTCATTTTTCAATCTCAATGACAAATTACATCCTGTTGAAAACTAACGTTCTTAAATTGAGTAGCGCTCTTCGATAAATTTCAATTTAGTTAACAAGATTCGAAGAAAAGTTTACTAGCTGATTGCAAAAGTGTTCAACAAAATGAATTTATGCATATGACATGTGTAATTAAATAATGAAGTTGGGCTTCTTTCATTCAGTGATGAATATATTTACTTTACTTTGTTTCACTCAACTGATTAAAAAATAAAGATATTTACTCGCGATGGCTTATTTAATTATTTACAAAGTAATATGTATGAAACAAAGCTCGGCGAGCAAGAACACGATTCTGAGTGTCTTTTATGACACTCTTTCCTTTTCTGAATGCGAATATTTATCATAATGTACCTGCAACTACAATTTACACGAAACCTTTCCGGCATTCTAGATTTTCCTTTTGCAACGATTTGCGAGAAAAGCGACTATGAGTGATATATATACACATACATGTGAACAAGTTTTCTCGACTTAAAAAGGTAATTATAGGACAGACTAAGTGGCAATGAGCTCGTCCGGATAATGATAAGTTATGAATAGTGACTGATTGTATGAGTAGTTGGTCGACTTTAGGGCCAAAATCACTATCAGTGTCGATATAGAATGGAGATCGTAGTAACAATGGAAACAACGATTCGCATGCTAGTGGAAGTTTCGGCGCACGGGACGAGAGATTTGGATGCAAGTTTTCAGACTTGAATTGTGTGCAATCGATGACTAAAAAAATATTTTTAGCACGAAGTGGACTTAGTGGCGGTCGAAATGACAATGGGTCAAATAATAGGCACACTGACAGTTCGTCGCACATGTATACTATAATTAATTAGGCGAAGTATGAATCATTCTTTATGATGTCAAAAAAGATTTTTGTGGATGTTTTAATGCTTATTTTCCTGGACTGGATAAGAAGTTCTAGAATTCCTCCAAAAATATACCAATAATAATGGAGCGAATAGTGGATTTTCTCCTGGTGCCTTTCCGTAGTGGAAATCAAGCTTCTGACTTTAATGGGGGAACAGCTTCAGCCGATGCAGCACACGTAGATCAATGGGATGATTAACCAAAAAGGAATTGTTATTTTATTGATATTACATAAAGTGGTTGTGATTTGACTTTTCCCCAGATATGTAGCAAACAAGAGAAAAAATACGATCTTTTCTTTCATTATTTGTTTGAAAAGAATAGTTTATGTATTTGCTTGTACATTTATCATTTCTTTTCCTTTTTTTATATTCATTCATTCATGAGTACATTTTCGTTCTATATCTTCAAGAAGAAAACGACTTTCAATGTTCTCCTATCTTTTAATCATACTGTGTAAAAATTAGTTTGGATGCCACTCATAAGCATAACTTATTTACACAATGAAAATACATATGAGCACAGATGTGAGATCCGATACTTGTCGAGACTCATCACTTTCCTTCTTTTATTGTCAATCGTCAACCTATATATGTTACGTTGTATGAGAAACATCAGACTGTGTCATAGTTGAAAGTTTTCGTTTCTTTTGTTTTCTCAAAAATAAAATCCGACAAACATCAAATGTCGACTCAACAACACAGATTTCTCTCTCAGTTGAATTGCACTAGAACTGATGACGTTAGTTATTATATGAACCTAGCTGATATTTATAATTGTTCATAGGTGTATGCATGGAAGATGTTTTATTATCATATCTCCTTTGATCTATTACAATTATTATCCTTATATTACTTTTACATCAAACATACGCTTGTAATCCATGTCAACTTGTTGACCGTCGATGCTCAGGTCTGACTGATGTAAATTTAATGCCGAGAAAAAACGAGAAACCAGTGCAGACGAAAAAGTTGAAGAGATGTACACTAAACATTAATATATGTCGTGGATCGTAGAAGATTTCCACTGGTCGACATGCAGTTGCACACACAACTTGATTTAAAATCGAAGAGCTAAGAAAGAGGACGAGTATTCGTCGACCCCAACAAAACCATCGATAAGGATTTTTGAGATGGCTGAAAGAAACATTCCATAGAAGTGATTGAATCAAACAGATGAGAACGAGTGAGACAAAACTAAGGATGATGTTGATATCGTTCATATGCGTGTAACTATTGATATTATCGATAAAGGTTATTTTAGATAATGAACATTGTGCTAAAAGAAAATAACGATCAAAAGCAAAGTTAATAATAAAAGGTTCACTGGATTGAAAGTTTTCAATCATCGGACTCCTGAAGAGTATTCTTACTAAACAAGCATGTCTTTCAAACAGTTGGAGTTGAAGTTCAAGTGGTGTAAAAGAATCGAAACTTTCTTGATAGTTTTGTTAGAGTAGCTATCGCATTGTTTCGCTTGAATAAAACTTTTACTACCTGCCTGACTTTACTCAATCTAATTTCTGATAATACGAGATTTCCTTGTGGCAGATAAGACTATTCAACGACCTACTTTCGAGAGTCGATTCATATGGTGAATGAGGTATTGGTGATAGATTTATTTCTCCCGACGTTAGTTTAGTGATGATGTCTTCAATTGTCATGTAGATTTGTTTTGGTGAGAACCACAAAGCAACGCACAAGATAAAAGTCCAGACGTACATGAACTGTAATCGAAGAAACCAAGTAAAATAGTAACTCATTCTTGTGTTCAATCTAAATCAAATTCGAAGGTCGGCGTTAAATTCCTTTATCTAAACGATATGTTTGTGGAAAAGATTCTCAGCTAATAGGAACTATTCGGCGTTGTTATCAACAAAGATATCTAATCATTGATGGAAAATCTATGCACTGTGATATGCTTATGAGCTTGTTCACATCTTCATCCACTGATTGTTTCATAGGAATATTGCAGACATTTGTTCGATGAACATCCGAATAATCAATATACATAGAAAAACGTTCTGCTGTCATATAGAAGTCTTTTATAAAATCATACCTAAATTGATCGAGAAAACTGATAACAAATTTCGTTTTCATTGATGAATAGCTTGCACAGGATAGTGATTGAGTTTTCGTCATGGCTTTTCCTCTAAAAATAGTCAAAATGCTGATTATAAATATGTTCGTGCAGAAACAGTTGAGTATTTCTAAGAATCTAGTCTTCTGCCATTATTCGCTTATCATGTTGTATATGATCATCGAGGTCCTATTTTTTTCCTTTCGTTTTCGTTCACGAGAACTGTAGAAGCTCGCAGTTGAACTCTATAAACGAAGAGAAAGAAATCATCTTTTTCTCTTTATGACTTCATCTGTTTGTACTCGAATTGAAACTCTCGAAAATCATGCTTTTGCCGTGCGTTTAAGCGTTTTTTTCTCTTTGATCTGGACTCAAAATTTGTGACAAAACAATAAAAGATCATTGTTTCTTCACAATATGAGCTGATGCAATATCTATAGACAAAAATCACACCACTAAACAATACGTTCTGATATTTTACAACGGAAATGGTTTCGATTTAGCAGATATGAAATTTCACAATATTTAACGAATTTTGCAAAAGAAATCAGTTGATAGTTTTATATCACTTCTTCTTCGATTGACTACACCATTACTATGAATCAAATGATACTAAAACACGTTTAATCTTATTCCTTATATCTAGTTGAAACGATTATCGAATACGATAGAACATTTACAGTGAATACATATTCAGTTTCAACTGAAGTGATATTTGTTTGAGAAGAATGGATTGAAAGGAAAAACGAATGTATGGGAAAATCATCTTTCTCGACGTGTTCGTTCTACAGACAGAGAGAGGATAGTGAAAAGAATAAATTTAGTCCAATGGATGAAACATGTACCCAAACGCAATAAAGGGGTCACAGTTGGACATATCTTGAACATTCTTCTGAATCTTATGACTGGTCTTCAATAGTCAATGTCGTTAGTGTTTTTAGTCAAAAACTATTTTACATTTTCCCCCAGTTATTCCTAAAAAACGAGAGCGTTTTACTTTTTTTTTCTTTGACAAAATCTTTTTTAATAAGTGTTCGTCTACCGTTTGGCCACTTTTACTCCTATCATTATCGTCGTAAATAGCTTTTAGTATAGTCAAGATTTTCTCGTTAATGATAAGATCGAATATGTTGACCGTTTTGTTTCTTCTCGTCGACGAAAGTGACGGTAGTAACAGAGACTTAACGAACAAAAGTGTTAGAACGACGAGAATATGTAAGACGAAACTTTTCTTTTACTGTACATTATTTTATCACATCGTAAACGAAATATACGGAAAGAATCAACATGGCCATCATGAAAAATATTATGTTTTTTCTCTGGCAATATTTCCTAGTTACCATCTGCGTAACTGTACCATTTCTTGTGTGTCTAGCTCAATCGGTAAGATTATGGGTCCAATATGAGTGTCCTTTTTATACCAACGTGGTACAAGATATGCAAGTGTTGATTACCGTGATCATAGTATTCGTCGCAATATGCGTGAAGGATGTTGGTTATAAAATTGGTAAATACTCTTTAACGAATGTACTGAACGTTCTTGCAGCGATTGTCAGCGGTATGTTGGCCTCAACGGTACTCAAGAAATATTTGGATAAATCCGTACATATATGTTGCGAGGTTCTATTCTCAGTCATATGTGTAGTGATTTTATATATCTATTGGTCATGGTATTTAGATACGAAAGAAAAAAATGATTAAAAATAAAGAAAACATTTAAAGAAAAATGATGAAACGAAAATAATAAAGGAAAGATTATTCGCGATTTAAAAAGAATTCTTTTCTCATTCTATATCATATTCTCTCAAGAACAACGATCCTGATGTATTGAGATCAATAAGCTTCTTACACTTCTATAACACTATTGACACATAAAAAAGCTGGTTTTAGAAAATCGACTACGATATCATAAAGGACATAAGTACGTAAGTAAAACAATTTTCACAAACCTGACTGATGCAAATTTGACACCAAGGAAAAATGCAAAAACTAAACATATAATCGAATTGAACGATTGTACCATTACCACTGAGATATATCGAAAATTAAAAAGAAGTTCGAATGATCGACAAGCAGTGCTGTTAATGATTTGACTGAGAAAATTCGAAATAAAATAAACCGTTAATATTTGTCGGCCCCAACAAAACCATCGATAGGGATTTCCAAGTGATTTCGGAGGAATGTGAATGGAACTCAGCTGAACACACATAATTAAGCTGAAATAGGCAACAAATAAAAGGATATTGAAAAAAATCATATCCATGTAATTCTTAATTTTGATAGGAACTGTTAATGATAAAAAACATCGTCCTAAAGATAAAGAAACATGTTGGATGTACGAACTAAAACAATTCATCATAGAACTATTTCCAAATACATCTCTTTCGCATTAGACTTTCTAAAAACTTCAACTCTTGTTCATTTTGTATTTTGTTTTCATTAATCAGACCAACTTATTGAGCACTTACTAGCAACAGCCGATTCATGCGATGAATACACTACTGATGAGCCATTAATTGTGAATGTTAATTGTGGTTCAAAGTCCGATACTGATGTACGTATTGTCTGTGGCCAGAGAGCGCAAGAAAATGATATTACTACTACCACGAAGTACACAAACTGTAATCGAAGAAACCAGGTAAACAACCAACTTATTCTAGTTCTCAACCTATAGTAATATATACATGGCACGAATGATTATTTCGATAAGAGAATTACCCAAAATGGTTCAAATAATAGAATACCGAAGTATTTGTCATACATAAAGATGTTTGATGAACAGGAAATAAACGAATTGTTGTCATTGATTATCTTATCAAAAACAAAAGAGGAAAATGTTTGTAAAAACTCTTGATTCGATTACTATAACAAAGCCGACTTTTTAAGTTGAAATATTCTTTGTAGAAGTCGAACAAGATATCTCATTAGATAAACAAAGCTATTGAATTTTTGCTTATAAACCAACAAAACATTTTCCAAATGCTTCAATAAAATGAAATAGTTTTATAGATATCCTCTAAACTAATGTCGAGTTCTCAATTCAAAACAATCAAACACTTCAGATTATACTCTTCAATAGTTTATCACATGACAGATTATACACATAGCTCACAACAACGATTAGAAAGACGAAGTTTGGGATCTTGAAAGTGTACTATGAGAATAACATGTCGAGTATTTTGAAAGTGTACATACCTATACTTCGAATATCCAAATATGAACTTTTCAATTCATTCTTCAACAGATAGTCGTTTCCATCTTTTTGTTGAGCGAAAAGAAAACAATACCAAAGAAATGTAGTGACCTTTCTATTTCGATTTGTTTGATTGGAAGAAGGAAAGAAAGAAGGCAAAGGAAATAGAAGAAAATAGTGTCCGTCAAATGAGCAGAGAAGTTTAACAATGAATGAGATGTTGATGATTATGTTACACCAATCGTTTCTATTATTTTCACACTGCCATACTTTATCTTCTTCATATTATTCATTGATAGGTTCATTTGTCTTTGAAAGCTTCTTTTCATACACATGATCATTGTTGAACAATGTTAAAAGCGTGTAGAAGTGTTTACATGAAGTGTCTTTTATAGAACTATCGAATACTTTCTACAAAATATTTTCGTTGCAATTCAACATAAAAGACTAATCCAAAATAAATGTGACAATCGAGTAAAACATTGCCTTCATGTTATTAAATGTTCCTTTATATTTCAGTTTATATAAATTCATAATAAATCATAATGTTGATGATGTACTATAAACTGATCCTTATCAAAAGGTCTTATTCCTTTTAAAACGATTTCATATACAAATACAGATATTTCGCTAATCACCAAAGAGCACAAAATGAAATTGTAAACAAACATGTTGAGCAATTTCTAAAAAGCTTGATGACGGATTTATTTTACAGAGAAAAACGATATTCTCTACTACTTCGTATATTTGTGTTTGAAAAGTATCGACGTATACGAATTCACTTTTTCTGCATTAACGAAAACATCTTGTCTTCATTTATTTGATTTTCTTTGTGACGCGAATAATTCTAATAGATCTTTGAAATCAACTCGACAATACGATGCAATGGATGTATGCCGAACATCAGATTACAATCAAATAGTGCATTATTTCGTCTCCATATTCAACAATAAAAATCCAGAAAGACGATCTTCTAGCGCACCTTGTAGCAGATTAAAATTATGGATACTTACAACAACATAAGCAAGCGAGAATACTAGTCTGTCCTTTTTTTCAACGTACAGATTTATTGTAAAGTAGCTGCGACTACAATGCACGTGAAATATTTTCTGCATTCCAGATTTGGTTGTGCAATAGTTTGCGAGAAAAGAGATTATGAGTTCGTCCGAACGTTGATCAATATACTGATATACCTATGAGTGAAATAGACATGACATTCGGGAGAGAACCTTCGTCTGCAACAAATAGTCTATCCATATCGTTTATCAAATATTTTATTAAACTTCTTTTTTAGCAACTACGTAAATAATACATATTTGTTTATACAATGATCATATTAGATCCGTCAAAAAATGGAAAAGTCTTTCCGCATTGCGAGAGTGAATTCAGTATAGAGTAAGGTGAAGATATTGATTTAGAAACCTAATGGATGTATGGGTACAGTTGATTCTTTATCGACGATTTCACGAGCTAGTTCTGTCATTAATTTTGATCTAGCTACAAACGCTGGATTTTGGATAAGATTAAGATTGTAATTTATGCGATCATAGGCTTCTTCACACCAAATGCGTACCAAATTTGATTCGTGTACTGCTGTTGGTACTTGACTGGTGAATGATTGTGTACAACGCGATAAACCAGCTGCCATTGCATAGATATCAATGACAACATCACCGATACGATGAACAATAAATTGTTCATCCCGAATGCTTTTACCGTATTTGATCAGAATCTGTTCGATGGTAGCGCCGAATTGATCAATAGATTTCGATAGAAGAGTACCAGATGAATGAAGTGACGAATGAATATGTTCGTTGATGTTTGGGCCTGCTGCCATACCAATACCTCGGCGTAAGCGTTTTGAACCTTCACCAACAATGGCATTGAAATTAAAGCTTTTCACTGCTTGTTGCAGTTCCCGTAAGTGTGCGCCAACGTATTGTAAACCAGTGAATGCCACAAACAGACGAAGGATGTCGTTAGCGCCTTCGAAAATTCGAAAGATGCGTAGATCGCGCATGACTCGTTCAAGTCCAGTGGCTTTCATAAAGCCCATTCCTCCATGAATTTGAATGGCTTCATCCAAAACGAACCATGCGGATTCGGATGCGAAGATTTTTCCAACTGCTGCTTCACCTGCAATCAATCCAACTTTTGAAGAAGAAGCAAAATAAATAAAAGAACTTACATTGATATTCAGGTATGCCTCGGTCCATATTTTGCGCCAAAAGATACGCCAGACTTTCAGTTATGTATTGTCTCATTTCCATACGAACAAGTTTTTCTTGAACATTACCATATGTATCAATTGTACGACCAAATTGACGACGATTTTTAGCAAAATCCTACAAATTTCATTCTTGATCATGATGTTGAAACGCCAAAAACTTACAATTGATTTTCGAATTGCCATTTTCATTGTGCCTGACAAGCCTGCAACCATACTGAATCGTCCATTGTTCAAAATTTTTACTGCAACCTAAAAAAACATACAAGAGATCAATAGTCATTTTCTTTCTATCCGTCATCTATACTTTAAATCCGTTTCCAACACCCCCAAGTACATTTTCCACAGGAACTTTACAATCTTCGAAGTAAACCTCAGTCGTATTTGAGCTGTTGATACCTAATTTTTTCTCCGGGGCGCCGTTGGTAAGACCGCCAAATTTTCTTTCGACGATGAAAGCCGTCATTTTATTCTGAGTTTGACCAGTTTTATCATCAACAGTAGGTACTTGAGCAAATACCGTAAATACTTCAGCAATACCACCATTTGATATCCAAATTTTCGAACCGTTTAAAATATAGTGTTTACCATCAGATGACAGTTGTGCTTTGGTTTTGATCGAAGCTACATCACTACCAGCTGAAACGGATTGAAAATATAGTCTCCTTTCAGAAAAATCAATTGATTTCTCTACCTGAAGGTTCTGTTAGAGCAAATGCTGCAATCTGCTCCCCAGACGCTAACTTTTCCAAATATTTTTTTTTCTGTGCTTCAGTACCAAATAAAACTATGCCTTTGAAACCAATCGATTGATGTGCTCCCATACACACCGATATGCTCAAATCATGAGCACTAGCTATTTCAAAAAGACGTGCTGCTTGAGTATTGGTTAAGCCAAGACCGCCGTATTCGACAGGAACCTGGATACCAAATGCACCCTGTTCTTTCAAACCATTCATAATATCGTCAGGAATCTTGAATCATTGAAAAAAGTAAATTTTCATGTTATCCAAAAGAAAAAAAATGATCATTTACTTTTCCTTGTTGGTCATTTTTAGCAGCATCATTTTTCTCTTCGAAAAATTTCCACAATGGATCAATAAACATCTTCACATTTTCCCGTTGTTCTTCATTGAGAACGTTCGGATACGGAAACAACTCATTCGGATAAAATTCACCACGAAAAAGATTCATGACGAATGACGTAGATGTCTGCAACTCTTTCTTCGGCTTTGCAGACGGCGAAAGACGTTCTTGCTTCGTCTTTTCATGATCTTTACTTTCCTTCGATTGCGACCTCTGTTCGTTGATCAACGATTCAGGTGTGACTGGCGATGCAGCCAATGGCGCTGCCGACGCTGCAGTTCGGTGTATTACGACTCGATTCAATAGCGATGCGCACGATGGTGCACGTCGATAAACAGTATTAACAAATGACGAACTCATGATCTGAAATAAGATTGTATTAAAAATAACTCGGAAACATTTCATCCAGATTATATAAAAATACAAAAAGTAAAAACGCGTCGACCGTCTTTACGATAGTATGCGAAGAACGCGTAAAGAAAAATGCCTATACGTCATGTCTCACATACACACCCTCGGCAGAGAAAGAACGAAAATATCAAAGTCCATACTATGTAAAAAATACTTACATAATAGAACTTAAAGCGTACGTAGTATATAATCGATTCAAACAGTCTCTTCATGTTGATATGACGTTAGTTTTTTCTTTTGTCGTTCTTCGTCACTATCTATTTTACGTTTCAAACACGAAGCATCAGCACAATTGACATGACTGTCAAACGCTTCTCTATCTACTAATAACTTCTGACTAGTATTATTCACGGCATGGAATATGTTGCCTGCTAATATACGATTAATTTCTTGCATATGATTATCTGTAGTTGCAAATAATTCTGCGTTGTCACAAGTAAGTAGAGAGGAAATATCGACTTTGAGCAGTGTATTAGTACTAAACAGAATATATAGGTAAAATTTAGTATCACCGGCATGATTATTGGATGATATCTTGTTGGGAGGGAAACGATAGTCATTGATTGTACCATAGCTGGAGTCGAATGTTAATTTACGCTGTGTATTGGTAAAATTTATCAGATTTGTTAAACTAGTTATATAAACGGAATGGAACCTCTGTGAATAAACAGAAAATGCAATGTACGTGTTAGGATTCGATGAAACTACATCCATTTTCCAAATGGAATAAGTCAATGTAGAACTTCCATTCAGTTCATAATCTTCTAATGATTCATGTATTTGGTAATTTTCTTTTAGCATACTGTCGGAGGAATCGTATAGTTGAGTATAGAAGGTTTCTTTTGGTGATAAGGTTAATGCTTTGCCATGAATGAAGGCTCGTGGAGTACAATTCGGTAGATTCCATAAACGAAACATTCCTACAAGACAAATCCTTCTAATAGAATTTTAAGAACATCGAAGGAAACATATACCGTCGGCTGATGCAGAAATAATGGTCTGATGATCAACTAATTTCAAATGAGTAACTACATCCTGATGACCGAGACAATTGCTTTCATTGTGCAAAATATTCGGATAACACCGTAGACAAATTCTCTTCTCTTGATCAGCGTATAGCATCGATGATACCGTGTTATTTATATGTACAAGAGCGATATCAACTATCACGGATGAATGTTTCAATAGACACAAATCTTCTGAAACAATCAAAGGTTCATTTCCACCATTTAATAATAAATCAATTCCGTATAAAGATCCATTCTTATCAGCGACTAACAACAATTTATCTGTCAGATCTAAAGCCACAATCAAATCTTTCATTACAACAATCTGTTTTAATTCCCAGCAGACGCTTGATTTTGTATATACATTCACTTGTTGATCTGGTCCAACGCAAACTAAGATTCGGCCACTCGGACTGAATTTAATCAAGCCACACTCTCCGGTGTTCACCGGTTCAGAATGAAAAACTTTCCATGATAGTAGATTGTGTAAATTGAATACACCGACAATTCCATTTCGAAAAGAGATCGCTAACCAACCTGTCGAACTGATCTCAATCGAAGCCATTTTATCTTAAACAAAAATAAGGAAAAACGCGCAAGATAAACAAAATGTTTCTATTCATATCGATTCAATCAGCAAGTACATGGTCAAGTCATGAAGGACATCGCTGGACGATCATTAGCATTCTCATTAGTAGTCTCATCTGCTGCTATGTGTCTTTGCAATGCTTTTTACCGTGGTTGATCAAGAGATTGGGAAGAGAAAATTTCTAGTTGTGTTTTTCATGAGATTCGATAAGTTTCTTTGTTTTGTCTTTATAGTTTCGACGCACTACAATCAATGTTTCATCAAACGGAAACGAGAAATCGCAAAAGAAGAAACGACATCGATTACGAATCGACAATGATCATAGAAGGAATAAGATGAATAAAAAGAAGAGTACGGTATTAGAAACTGAAATCGAACAGATATAAGGAAAAAAGAAAAACAAACAAAAACAGAAAAATAAACAATAAAAATTCATCTGGGTACTTCTCTTTTTTTTTCTTTTGTTTCGAATAGATGCAATAACAAAAACAAGAACAAGAAGAGACTAATGAACATGACGTTTATCGCTTTCACATGACAGGAAAATCAATTAATTTTAAATCATCAAAATGTTGATGATGTCCTCCCGAACTACAAGTTCTTAATTCATTTTCAGATAAAACAAATGGATTGTTTTTAACAAACGTTTCTATATCATTAACACTTAGCTCATTTAATAATTGATAACTGCTAACTGGTTCGTCACATGCTTCATCGACCAGTGACAATTTTCTCGATTGACTTTCATCGGCATTCATTATTGTTTCATAAAACGTCGAATTTTGATCATCGTTGGCCGGGAGACTTTCGAGTGGCGGTAATGTTTCTTTGGTTTGTTCATTTGGATTCACAAATGTGATTTCATATTCGGTACCCGATTCGAGCACGTCTTTTTTCCGTATGGTTACATCAGTATCATGTTTCTCTTTCAAATGCATACGTAGTTTTGATGCATGAAAGAAAGGTTTCGAACACATCCAACAAACGAATGGCTAAAACAAACAAGTAGAAGTTGTATGGAATGAAAAGAAAGAGAAATATTCACTTTGTAATCCGCATGAATGATCAAATGCTTTCGTAAATCATCATTGCATCGAAATGTTGCTTGGCATCGATCACAAACATAAGGTCTTTCGTCAAGATGGCCACGAATGTGTACTTCGAGTTTACATGGAGCGATGAATGTCTTCTTACAATAAGGACACGCATATGGACTGATTCCTAAATGTCGTTGAATATGATGTCGGAGATTTCCCCATTGCGAAAATCTCGATCCGCAGAAATCACATGAGAATGGTTTGTCTGAATGGAATGAAATTCAAGAAAGTTTCGCATGTGAATTGATAGTTGAAACAAACCTCGTGTATGTACGCGTTGGTGTTTTCTTAAAGCATATGCAGATGAAAATGTTGCTTTGCATTTTTCACATATTAACGATGAAACTTTTCGTTCAGGCTTGTATGTTTCTAATCGAAGCTTTTGTCCATGTTGATTGACATGTCGCTGCAAACGTTCCATTGACACCGTTATTAGACCGCATATTGGACAGGTGAACCGAGTGGATTTGGGACCACGTACACGAGGCATATCATCGGTATTGACAGATGAAGATGGAGAAGTGATTGAAAGTTTATTGTGATTAGCATTAGTTGCGAGACTTAGAAGATCTTCATTACTGGAACGTTCAATTTGAACGATAGAATCTTTTATTATTGAATAGGCAAGCTGGAAATCATTGGTATTGCTCATATCGAAATGAGTGGGGATTGATGGTTGAAGTAATAGATCTAAATTTTCAAGAATGATCCGTTAGAAGCCGAGAGAAAGTCGTGTTTTACCCTGAGATAAGTTTGGTAGGCAATCAAGTTCTGGGGTAAGCGTTTCAATTGGAGAATAAGTTGTTAAGAGCTCCGAAGAAACAAATGTGGATGAGGACGTTGAATTTGAAATAAATTCATTTTTTAAATTTATTAGAAAGGCTTCATCAAGATTGGATATCATCGTACGAATAATCTAAAATGGGTAGACATACGTCAAGTCGATCTTCGCGAATAGTTCAACGCTATAAACGATCGAACAAACAGCTGTTCTGTTATTTTCTATTTTGGTTTTTTTCTCATTGGATACATATCTATATCCAGCCAAATGCATTCTTGCCGATAGATGCCATTCGGAGCAATGAATTGCAAATCGTCTCACATTAGTCTTTAATGAGTATAGTTTCGAATCGAGCTTGGTTGCATGTGAATTGTGAAAATTCTCTGAATTATTTTTCGTTTTTATTGTAAAGCTTATCGTACGTTATCTTTTGTGTTCTTGTGAGATTATGTTTTTCCGCAGTTCTCGTTGAGATTTAGTGAAAAACCGCTGACTTCTGTACGAGTTTCATAATATACTATACAGACAGCTTCGAAGGCAGATTTTGCAGATGCAACTCCAACACCACGAATTTATAATAACGATGGGTCCAAAGTAAACAGACATATTAAGCAGAGATACTTTCTGTTAAACGTTCTTTTTTCTACTTGCATCTTATTAAATCAAAAGTTTTATTTTATATTGATGATTTATTATTTATCATAAAAGTTCAATTTCAATTAATCAGTTTGATAAAAATTCAAACTATTCGATCTATTTTACTGAAGACGGTTTCGAGCGTCCTCTACTGTATCGCATTACCATTGAGGACTGAACTAAGTACATCCATTAACCAATAATGAAACTGGATTCTCTTTCAGTTTATGAAACCGAACGATCATACAAGTAAAGAGAAGAATATTCATGGCGGATGCTAATATTAAAACGACTGCTGATAATGCCGTTCATCGTCGTCCTGAAGTGGAACACTTTCTGAATTTAAATACAATTCTTCATTCCTTAGTGGATTTTATTCGACCTGAAACATACATCGCACAAGACGAATTGCAAACTTACAATGAATTAAAAGAAAAGTTTCTTCATCATGAAGAAGTAGCGAAACGAACTAAAGGGCAAACAAGCAAATCGCCTTTGGAAATCGCTGGTGTTCAGTCGATTCGAACAACATCAGGAATCTATCGGTTTCTCGCTCATCATCAAAGTACAAAAACCAACGGGTCGACAGTGAATAACAAACAAAAAGCAAAGACAACATTGACTCGTGAAGAATTACTCAAGAAACTTCATAGTAAAATGCCACATCGTCAGCAGCAAGCAGGTCAGTACTTACTTCGCCTGTTCCTTCTACAAAATCATTCATTCTAGAAAACGGAACTGATCAAAGTGCTAAACGTAAACGTACGAAGGATGAAAACAAAGATCGTCAAAAGAAACCACGTACTATGACAAAAGAATGGACAGCGCCATCGTCGAATTCGTCGGAAACGAAATCATCGACTCTTCAACCTGCAACTGTTCCAACTCAGCTCACATTCGGTCGTTTTGATTTCAATACCGATGATTCGCCGTTCACCGATTCGAAGAAGAAAAAACAAAAGAAGTTTCAAACGAAGCAAAAACAACTAATAAATACATTGAAAAAAGTCGAATCCGAACGGGATGAGTTGACGCGTTTACAAGAAGAAAATCCCGAAGAAGGAAAAGAACTCCTCCGTTCTAAACATTGGAAAACAGCATTAGCGAAAGCCAAGGGTGAAAAAGTTCGTGATGACGTACATTTATTACGTAAGACAATTAAGAAGCAGAGCAAACTTCGTCAACAATCAGCGAAGAAATGGCAACACAAGAAGGCAGAGACGGATAAGCAAATGAAAGCAAGACAAAATAAACGTCAAGAAAATATTCAAAAGAGAAAAGATGAGAAGAAAGCGAAAATTAAAAAACGACTGATCAAAAAAGGTCGTTTAATCAGTTAAAGAATAAAATTTCTTTTGTGTGTTTTTGTTTTCAGATAGTTTGTTTTCTCTTTGTCATTGATGTCTTCACGACAACTCGAAGTACTTCGACTCTATCGAGATTTGCTTCGATATAGTCAAACATTAAAATACACTGATGTAAATTTTTATTTAACAAGAATTAAACAAGAATTCGCAAAAGGAAAAACATTAGAAAATGAAGATGATATACTTCGACAAATAGCGGTATTATCGTTGGGCTAACTTCGCATGTGATTGTCTCGACTTTTTCTCTGTTTAGAAAGGACGGGAATTCCTAAGAAATAAACGTCTCATCTGATATTATTCGGCGATAACAGTGGATTTTCCTTCTATATAAACCAGCATGGTGCTTGTGATTTTTTTTTCTATTGAAAAGAAAAACAATGAAACTTGTTAATTTATCACAAACTGTTGGTAAATATATTAGTTATACAAGGAAAATTACAATATGACTAACATTCGAAAACGAGCACCTATTGTAGATAGGCGGTAACGATACAGAATATGTCTATTGACTATCAAACACTAGTGAAAGTAATTAGTTTTGATTAAAATGTTCAATGTAACTAAGCGCTTTTTATTTTCATCGTAATTTAAATGAACTATGCTATTTGCACGAAGATCGATATATCTCCAGACGCTAAAACTTATCGCCATTCATTTGATACTTCATCTACTTCAAAACCTGAATGCGATGTAAGATTGTCATTTTTCTCTAATTGACATTCTTTTGAACTAACAGGCTTCACTGGATAAAAATGTGTTAATTTTATTACCGAATGTTCCATTAATTGACTTACCACGTTTTCGCGACTCAATTATCTGGTCATGGAATAAACAGTATAATCTACCCAGCTACTTTACTTCGAAATCATATATGATCGATGCACTCAACATTTCATCTCGTACTCCCAAATCAATCTATCACCATCGATCTTGTGCAATCTATCGTGATTCCTCCGATCACGAAGTTAATGTCAAACGTATGAATCGACTCATTTTTAACAAGCATTTTCAAGTCTTTGACAACCATCGTCGCTGTAAAAAGCAATACATTCACAAAATTGATCAGCGAAGACAGCAACATTCGATACCCATAATTCATCAGCATTCTTCGGCTCCGCCAAAGCATGTGCCTACTATCAATCACATTCACACATCCGTCGCTTCACCTGTCACAAGACTATTACCAACACTTCCAGCGAAGAGCCATTTTCCTTCGCCTATCGACATTGCAAGTCACACTCGTTTTGGCAAAAGTATATTGGCGTTGTATTTTCAAAAACATCGGTTCATCTCTCCGAATGTAAACAACAAAAAAGATCAATTTCTTTGGCTTCTAGCTGCTTCTATTGATCAAACAGGAAAAAAATGCATGTAGGAATCGATTATTTCATTTCATTCGAAAGATAATTCACCGTTTACAGAAACAAATACTACTAAGGAGAAGAATGATAAGAAAACATTATATCTGATTTTCAACGTCTTCTGTACATCGAATGATTCATAATAACTTATCACAAGATTACTGATGGAATGTTTCTTTGTCTTCTTATCTGTTACTTGTCGGCGGTCGTTTATTCTTCTTTGGCGTTGGTGTACGAGAAAGAACTTTCAGTTCTCGATATTGTAACTAAAATTAAATCAACATCAAGATTACGTTTGAAACAATGTTTTGAATACGAACCAGTTCAGGATCCGATGGTAATCGCGAGAGAAAATCCGCTAATTCATTGTTGTCGATATAACCTTTAGGCTTGCGAAATCTTTTCGTAAATTTGTTTGTTATGAATGCAAGAACCAAGTATCGAAATGGTATATAGTACAATATAATGGAAACAAGAGCAAGAACGATAATTGCGAGAAAAGATAGCCAAGGAACAGTGAAATTGAAAACGCTATAAAGACAAGATTTTATTTTCATTTTTCGAGCCATTCTTATGTTTAGCTTACTTCTTAATGCGCTCTAATGTCGAAGCAACATCATCGATATAGCCCTGAACTTCTAAAACAGTATCTTGAATGCCGTGAATAACGCTCAGCAATGATTTCTTTTGTTCCTATTCGAAAACATCATCGAGTCCAGATGATAAATCTCGGCCGAACAATTTCTTACTTTAGTGTTGAGATCCGTATCAAGTGCGTCTTCATCGATAGCCATCGGTTGTATTACTGATGATACTGTCTAGAAAAACAGACGAATCTATAGAGGAATTTCCATCAGAGATGACCTACTTCGTCTCCTAATGTAGCAAAAGGTTTCCCCAACGTTCCTCGACGATACTCTACAATTGCATTCCATGCAAATATCAACAACAATGCACAAGGTAACATATACAATTCAAAATTCCAAACAATCACCAATGACGCCTAAACCAAATCGCATTTTCGGTCGAATTCATTGCTCATTCATATACATTCTACTTACGATAAAAGTGCAGAAACTCAACATGGGATTTTCCCATTGAAAACAGTCATTGATAAATTTCACTGCATTGACAACGGTTCTTAGTGAATTTCTGACACGATTAATATGTTGTTTGAAAACCTAAAAGTGAATATTAGTTTTCTTTGAATCGACACAATTCAATCATACAGCAAGTCGAAATTTTCCATCTTGTTGATAGTACCGAAACTGTCTGGGATTAAATGTTCGAACAATTGCTCGTAACTAAATTATAAATACATCAGTCAGATGTAGTTCAACGTAAAAAACATCTCACATTCGAATAGACTAGTGTCGCTTCGATTTCCAAAATACCTTTGACAGGTAAAATACATTTTCTATCTTTCAATGTCATCCATTTCTTTTCGCCATTTCGAATCTTAAATTTTCATAAATGAACATTCGCAAAAATTAACTCGAAGGAAATTTTCCTTACCGCTAGCAGTGGAATTGATACTTTACCAATAAATTCCGTTGTTTTGTTCATGTCTTCATCATAAACTGTCAATTCGAGTATTGAATGAATATCCTGTACAGGAATGACGAATGATTTGTTCCAAACAGGATCAAGTGTCTTGTAGATTGTATGAGTACGCAAACGAGTTGAATCCACTTCAATTACACAGAATGGATCTGATTTGCCATTGATATCCTTCGCACTTAAATCTCGTGCTTGGTAAACTAAACAAACATTTATTTCTAATCAACAAGTTCAATCTTTGAAATTACTTTTAACTTCAACAAGTCCAACATCACGAATTGATTTCATCGATCGTAATGATGATAAAAGGCTCTATTGAGATATACATGATTCATTCAATAAAATATTTTCCCCTTGTGTCGCGACTCACATAGTGTTCAATTTCTTCGTCAGTTATTCTCGATGGCAGGATATCCATTGAGGTAGTGGATAGTGTTTCAGCTTCATTACTCAGTTCTTGTGCTGGTGCTATACCGGAAATTGTAACAAATAATTCAATCACGCCAGCATTGTCATCGAGATCGAGTAACAAACGATGCGTTCGTTCTTCATCCAAATCCGATAAATTACAAATTCCCCTAGAATTCAACATTTCCCCTAAAGGACTTCTTTTGATGTTCTCAATGTTTACCTTCCAATGAAATCCCCCGAGCCACCGGTATCATCAATGACAGTCAGCTCGAGGGATGGAAGTTCGTTTATAACGATTTCATAAATAAATGATTGGTGCCATTTGGGATTGACAGTTGACTTCACCGTCTAAAAACAAATGTATCGACAACAACATCTACAATCAAATCAAAGTCATTCCTACCTGAGTTCGATATTTCTTATTCGCACCAAATTTCAATCGAACGTATGGATTCAATATCTTACTTGCACTACCAGCAATAGTTAAATTCCTTCCTTCGATGATAAATACATCGATCGTTCGACGAGTCAATAGAGAGGAGTTTATTCCTCCTGTGCGGGCAATTAAAGATGACTTTCGGTTGGATTGCTTCGACAATTTTCGTAGTACCTATGAGGGTACACAATCAGAATAAAAACAACTTCACAGAAGAGCAGGTTCATTTTACTTCGTCGCGAAATTCTGATGTCTTTTGTGTCACACTTATATTAATAATTAATAGCCCCGTCTTACCATCCGTTCTCTTTTCATTCTTCAATTCCAATGTCATACTGGAACTTTCTCCGACATTTAACTTATTCAGATCGATTCTCGCCGATCCCATGGATTCATCGCGTCCAATCCGATCATAATCATACATATAAAAATATATTGGAACACCGAGATCGTTGATGAAGAATGTGACTTTTTCATTCCAGATTGGATTCAAATTTTTATATACAGTATTAGTCACGTATTTCTCTTCGGTTCCATAATAGACTTTCACATATGGATCGCTTGTCCCATTCAAGTCCTTGATCGATAAATCTTTTCCTCGATCAACACACAATTCCACGAAATAGATCGCTTCGAGTGGATTGCTCGGCAAGGAAATATTCGTTACAACCGATGTTAATGAAGGAGATTTTGTTAATGAACTTCGTGTTTGCTGATTCTTTATTTTACTGTTCGTCATCCGATTCGAATTCGGTGATTGAAACATTTCTGGTACCGCATCATCATCATAATAGGATAGAGGCGTATCAACGGAATCTTGTCGAAAATTAACTTGATTATCATCATTGACTAACATTGTGTTAATCAAAGCTTCCGATGGCTGTAAATTTCTCTCACTCATATTTGAACTCGCGACGAATGTATTCGTTGATTTTGATTCCTAAATGGAGGTAAATGAGAGTAATTAGATCGATATACTCAATTAAAAAAATCTGCCACCTTAATACATGAACAAAAGTATTTCATCGTCGGATTAAGAAAATTCATTTGAAAAGAAAATTAGTCTCATTCACTAGAAAGTGTCGTCATTTGATAAGATACTTACAGTACTTCTTGTTTTCTCTTTTTTTTTCTCTATTTAATTTTTTTCCCAACTGACAGACAATTACATGGGAGACTAGGCGGATGTCGAAAGTGCAACAGATGATCAACGACAACGGGAAAAAAACTTATCTTGATCGACTGTCTCAGAAAGCAAGCAAACATTGACAAAGGAGAGACGAGAAAAAACGAGAAGAATAAATGGATTCTTCTCTTTTTCCTTTCTTCTCGTTTCACAGATTCTTTTTGCTTCCCTCGATACAATATTGTCACTTTCGCTTCCCGAATAAATGCGTGTGTGTGTGCGACACAATATATTTTATTGCATCTCATTAACAACTTATGTTCTAACTATTAGAAGAATTTTTATCCTAAGAAACACATTTAAAAGCATTGAAAGTGTCTAATTAAATTGATGACATAGAAAACTGGTTTTTATCGCGGAATCCTTTTCACTATAGAATGAACAAAAACTTCGCGCGGAAATAATATCTGACTATTGACAAACGAACACGCACACAAATAATGTTACTTGAAAGTTGAGTGATCGAGCAAAGATTAGCCCGAGTAGATTGTTTTTATTCTTTCTAAAAAAAACGGCTAATTGAATGGATCAATACCAAATCTTCAGTTAAATCTATAACAGCACGCGACCAAGTATGGAAAACGCTTACTAGTTAAGTCTGACTGATTAAAATAAAATGAGTTTTCCTCACGTCAAGTGCATTCTCGCAGAAAAGATTATTCTATCAAAGGAAAAAATATCTCGTTCCTCCTGTATTGATATCAGTTTAATAATTGCACACGTGCGTGTGTTTACCGCTCGCGGTACACATTGCTAATGTCGACATTTGAATAGTAGAACTCCGCTTTATGATCCCATACAGGTCAAAAAGATAAATCATATCAAGTTCATTTTTCTCAATAATCTTCAAAAATAAGCTCGGCTCCTGCATTCAAATCCCTCGTTTGGAATAGACTAACATATTGATGTCTAACATATGCAAAAGAACAATAATCAGATCAATTATCTAATAGGAACGATGAGTTTATCTTGATCGACGACTGATAACATAGATATAATGATGAAAAACACATCCCGCTGACGTGACGCTACCGTCTCTCTATACATCTAATTTACATATTTGAATAGAAACGTATATTCTGTCCGAAAAAACAAGACTCACTACACGAATTTGAAAGAATGTATATACATCTGTCTCCTGGATCTCAATGTATCAAATAACGTCGTTCGTAAAGTGTGCTTTGTCAAACATCAATGGCTTGTTATGTAATTTAAACGGACAATATCTTTTTCTACACCTTGCTAATGTAAAGTAATTATTGATAAAGTCATAAATCTTTCATAATGTATTCTTTTTTATACGCCAAAACGATGATTGAGCGTGAGCTTTAAAGATCAATTAAATCTTTTTTCATTGATCTGTTATTCTAACAGATTCTTCTCGAATAACAAATGAAATTCAACTACTTACTGGAGATAAAATCACGGATGGCAACGATGAATGTGCATACTCGTCACTATCTAACGATGTTTGTAATCGGCGACTTTTGTTAAAACGTGATTTGACTTGATTTAGCAATGATAAATGATGTGTAAATGAGATCGGAGTCGATTTTTTCGTAGGAGATTTTGTTTGCATGTTACTAATGTCAATATCATCCAGAGATGTAAGGTTTTTATTCACTAATGTATATACAGGTGAGTTCGTTCTTGCTTTAACGGTTTGACGTTGACGATTGATACCAGTGAATGTTTCACGTACTTGCCGCAATAGTGAACGAGGACGCTGTTGATTATCTGTATCAATATATCCGTCAGACATGGTTTACGCACTAGAAAAAAAAAGAGAAAGAATGACTCGAGCATTATAAATACCATCTTCGACTCTGCATCAATAATTTAACTAAACATCTGTCAAAGTTGAGAGTTGCAACTGTGGCTAAATATTGATCATCTGTGGAGGAAAAAGTGTTTTCGTTACATATTCCTATCCGCTGTTTTTTTTCATTCGCTAACAGCGAATAAACAACCTACACGACTTTTCAACGTTGATTTTAAGAAAAAACACGAGGGCGTGGTATACTCAAACACTACTATGGCATCGTGTGAGAAGAAATAAGCAAAGAACAAACTAATACGTCATCGATTAAAAAACAAGTTCACTTTAGAAACATTCGACGTCATTTCACGTTTGCTACATGTGAGTACTCCAGTCGAAAATATTCAAAGTGCGCTCTGTTTAGAAATGTCAGCGTGTTGCGTTCGAATCAATAAAGAGACTCTTCTCCAGTAAATGCTAATGATTATCCTGATTCGAAAGAAATCAAGTTCATTGATTATACATTCGATTAATGTCTGTATATATATAGCGTCGAAAGTATTTACTTTTATCTGTTCTATCAATAATAGATATATAGTATCGTTGATACAAGTCAATATTGATTTGTCAAGAGAAAAAACGAAATATCAACGTCGATTTTTTTTCGTTTTCGATATATGAAAAAAACGGTTGGAGCGGATGAAGAGAGAGAAAAAAGCAAAATAATTGTAAAGATCAACTCGATTAATAACGATTATGCCTATCGGGAATGTTCGCTCTGCCTAAATCCTCCGTGTGCGGAAGAAAAATTAGGTTATCTATTTCTCATAATCGTATTTTTTCTCTTTGATTCCTTTATTGATGACTAAATGTCATGTACTCCCTTTCGATTAGAACTATCATTAATAAGATGGTTTTTTTTTGTCTTTCTAAACGATGAAAAAAGGAAAAAAACAAACGAATGAAATTCATTCATCGACCCGAACATGCAAATCAACAGTAATGCACAGCTGAAGCAACTGTCATGAAAAAGAAATGTATATAAACAAGTATGTGTCACAAGCCATCGAAATATCTTATCGATCTTTCCTTTTGAATAGCTGCTGACAACGTCGAGTTAGATGTTCGATCAGTGCGAAGTTTTTCTGCTTCTCTACTTGAGTATTCAGTATGAAAACGAAGAGATAACGAATGAGAACTATTTGTTGACATGTGAAGAAACGCCGAGAGAATTGCTTTCAAGAAAATTGTCAAGATAATTCACTTTTCTTTCTACAGAATATACGGGATTTTTCTAGCGAATAAATTCATCGACGAGCGAAAAAAAAAAGAAGAAGACGATCGCCGATCAACCGGTTGTGTTCGTGGATAGTCGAATAAACAAACAATATCATTAGAAAAAGAAGAAAATATACAAATCGCATTTGTTTTTCTTTCTTTCATCGATTCAAACATTCGAAAAAAGATGTGCATGCTTCAATTGAAAGAATTTTCCTATATTTGTTTGGTGTCTAAGTATTAGAGTGATATATTTCACACGTTTTTCTTTCTTGATGATGGTTGTGCTATAGTGACAAATAACAAACAGAATAGTAATAACAAGAACAAAAGGAAGACACAGTTAACATTTCTCCGGTTAAGTTTCCATCGATGTTTCGGTGCCTTGTGTATCAGCTGAAAGAAAAAAGTGAAGATTATCAATTGCGAAGAGAAACGAAGGGGAAAGGTACGCACAATTAAGATCATTGAACATAAAATACTGTTCGTATTCACGGAGATTGTCACTTGAACGAGCTTCGTCGAGAAATACTTCATAGACACGTTTGACGTCCTCAACAGTGACTTCACGAGCCTAAATAACAGGAAATAGCTTCAACAGATGTTTATTCACAGTGACAATTTTACTTTTCGATTGCGACTGATTATACTAGAAAGTGTGATTAATTGAATGGAATAACGTAGAGACGTTTCTTTGCCAATTTTCGTTAAAACATTCAATGCGTCATCGGAAATTTCTACATCTTCTTCTTCACATCTAAACAACAACCAATGAATATCGTCTATCACCTCAATTATAATCAAATACCTTATCTTCAGAATTTGTTTGATTTCGTCTATTTCGTACGGTTTCGTTGTTATGATCAATAAACGATCAAGTAGATCGATTGGAATACCATGTGGACTTTGTTGGTTTGTTCCACGAATTCTACACACAAAGAATACTTTCTATCAAAATATATTCTCTTTTTCTCAATATCTTACTTGGTTATTCCTCGATTTGTAGCCATGATTAAAATCGGTGCCATATCACTTTCTAATGCTCGATTTAAGAACGAGAAGCATTCAATGTCCAACATATGAACTTCATCGATGAATAAGACGCCTGGTACAATTTCTGATTTTCCTTCTTCACGCCATTCAGCAACTTTATCATTGATTTGTTCACGAACTTCGGATTTGATTTCACCTGTATCACCAGAAAACAATGCGAGAAAACCTTGTGAACGACTGTTGATGACATCGATTTCATGTAATGTCACTGTGTGTACAACTTCTTTACGCTTTTGTAATTCACCTTCAGGACATTGAACAAATTTCGTCTAGAAATTCTATCAATCTATATCATTCAGACTGAGAGAATTCAATTACTTGTGGGCCCATAGCATCATAATCTTTCGCTCGTGTAAAGGATCGTCCTAATCGAGAGATTTTTCCACTAGCTTTATCGATAGCAATAACATCACTAAGGGAAAATAAAATTAAAAATAATGGAGATATGTTGATGAAGAAAAGTACCCAGCTTGAACTTTTTCTTTTGTGAGTGCTTCGATCATCTTCTGACCAAGATCGTAAACAGTCTCCATTTCAGTGGTTTTCAATGTCATTTTACCGATTTTTGCACCCTAGAAGAATGATGTGTTGCTCCACAAGTACTCTATTATGTGCTAGACTCCATACTGTTCCTGTTGCAGGTCGATCAATTTGAATTTCGACAACTTCACCTTCTATAAATTCTGCCTCTTCTCTATAAAAAGAAAAGTTATTCAACGTTATTTTATTATGTAACTTATTTACTTTATTCGAACACCGATAGATCGACGGAATGCTTGAGTTAATGCTTCGGTTTTGCTCATTTCTCTCGAGAAAATCTCACTGCCAGACATTGCAGTAAATGGCGTATCAGATCCTAACGCTTGTGCAATACCTAAAGAAACTCACATGAGAATCACTGATCGATATTTCGATATCAATATACCCATTGCAATGGCAGTTTTCCCCGTGCCAGGTTGTCCAGCGATGAGTAAAGCTCGTCCAGCAATTTTGCCTTCTTTGATCATTTCGAGAATCAATCCAGCTGCTCGGCGAGCTTTCATTTGACCGACCATACCCTGACTAACATTCCGTGCTTCGAGACTGTCATTTAGACCCAGTCCACGAATATGAGAGTGCGCACCTAAACATCGAAAATAGTCAGTAGAGTAAAGAGAAAGATTACAAATATGTACCAATTCGTTCGATACGTGTGACCTCACGAACTTGTTGTACTTGAGCGGTTGACGGCTAAAGAAGAGATGAAAATCTAAAATCATATACAGACACCGAGTCTTACCGCTTCCATTGAGTGTGAATTTCAAGAAATGTTATTACTATAATGAATCAACTAAGAAAAAGACGAGAGAGCAACGTTGCCTAGGACGGACTCTTTCTTTGTTTGAAAGTGAAGTTTACCTGATAGGCTCTTCATCGCGCAATGAATGCGCTATACGAGTGTAACAAGAAAAAGAATAAATCTCTATGAGAAAAGAGGTCACTGGTCGTATGCTGGTTTTGTCATGACAAAATCTCGCTTATCTATTTCAAAGTTTTATACAAGAAGTAATACCATCTCGATAGTATCAAAACAACATGTGATTATCTTTGTACATTAATGTCACAGCTTTGTTTTTTTTTTCAATAAATTTGTTGCTACTAATCATCTTTAGTGTCTATGAACAGTGTAAAAATCGTGCAAATATAAAGATCCGATGAGATCTAGCTTGCTCTGTATTGAGAGTATTATGTATCGAAGTTGAAAAATTCAACTGTGTTTCGCAAGTTACATTTGTTTGAATTTTGTTTCTCAAAACAAAAGATAACAAAAAGTGCTTAGTAGCATAAATTAGTTTGCCAATGCAACGCAATCATTACTAGAAAACATGAAATTACAGTTATGTATTCGTTTTATCAACTATTCAAGAACAAACTAGAATGTTCGTCTTGCATAACAACGAGAAACTATTTCTATTCAGTTGTGCAATACAATGTAGGCTGTTGAGAGTATAAAAAGGCTGCGCACAATAGCAGACATTAAGTTATTCTGAAGAACAGCACGGTCAAGTGTCGTAACTTGTTCGTTCTCTCAGCTTCCGTATACTCACAAAACTGCATCGTAGTCTGGAAACTTTTCAAAGCTTCCTAACACACTTTCCGGTCTTCGGGTGGTACGTTCCAACACATGTCTGAATGTGGGGAAGCCCGGCTATCTTCCATCGCAAGATGAAGCTAACGGGCCCCACGAGTCCTACCACTGGAGGCCCTTTCTTCAAATAACTGTATCAGTCAGCACAAGCATTCAAATGTGTTCGACTGATACGTTATTTCGTAGTTAGGGCACCAGTTTATCGTCGATTATTTGCAAGACAAACCGTGCGATTGCTTTTCTTTTAGGTTGCCACGAATTAGATTCACAATATGTAAGAATAAAAAGAGTGTATTTGTTTTTCTCTCAACACACCACGTGATATTTGTTGTGGAGGAAAAACAGTGATTGCAACATACTTCAATAATCTTGTGAAAGCTGATGGATATATTCCATTTTTGTGTATTAAGAGGAATCGAACATGCTAGCAATGCATTTTTGACCCGTTGACTTTTAGTGCATGTGTTTCTTGATAAGATCGTGTTTGCAATAAGTTTCGATTTTCGAATGAAGAAGCAAAAGAAAAGACTTTTACATTTCGTGCTGAGTCGTCTCGAATAGATTGATATCATTTTAATAGTTCATTGAATTGCTCTGTAGAAATTAAGTCAATTGTTCGCAATCGTATTGTCTATCTGTTGCTTGAAATAAATTGATTGCGAGATAAAGATCTCAGAGCAAAAGGAATCAATCAGTAGTAAAGCACTCTCTTCGCTCACTGCATAGACATTTTCCCAGCAAATTCACACATATGGCACTACTAGAAATGTGCTAGTGCGATTGCTTGCGGCATCAACTGACACATAGCCATAGCGAACAGTTTTCTTATGCTTGTACGCTACTTGATCCACTCGTTGAAGAGCACAGATATATAGATTGTTTTTCTGGTCGTGTGCGTAAGTACGCTCATTCATTCTTGTTGCCGCAAAGAAAAAGTTTGATTAGTGCGCTTGGTTGCACGCATTTCTGATAGGAGAAAATTGAGATTAGAAGGCGAAAGAGAAAAAAAGAAGAAAAGTGGCACCTGGCACGTTCATTCAATCGAATATGTTTATATCTCATATGTATGTATAGATATATGTATTTGTCAAAAGAGCAGAAGAAAAAAAAATACAATAGGCAAAAAAAAGAAGAAAACGGCAAGCTTATAATAACAAAACGGAGTTAATCGATGCCACCATTTCCATTCTTCATTGATGACGATGTAGATGTTGTTGCAATGAACATAGGATAGTTCTTCTCGTAGTATTTCAGCATTTCAGTTAAATATTGATGAAAGACATCGACAGCAGCGGAGAGAGTTGGTGCACCAAATCCATGCGTGATGAGAGAAAAATTCGTTAGCGAATCTTGAACATGAGGATCAAGAGTAGGAGGAATTGTGAGTAGATGTCGATGTGCAATTAGCGAGGAAGATGTCGAAGATGAACCAGGACCATGTCGTGAATTGGATAAACCATTTGCTGCGTTTCCTGGCGATGCGACATTGACAGGTGAACGATCTTGTTTGAGTAAATCACTGAATTCTTTAGTTAATTGTCTAAAAAATTGCAAGTTTAAAAAAGATCTGATTCGCGTGACGTTTATCAGATTATCTATTTCTTCTTATATTTCTCTCCTATTCATTCTTTTCCCCGAGCGAGTCAATGAGAAATAAAGAAGTTCTTTCTGATAGTGTTTATAGAAGTTCTATACAATCTATACTTATTCCAGGAAGTTCCGCTATCCATTGAGGAAGTTCAAACGGAACCGGAACATTTTCGGAAGAAAAACCATAGATTACAAAAAAGAAATATAATACTAATCTTCTGTATTTTCTCGATTATTCCTAATTGTTTCATTAAACAGATCGATCATTGTCAAGGATAACTTACTTAGCAGCTAAAACCATGTTTCTTCGTGTACTAATTTCATTTGGATCTGAATGATGTCTTGCTACATAATCTGCTGTCACTTTGGTTGGAAAATCGTTTTCACACACAGTGCGAAAATCGATTGCCAATTGATTTGCCTCTCCTGAAAAAAAACGAGAATTGAACAATAAAGGCGATTCTTTCCTTCAAATTATCGAAGATGATCATCGCCTCGAGGCTTTCCTCGATTTGACCACTCTAGAAGTATAACATCAAGATGTATATATATATATATATTGTGGACAGCTGATGCGTGCAACACGCATCCAGTGAGGTCAAATGATAATGAAATTTGTCTCACATTACTAACAGAAGAAATTTAATGAACAGAAACGATGACGATCATGTTTTGTCATTGTAAGTTCTGATTGCTTACCTTCTACAAGAGATGTAAGTAACGTCGTCGTTGCTGCTTTCCGACGGCCAGCTGGTAGGTTGACCCCGATCTTCTCCAATTTATTTCGAAGATCTCTGCCACCATTTTTCGATTTGGCTCTAGTAGATACGAAAAGGAAAAGAAAAAAATTAATTCATAAGTCTTATAATTCAATCAACACCATCAAGAATGAAGAGAGAGAGAGGGAGAGGGAGGAGGAAAAGTGCCTTAGGCTTTTTCTTTGTCGAAATAAACTAAAGTGAGAGTGCCTCGTACTAATTGAGTTGACATCTCGACAGACTGCCAAACCCATCATTTTGCTACTGTCGATGTCTATTGAGGATTAGATTCTCGATAGATTTAATTTAGACGCTGTTTTTGTCTCTTACCGTCTTAGAACTCCACCAAGCAAGGATGCATTGAGACATTCTGGTGTGGAAAGGCGTCGTTGGACTTCACTGATCGTTACTTTGTATTTTGATGTTGAGCTGAGCAGTGCCAATCGGCCAGGAACTGAACGTGAAATAAAGATGTCAAATCATGATGAAAGAGATAAGATTTTTACCTAAACAGAAGTTATCAGTTGGCGAATTCGAACCACCACTGCCGTTGACGCTACCCGAGCACATGGAAGAAAAGGAGCTCGAGTCTCTTTGTGGATCTGAACGACGACCATCTGTAAATAAATGGATTAAACGAAAAGGAAATCTCTGATTATGTTAACTTTACCTCTGCTTGCCGATGATCTGTGATAAGTTGAGTCACCCATTTGTAAATCATCTCCGCCGGCATTACCCGTTGAAACTGCTCCATTGAGAATCTATAGAGATTTTTTCATGTCAATGAACACATACATACTCGAAGTCAATCACAATATTCGTCACTCATTCATTCTTTCTCTCTCTCTCTCACTTCTCTGTTTCTGCTAGTATCAAGTGTTTAATGTACATGATGAAGCTGCCTGCCCACTATTGTATTTGGTTGAATGAACGACATCAAGGCTCTTATCATAAAGAGTGGAACAAAACTTTCTAACTTACACGAGCTGTATGATCGACAAGCGAAGTGGCCGATGTCTGATGATGTTGTGAATGACGAGAATAAAGTTCGACCGCGTGATGATGATGATGATGAGCATCGAGAATCGAATGATGGTGACGTGCTGCAGCAGCAGTTGCTGCATAAGCTGAAGTGTATGGATCGTACGATGCTGTGTTGAATGTATTACTACTTGGACTTGCATGTTGATGATGCATTGCTGTGGTAGTTCCATAGGGTGAGGAAGAAGCTGATGAACCATTCGGCGTAGCATAGTTAAATGTTGGATAATGTTCAATAGCACTTGCTGCTGCGGCGGCATGTACATCGAATTGAGCAGCAAAGGCTGGATTGAATGGAGGTGGAAAGTATGGAAATGATGGGTCAGTTATGGCACTACCACGAGTACTAAGCGGTGCATTGAATGGACCACCGCCAACGGATGACGAGGACGATGATGTTGGTGATGAACCATATTTAGTATCCTGTAATGAATAAGACAAATCCATTGATATAGAAGTCTGATGAATGAAGTCAGGAAAAATCGAATAATGTGACATTGAGATGGAAAAGAACAAAAAAGAGAGCAAGCTAGTTAACTTAATGAATTGTTGTTTTTACATACTAAAGAAAATAATTGACATGGTCGTATACTATTATATGCATGTGTATACATCAATGTATGTTTTTCTAGCGCGATACTAGACAAAAAAATGAAGAAATTCATTTTCTTTGAATCTTATTCCCTCTTATGTTTTTATACTATTTTTTTAAACTTGCACTACCTAGAGACCATCCGGTGACAAGAAAATAGCAGAAAACTTACGTCAGTGTGTGCACCACTACCGTTCCCACCGCCTGAATCAATTAGATCAAATGCGGATGGCATACGATGATGTTGTTGGAGTTTTTTTCTTATTCTTCTTCTTTCTCAGGAGCGCTACGTTGGCGCTCTCCTGCGGCAGTTCGACGATCGATGATGAGATGACAACAATAAACACCCGAAGCAAAAAAATGCACGACGATGGAATTATACGTGTATGTGTATGTCTTTGTCGTGATGCACACAAATACACAGTGAAGGGAAAAACGAGCGAAAGAGAGAGAAAGGAAGAGAGACAGAGAAAGAGAAAAAAGCTAGTAGGAGAAAAAAAACTTGACAAACACAAATGATGACGATCGATTTGATGACAATGATGATGTCCGATTTCCTTCGGTTTTTTCACTTTTCTTGCTAGCGGCCAAATTTTATAGTATTACAAGTGAATGAGAAAGAAGTCAACCTGTATTGATGGAAAAGACAATAAATAAATAAATATTTCACATCATACATAAAATACACATACGAATGATTTTCTTCTTTTTCTTCTTCCTTTTTTTTTTTGTTCGACAAGCAGAACTTGATGTATGTGCACTGAGCCGAGCGGATTTCTTTTCTCTACATTTGTTCGTTCTCTGTTTTCGACCAATCGTGCCCTAAGGCATGATACAAGCTCGTACAAGCCAATCGGCAAAATTCGCTGCGTCCTCGGGCATCAGCGATTGGGTGAACGATTTTTTCTTCTCTTCTCTTCCCGTCTCTCCCACTTTCCTTGTCTCTTTACATTTTTTCTTTTCCTTCCTTTTCCTATGCGTTCGATCTAAAAACGAGCGAACGAGAAGAGAAAAGTAGCTGCTACTAATAAACTCATCCTATGATCGACGTGTAAAAATGGATGCGAAGATGTTCGCAGTATGCTAGCTCGTTTTCTTTTTTCTTCTTCTTCTTCTTTTTTGTTCCGAACGTTCTATCACTGCTTCTACCACCACCACCATCATCATCATCATTGATTCCGGCTATTAGTAATAGTAAAAGGAAAAAGAAAGAAAAGAAGAAGCTCACAACTAAACCAATATCCGGTAGAGCGGTCAGCATTTGCAAACATGCTTACACGCATAAAATAAAGCATATACCACCGGATGTATGAAACAGAGAGAGGATTTTTCAATGACAACAACGTCTACATCGGCATACACACATAGATAGACATAGTAAAAATGTCCAAGAGTGTCTCAAGTGTTGTTGTGGACGCTGAAGGGATCAAAAAGCGTAGAAAAAGATGAAGAACAAATGGTTAGGATTGACGTTGGTTGTACACGGAAGTATAAGTATAGGAAGAGATACACACAGTAAGTTTGGAATTCATTATGTCGTCAGATAAGCCGACAAACGAGTGTGCAGGTGATGATGATGCATCAAGCCGTAGTCAATCTTAAAATCGTAAGCTTCTTTTCAAACAGGTGATGTGATGAGATGCAGAAAATACTCTCAGTCATAGAGGAAGTATTTCTGTCTCTTTTCGTTTCATCATGGAAGCACGTTCATCGTCATTACAACGATGACACACCTTATCAACTGGATGAGCCCTTCTGTTGATGAACAAAACATCTAATTGCGATATTCTATCTTCCTTTAAACAATTCAAAGTAACTATTCCAAAGTGTTAAATTTAATTCCCTACGAGTGCAGCTTCATGCAATATTTCTCATATTATAGAACATTCTGACGACAATCCTAATCATCTATTCGAGCAGATATCCTGAAATCTGATCTGCCTAACTTGCCATTGCGTCTAGAACACTAACACAGAACTCTCGACAAATATGATTTATCAACTGAGCGAAGGATAATGTCTATATTTATTCACGTTTTAAATATACGACATATTTCTTCTAATTACTCGGTAACATGTTTTCATTCAATCTTCTTTCTTACATACGAGAGATTTCGCCTTCACACTCGCTAAGACTGATGATTAGCCCTTGTTTAAATAACCATGTTTCACTTTCTATTGCTGTTCTGAATAGATAATTTTTGAAAACACACATTACATTCTGTCTGTCTCTCTTGGGGAGGCGGCTAGATCACGTAATGAATTGACAGTCTTCGCATATTCGATTGCGATTTTATTGATTGTGCCTAACGAAGCTTGACGTAGTGTCATGCGCGGTGACATCTTCATAAATTTCCTTCTTCGTATGCTAATATATATACAACGCATTAAGGAAAATGATTTTCACGCTTTTGAAAACAACACACACGTCATTCTCTTCGTTAGGCAGATAGTTTTATTGTTAAAAAAGAAGAAGCTTCTTGGCGTTACCGAATCGCTATGTAGTTTATCGACTTTATATCTAAATAGCCTCTAGCGACAGATATAGTAAAGAATCGATTCAAAAGAAGTGTGGCAGATTTTTATCTATTTAACGATGCAAGTCAGTCTAAGAAGGTGCGATATTTTCAATTGACAAGCCTTGTTCAGCTTGATTTTGTATACACATCGCAGAGAAGATGTTTTGTTTATTATACAAATTTTTCTCATTAGAATCGGAAGAAATATGACACACATTCAAGTAGTTACTGTCTGTTCATTAGAAGATAATAGAAGCATGAAAAATGCGGCAGAGTTTCGTCTCATTTTGTAATCTGAGCAAAGTGAATCTCATCTATCTTCAGAAGAACAAGAAATGATTGTATACATATATATATGTATGCAGAAAGTCGGGTTCCGCTTTTTTGCAGTTCATTATAAACAATCAAACTCACCTGATGATATGGCAAAAGCACCATCTTGATGTTGTTGTTGCCCGTTTATGTGAATAATTTTTGTGATATGGCCTTAAGACACGTTTACAAATAGAGAATCGTTTTGTTTTCTTCGTATAAACACGACCATTGGTCAATATATTTAGAGTTTATATTAATCATTCTCTCCTTTCTCGCTCTCTTTTTCTCTCTCCTTCTCTTTCTATTGGAGATATCGATCGTTATTCGTCGTTCATTACCGTCAATTGCAAAAAAGGGTTCCTTTTTATTGAAAAAAGAAATACAGCTGCTACTGATATTTGAAGTTCATCTTATAAATTTCATTCTATTTTATTGAGAAAAATAAGGCTGGGAAAAGATTATCAATCATTACCTCCTCCCGATCAATAAGCGCTCCTCTCGTTTTCTTTTGAGTACGTCATTGAACTAGTTGTTGCTGGTGTATATATGCCGACTTTGCTTCTATACACTTTTCACATTATACATTTGATTTTCCTGATCATTGTCGTCGACAATAAGTGACTCTCTTTTGTGCTAGGGCGCTTTAAATTTAACATCGATAAGAAGAACTTAACGTTGAAAGTAAAAGAAAGCCATTCCACTCAACGGCGACAAGACTTTTTCTTAATCATGTCGAATTGAATGATTAAATCGGTGTGTGAAATCGAAACTCTCAAACTTTCCATGTATTTTGTTTGGGCTTGATCGAGAAGAAAAATCAATCATCATTCACATAATGATGTGTGAAATGTAATCATGAATATGCATTCATATTGCTGAATTTTATATTGTTATTCAAGCTAAAACACCTTGCACTATCTAAACAAAAGCTCGTGTCTGAGAAAAAAAACAAAATGACGAGTATAATGTTTTAAAATAACAATCACTAGTGACTGAATCTGATTCGCAAAGAGTTTTGTTTTCAAATCATCATCGACGTCGTCTCTTTGGCTAGTTATTGGCGTCAGTGAAAAACATCCGGAAATGGATATAAATACATGCCTTGTCGAAACATTCAGTGCAGGAAATCAATTAAAAAAAGCCAATAATAACAACGACATATTTCGTCAATTTGGCTTAAAAACATTCTTTTCTATGAAATAATTAGTGAGATCGATATAAATAGTATCTATCCTGCTGAGCACATGCCAGCTCACATTCTTCGTTTGTTGTTTGATCTTCATGTAATATGACATCATACATATGATTATGTCGTCGTCGTTCAAGATGACTCGTTTTACTTTTGCTGCCCTGTAATCAAATGAAATTGCTCGTGCGTATGTATCTATTGAGTTGTCGATCAACAAGTCGCTTGCTGAGATATATCATTGCCGCGTATTCTTTTGATGGAACACACACACACATATATACTTAGTTGTTTCTTCTTCGAGTATTTTGACTCTTGTGATGAAGTTACAAGAAAACAGAATGAACCAGGGAGTCCATTGATGATCAATTGGCAAACGAAGAAAATGACACTTAACACAAATATGTGAAGATGATATCGAGAAGACGAAAAAAAGTATCTTACTGACGAATCTTAATTGAAATGTGGTCAGTTTGTTATACAGGATATCAGATCAAATGAAATTATCAACCTTCGTAAGTGAGAGATGGCTGAAAACTCGTATACATGTCAAGTAAGCATGCAAAAAAAAAGAAGACGAACGCAAGTTATTACCTTGTCATTAAGGTACTAATGAGTCTATAAAATAAGATTCTATCAATTCTCTATTATCGACAATAAAGAAAATGCGATGAACTTTTTTAACTAGTCCAGCTGTCGATGTTGTTAACTCAATTCGCGATTCAGACTTGTCTAGTCATTCTGTGTTGATGATCATCGAGTGTTTGTTTCTTCTGCGTACATTCATACGGGTTAGTCCAAGCACGAAATTACACATGTGTATATGTATGGCTGTATAGAAAGAGATACAAGCAAAAGGAAACAGGAGATGAAACCTGTAATAGCTTATATTAGACATTAGTATACGGACGAATGCATTTCTTTAGAAGATTGTTCGTTTGCATTCGAATCTGTAATCTCGATGCATGATTTGATAAAAATATACGGAGCAAAGGACATACATACATCTGGATATGTCTTATCAGTTGAAAGATTTCCGTTATATTGTGATATGAGCGAAAGAAATTATCAGAAGAAGACGAAGAATATAAAAGACACAAAGTAAACGATCGACACATTATTTTCACAATTGTACTGTTCATATCGAAGATATCTTTACTTCACCAATATTAGTATAATATTTGATTCCATATCGTATTATAAGTATAGAAAAGAGTTTACAAGCTGAAGGACAGAGAGAATGGTCATAATTTAAAAGTAATCACCTTGCCAAAACGTCGCATGACCACCCAAATAAGCAGCTTTAATCTTTTCCAAAACATCTCTTGACAATCGGATATTTCGAATCATCGTATGATCATTTTTACTGACAGTAACAACACCTGCCCATTGATCTAATTCATTCAAACCCATGTATTGTGGCACTGTATGTAAACGAATTGTTTTTAGCTGTGGATGTCGTCTATGTACTTCATTTGCTGCTAATTTCAAAAGTTTCTTTTCGGTTTCGACATTCGCCGCTCGCCATTCTGATACGTAGGTATTTTCTGCACTATCGGGATGAGTAATAACAATGTAACCCTGGTCGGATAATAAATATGCAATGGCGTTTTCTTTTCGCCAATTCCAGCCAACCCAATGTTGAAACATGCTGACCGGTGATCGACTGAATTGGTATGTTCGAGGTTTATTCGAATGAATGTCGAGTAAAAGTTGACAATTAGATGAAAGTAGGTCATTTATCGGGTACCATTGATGGTGATTATCTCCAGAGGAGCTAAAATGATTCCACTGAACGCTAATGGGCGATGGCAGGGCGATTTGTTCCCAACCCAGAACTAAATAATGATTCGGCCGGCCTGTGCCTAATACAGATATATCGAATTCTTCACTTTGTTCCATTTTTGTTATAGCCATTCGTAATAATTCACGTGAATAACCATGTTTTCTATGCTCCTCTAATGTAGCAACATTTGATATGGCACCACATAAGTATTCTACATTGTCATCACGAGATCGAATATACAATCGTCGGATATGTACTGCACTAACGAGTTTGTCATTCACCCAAGCACCTAAAGTGTCACCGAATTGATAGCGAGGTGATTCTTTTTCCGAGAAATAACGCTCAAAATACTCTGGTTGAGTTTTAAACACTGCATACCACAAGTCAAGTGCTTGCTGTTGTTCATGTTTCTCAACGGGACGATAGATAACTGACATGCTAATTTTCTAATTAAATGAATATTATCTACGGAAAATAAATTGCAAATGTTAAATGGAAATATAAGACAGAAGAAAAGAGTTATTGAGTAAATCTATTAAATAATCTTTTAAGTAACAATAAGTTACCTACGCGTCAGTATAGATTTGTTCTTTACACGTGTATTAATATGATGACTAGATTCTCTTCATTAATGGAGTTTGATGATCATTGAAATATCAAAAAGGAGTTAGCTATATAAGGTCTACCGTTTGAATAGGTGTTTGTTCTTTATCAAAGAATAAAAAGAAAGTTATTGACGTATAAAAAAAGATACTTTTATTCTGGACTTGTCAGTGTACTTTGTACTTTCACTTCGAAATGATAGACTCCTGTACGTTGCCCTTTCAATGAAATCTGTTATTTTGCATATATATATATATAAAGATAAATTGCTAAGAAAAATTTTAAAAAATGTAAGTATTGAATGCTTTTCGAGACGAGTTTTCTTTGACTGACTCTGCTCACACGGTAATCAGTGAGATATCTCTTTTTGTACTTGTCTAACGACAAATGCTTCTGTGGCCTTGTACTTTCGTTTTAAAAAAAGGTTTATCACTAACCCACCCCTTCTTAAGGTATCCTTATGACTCATGTTCGAATAGGGTGGTGTTATTCTTTTTCTCGCGAAATTAAGACGATGAAAATAGAAGAAAGTCAAACCCGAACATGTTTTCAATGAAAATCAATCTAATTTAGGCCACGCTTATATAAATAAAAAGATGTGTCAATATTTGCATAATAAGATGTAAAATTGAAACGAAAATCTTATCCATTTTAGCCTGTATTTCTAAGACCTGCTGCGATGCCTGCCATAGTAGTCATCATTGCTCTGGAAATATCAGCCGGTATATCATCTGGTTGCTTATCACGATTGCGTTGCATTAATTCTGCTTGTAGACCATGTAATGGTTCAATGTAAGGATTGCGTAATGAAATGATATGTGCCAGTTGTGGTGCGCGTTCTAAGATCTCCTTTTGATCAGTGATACGGAGAACAAGTTCACGCATGTGATGAAGTCGCTGACGTAGAGATTCACTTAACTTTTGTATGGAAGAATTGGGTTCAAGAAGTTGTTGTTCATAGTAGGCAGTGATGTCTGCATCAGCTTTTGCAAGAACCATCTCAAGCATATTCATATACATGCGAAAAAATGGCCATGATTTACTCATTTCACGTAATCGGTGAATACCGTCTGGATTAGTTCGGAGATATTCATCGAAAGCATCATCGGTACCTAACCAAGCAGGTAGCATAAGTCGAATTTGTCTATAAAAGCTCGTTGTAAATGAGATGCAATACCATGTCTTTAAGTATGAGTACTTACGTCCAAGCAAATATCCACGGAATTGCTCGTAATGTTTCAACACCACCGTCTTGCCTTCGTTTCGCAGGTCGAGAACCGAGTGGTAGTTGTGAAAGTGCATTCAACGGAGTAATTCTTCGAAAGTAAGGTACGAAGTCGGGATTTTCACGAACAATTGAATTGTAAGTTTGATGTGCACGATTTGCTAGTTGATTCATTTCTCCTCGCCATGTTTCTTTTAGTTTTGGCATTGGTAGTAGAGTTGCTTCTAAGACAGAACTTGCGTAGATTTTCATGGATGAGACAGCTAAACCAGGCAGACCAAACTTGAATCGAATCATCTCACCTTGTTCAGTCACTCGAATGCTATTATTGACAGATCCAGGTGGTTGCGATAGGATAGCTAAAAGATCAGTTAAGATTCTTTATAATTCACTTAATTTCAGTTTTGACTGTATACCAGAACGTGCCGGACCACCACCTCTTGCTACAGTACCACCACGACCATGAAATAATGTTAATTCAACACCGTGTTTTTGACAAACTTCTAATAAACGTTCTTGAGCTCGATATTGTGCCCATGCAGCTGCTAATTGACTAAAGTAGAGATAGAGAGTTTTATTTCACAAACTAATTCATTTTAATCATTACCCGGCATCTTTTGCCGAATCGGAGTATCCAATCATAACTTCTTGTTTATCATTAATCAATTCTCGATACCCTTCAATTGATAGTAATCGATCAATGACATCACCCGAACGATCCAAATCATCCAATGTTTCAAACAATGGAGCAATCTTAAAAAGAAAATTTTAATACGAAACTAAGAATGATGTCTGAACGCTTTCTAACCGGTAGGGTCTTTCCATTGGCCAATTCTTTCATGAATAATGCCACTATTAACACATCCGATGGTTGTCCAGCCATTGATATGATATAAGTTCCTAATGCTTCCTCACTATCCTTTCGTCCGATGATTTCAAACGTATCCAAAACTTCCTGCGTGTCTGTTGTCCATTTCTGTCTATGGGAAATTAGTGGTCGTTTAGAAGCCAATTCTTGAAGTAAAAACTTTTGTCTCTTCTCTTCATTCCATTGCGCATATTTTTCTTCGTTTGGAAGGATATGTGATAAAATTTCATTTAGTGCATCTGTATGACGTGTCGATTCTTGTCGCAAGTCAAGTTTTGTTAATGTAACACCAAAACAGGCTAAACGACGTAATGTGTCCAGTAGATTACCATTCGCAATCAGATCGAGTTTATTTTCGAGTAACGATCGATAGCAGACTTCAAGAGGCTTTTGTAATTGTTCTTTCGAATGAATTAATTTCGTTTGTGGAGGAATTTCAAAAAATTGATTATCTAATTGAGCTTTCAACCAATCACGCGTTGTTCGAATTTGATGAATCAACTGTTTCAGAAGTACTCGATAAGGTTCTTTGGCATCTTTATCATCAATCAAATCCAGTAGTTCATCTCTATAAATCAAAACATGAAGTGTACTCGCTCTTTTGAAGACGTATCACTTACGATGCTTTGGTCATGGATAGCTCATCTTTGAGCTTTTCCAAATCGAAAAGATAAAGTTCAGCTGCTTGCCAACGACCAAGTAATAAAACTTCTCTGGTCACTGCAGCAGTGACATTTGGATTACCCTAGGCGAGAAAATCTCGATGATCAACACTGTTCATAGTAGTACGTATCTGAAACTTACATCGCGATCACCACCCATCCATGATGCAAATCGAATGGGTGATGCATGTAGAGGTAAACGTTTTCCGGTAATTTCAAGAAGTAGTTGGTCGAGATCTCGTGAGAATATTGCCAAAGCTTCCCAAAGTGAAGTTTCCACAACAGCAAAACCCCATTTTGCTTCTTTAAATAGAGAAAAGAGGAAAAAAGTCATTCTCTTCCAACAGGATAATTCAACTTACCATCAACAGGTGATGGCTTTTCATGTCGAAATTCATTTGTATGCCATGATTGACAAATTAATTCTTCCAAACGTTCTCGTGTTCGTTGAACTCTTCTCGAAATGAATTTCTTATCACTTTCCGTGTTGAACATTTCGAGTAATCCTAAGCATTCTTCGATTAAATCATATTTTTTAATTAATGTTCGTCGTATCGTTTCTGTCGGGTGTGCAGTTAGGACTAATTCGATTCTCATTTTCGAAAGTGTTTCAAATAATAAATCTTTAGCATTGTTCTTTTCGGTTTCTACACGTTTGAACACATGACGAAGTGATACACCACCAGCACCGCTCCGATTATAATCATCGACTCCTCCTTTGAAATGAGCTCGATGATGTTGTTCGGCGATATTGGCTAATTGAAGAAATTGATTAAATGCACGTGCAACAGGTAGTAAATATTTCTCAGGAAGATTGCGTAAGTAATCGTGTAGTTCTGTTCCATCATCTCGACGTTTGGCATATTCGCGTATCGTTTCGATTTTTTCTAGGAAATCTTTACCAAGATCGCGAGTAATTGTGCGTCCGAGACTATCGCCAAGAAGTCGAATGTTAATACGAAGTGATTCGTCAACTAGATTATTTTCATTCGTTGAGGTCGATGCACTCTTCGATGAAGGGTAATTGTTCTCATGTCCAACTATGATACAAAATGCAATTATCAAATCAATTGAGAAGAACATCCCATAACTTACTACTCAAAAATCTACATTGATTCGTTAGACTTGTAGATTGCAATAGAAAACATCGAGATGTACGAACGATCATTTTCATTCTTTCATAGTCAGTCTGTGTGTTACTTAGTATTCCGTTTTATCATATACATTTTTATCAAACACTTGTAAAAAGTCAATTCTATTTATCGCTTACACGAAAACCAATAGTTTTCTCTCTCTGCTAATCAATATTCATACTTGCATGTTTTGCTAAAGAGGTCACTCTTCTCTTATTCTAACTGAAGTTGATTCAAAGACAGTTTCTATTCCTTTTTCAAAAAATGGACAAGTTTTGTTTATAAATGAATAACTTATTTCGTAGTTATTTTGGCTCGTCTCAATTTTGTGTCCATTAGAAATGAGGAGGAATAAGTACGAAACCGAAGTTCAACAGGTATAGTTTTATGCTGCCGTAATAATATGAGATTAACAAGAATTATTCTGCCAGCCGATACAATAGCAATTCCTTGAAAATAGAGAATGATCAACAAGAGGAAGCGAGACAGAAAAAGCAATAATCGCGTAATTCGAGGTCATTAATTCATAAAGAAAGAAACAACAGACCTTCGCAAAACATTATCTTACACCGGTTGAAAATGCATCCATGGAAGATAATTATGATATGCGAAACACATAGTTATGTTCATTTCGATTATTAGATCAATAGAAGAATAAACTTAACCTCTATGGATATAACAAGATTAATTGTTAGTGTAAAAATCTCTTTCGAATCATTTGGATTTAATTACGAATAAAAAACAAATTGTATGAAATAAAATACAAGGCATGAGCACGCGATTTGCTGAGTAAGAGGTGAGACACTGTTTCAAAATGCATATCAAAATGACAAAAGAATACCAGAGAGAAAGGAAGTGAGAAATGAATCGAAGTGAAATCATTTGTTTCAAATACTGTATTCTCGTGATGTTATCGATGAATTTTTCGCATAATTTACAGTTGTAGGAGGAGGAGGTGGTGTGTCGATCGAATCGTATGTTAAATACGTCGATTGTAAATCAGCGACAGGTCTCCTCGTGAGTGATTGAACAGTTTTTTTGAAAGTCGAATGAGTCGATGATGTCGACGATGCTGCAGGTGAATGAAATGTTTTCAAATGCTGTGATTGGTGAACATTATCATCATGAAATCCAGTTGATTGATGAATACCTACAACAACCACTGTTGATGGTTTGTTATTAATCGATGATTGATGTCGTTGGGCTGGTACAGCATAATCAACACTTGTAGAGCTCAAACTCGATGAACGGTGTTGCGCTGTAAGTAGAGGTCGAGCAACTGCGTGAGCACTTGAACTTGATCGAGATAAATCATTGCTTCCATAACAACTATCTTCCGAACTTCCGCCACTTCCAACTCCCGCGCAAGTTTTGATATCATCATAGGGTTCAAGATGATGATGATGATGATTTGCCATTAATTTCTAAAAGTAAAACATATACATTATAGCCATCAATCGAAGTTAATTAGATTCCATCTATTTTCCTAATGGTTCGTTTCCTTGATGTTTAGCAAACAAGACAGACTGATCAATATGATTAACAGTTATGTAAACAAAACTAGACGATGTTTGTGTTGTAATGACTATTTGTTTTTCGAATGTTAAATAGTACTGTAACCTTTTGATCGAATTTAACTGGCAATCTTCGGATTAAATCTGATCAATGTTCGCACAGGTAGATTAATAGAGAGACATGAAAGGTGACCTTTCGAAGAAATTAAAAGACATAGTGACGATCTAACATACTTTGCTGGTCGTTAGGAGTTTGTCCGCATCGGTCGATTGAAGCATTTCACATGGTTTTTTCAACGATGTTCGATGGATGTGTCGACATCGTTTTTGTTTGCAGAAAAAGGCGATTAAAATACCCATTGTAATACTAAATATCAATGTTAAGATTGTCGAGATGATGACAACAAGAATCATTTCACGTGTAAAGACTGTTTCATGATTATGAAAATATTCTTTACGTTGAAGATCATCTTTTGCCAATTGTTCGGACGTCAATGATGTGGTGTAGAAGATTTTTTCGCTATATTCACCGATTTTTATATTAACATTGGCTGTTGAACATTTTGTGAATGATTCACCTTGATCACAGACTTTGATTGTCAGACGATGATGTCCTTGTGGTAAATTGTTCGATTGCGCATAGATCGTTCCATTAAATTCATTTATGTGAAAATATTCATTTTGATTTCCATCAATTATGACATACGTTAGATTGCCATTCATGCCATCATCACGATCGTGAGCAGTGATTGTCGTAATCATAATCATTTTTGTTAAATTTGTGGGTATCAATTCACTTGGAATATAGATGGCCGGTGGCGAATCAACGAGTGGTGTATTATCGTTGACGTCAATTAATTCAATTGTAACTGTGACACGATCGGAATGACGGTAATCATTGTCTTTAGCAGTAACATATACTCGATGGATGGGATGAGTTTCGAAGTCAAGTAGAGCTTTTGTACGTAGCTTTCCAGTTAATAAATCAATTTCGAAAACATCCTGATCATCAATACATGTGAGCTCATAGTGAATCGTTGTGTTTGTATCGCGATCAGTCGCTTTGAGTTGACCAATTAACGTTCCAATCGGAATATTTTCTTGAACACGAAATGAATAGGATTCTTGTTCAAATTTTGGTTGATTATCATTAGTATCATTGATATAGACAATAAATGAATGCAGAGTCTCCAGACGTTTTGGATGTGTTCCATGATCACTGATGTTCAATACTAAATCGTATTTCGATTGAGTTTCGTAATCAAATGAAATGTTATTTGCGGCTGAAAGAACTCCTGTGAAAGAGTCAATGTGAAATAAACGAGAAGTGTTCGATGCAATTAGAGAATATGTTAGAAGACTGTTGGATGTATTCGGAGCGTCGAGATCTTGTGCATGAAATTGAACAAGTTGACTGCTGGGAAGATTATTTTCCTTGATACTGATGGGTGTCGGATATGGATCGAGTGTTGGAGGAGAATCATTGATATCGATAAGAAGGATAGTTATATCTTTCTGAGTAATTAATGATGGACCCGTACCTAAATGAATTGAGGAAATTCGAAAGTGCAAAAGAAGGGAGAAAGTAGATGATAATACTAACCTTGATCTCTTGCTTCAAAAGTTAAACGATATTGTTCTTGTTGTTCTCTATCGAGCCTTCCGATAATCGATAAACTGTACAGATCATTGAATTGTTCATTCAATTGAAATAAATTATTGTATGTTAATAATTTTAAGATAATTTTATCATTGATAGAATCTTTATCACTCACACTTAAATGAAATAAACGCGTATTGACAGGTTGTTCTTCTTCGATGTAGAATATATGTTTTCGTGGATCGATTTTACTCGGATCGGCATCCGGTAGAATAAAATCAATATCTGGTGGGCAATCATTGACATCCAGAATATCAATTTGAATTTGAGTATAAACATTAATTGCATCCGGTCCATTATCTCGTGCACGGACATTGAATCGATAATTCGTCTCATGTTCATAATCTAATGCTTGACGAATTTTGATAACACCTGTTGTAACATTGACTTCAAATGGAAACGACACGGCCGGTGTGTCAGTTATGATTGTATAGTTAATTAAAGCGTTTAAACCTTCATCATTGTCATAGGCATGTACATGAAGAATATCTGATCCGATAGCAGCATCTTCGCGTAGTTTGATGTGATATTGTTCATGTTCGAACTTTGGAACATTATCATTTGAATCGAGCACTTGAATATCAAGTGATAGAACGCCGGTTTGTTCACCGTCGGTCGCTAAGATTTTCATTTTGTAGAAATTTCGCGTTTCGCGATCGAGAGATTTCAGTAGACGTAATCCGAGTTGATTTTCTGTATGTAGATCAACAATAGCAAATGTTTGTAATAAATCCTCGTCATTCGATTCGTCAGACGGAAGAATACGATATTCCAGACGATCTTGATAATCCAAATCAGTTGCTGATGGAAACGATGATACATGACCGATATCAGTGTTTTCCGATAGACGGATTTGAAATGTTGAGACGGGAAATTTCGGAGAATTATCGTTTATGTTTTCAATTGTGACGTCTAATGATAAGATATCAATGGTCTTCGATGATGCGATTATTTCCAATGTTAAGACGCATCGTTCACAATTACAGATATGCGTTTGGCAGAGTTCCTCGCGATCGATCATACGTTTGACAGAGATACGTCCAGTTAAGGAATCAATCATAAAAAACGAATTATGCGGACTGGAGTCGGATATAAATGAAAACTTGTAGAAGTTGGATGAAGACGAATACACACGACGGAGATCATAGATAGATGTTCCGATTGAACTTTGTTCTTTAAGAGATATTGCTGGTAAACGTTGAATTGCCATAGAAATAGGTTGGAAAATAAGAAAAAGTAAGAAGAACTGGATCACAAACATTGTTATATTCTATCTAGATAAAGGAGAGTAAATGAAAAAAATGAATGATGAACAGTAGCTTTACATGAATAATCCCTGTTCTAATGAGTTAAGACTTGAACAAAGATCAAGTTATACCTATCTCTTTCTCTCTAGTGAATGTTAAAAAAGAAAAGCTGATTGTGCTCAAGATTGTATATGTTGTTTTTCTTCCTGCATGTCAAAAGAGAGAAAGAGAAGAAAACGAGAAGAGATAACATAGAGATGTCTAAGTACAAAATCGGTGAAAGCGTGTTTATGATTACAGATTTTAATGAACAACTTGGTCACGCACCAATTTCCTTTGCTTCGTTTCGTACTCGTTACTGATGCTGCTCAACGAGATTGTATCGATTTGATATGTACATACATGAATATGTATATGCATAGAAATCGTTCGTTGAACGCTCCACCCAATTTTCGAATTAATGACCGATAGCTTACAAGTGTGAATGGTCATCAACCAACGGTGATGTCTTTCTTTTTCTCATTTAGCTCTTATAAACAAGAAGAAGAAAGAACAAAGAAGATGATGAATGTGTGTGTGTATATACAAACTTGTATACGACTACAAAGTGACTTCCTTTCCGGNATGTCCGTAATTTCGGTCGACGTTTACTATTTTTTTCTTGTATTTTGTACGACGAACACCCATCATCATCGAAGAAAAACTTCTTGTCCTACTCTTCAGCAGATAATTGATATTGGTATAAAAATATTGACCTTTACTTTATTTTCATAAACGAAGTGTGATGATATATACCGCGACAGACGATTGAATATTTGTTTTATGTCAATAGAATGTATTTTTCTTTGGACATACGTACTGAATCGGATTAATGATGATGATGGGTGTTCGTTGTACAAAATACAAGAAGAAAAATAGTAAACGTCGACCGAAATTACGGACATGCGACCTCGAAAGAAAGAGCGGACAAATACGCGAAGATAACAAGTCATCTTAGAAAGAAATTTCCGGGGATTGTCTTCTGATGACTATCGTATATACTCAATATTTCTTATCTTCTCAATTCAGTTCCGCTCGATGAACTCAATTAGGAACGTGCATAGCGCATCTCTAATGGTCATCATTTTCTTTTCGAGAGTCTCTTGTTTACTACTCGACTGTGTCGGCTATCAGTCAAGCAAGGCTAAGTGGTCAATATTCATTTTTTCTGCTTCTCTCTCTCGCTCTTTCTTTTTTCTCACTACCTCGTAATTTCCTTCTTTATTCCTAACCACCAGTAGCACTTGCCAATGACGTACTCGCTTCGATCACGTACGTAACCTTCGACATTGAATTGAATAAAAATTTCTCTTTCTTTTCAACTAAGTTCACTTTACCTCTTATCAAAACATATCAAGATATATACATACGCCTTTTCACTTTTCTTCTTGGATGTGATTTCATTGAGTTTTGTCTATCATCAAACACTCATACATATGTGCAATTCTCTTCCTAGTGATTGATGCTTTCAAATCAAATATATATATATATATGTGTGTAATGTTCATGCGACTTAATCAATGTCAACTTCCTACTTTACAATCGACCTCATGAGAAAAATAAGTAACAATCACACGTGTCTCACCTTTATGATTTCTTTTCTTATGTATTGAAGACGGTCGAATAATCTGAGAAACAATAATGACGATGATGATCAGACACGCCGCCCAAAGTGGTAGAGTTCATCCATCGTTACTGCAAATACATTTGTCCAGATATCCATTGCTCTTTTCCTTTTCTCGACCATCATATGTTCACTATCATACTTCTGACATTCTTCTGTTCTTCTCACACCGACTCTACGACATCCTCTAAGCGTATATAAAAAAAAAAGAGAAGCATGATTTTAATGAATTCTTCTTTTCTCGCTTTCTCTCCTCTGTCCAGCACATAGAATACGCACAAATTCTCATTTCCTGTTAAGTGTGAGAACGAAGGAAAAAGAGACTTCTTCATCGTTCTATCTTATAATACAGATATAATGAAAAAATATGAACAGCAAGAAGACGATGAGGACGAGAATAAGAAGCGTCTAAGACAAGCGTCATCAATAGAAACGGTGATGAGTGAAGAGCATCATAATCTAATAGAGACTAAAAGAGCAAGGAAAGAGAAAACATGGTAACGTCAAAGTGATTACCGTTAATCGATCAAAGTTAGAGAAAGAGAGGAAGAAGTCGACAACACGAATCTAACTTATGTCTAGGTTAATAACATCACGTCGGCCAGATATCTTTCTCATATATAATGACGCAATGGATAGTTGTCGATCTCCTGTGATGTTCTCATGTCTAAACCAGAAGAATTCGACACGGTAGCGGAAGAGAAGCTCATACTCACACTACCGAGCTCTGCGTTTGTCTTTTCTAACTTAAAATTAAGTATCGAATTATGATATAACACTGAGCTCATCATTATCTGCAAGTTGAAGACGAGCAAATGCTGAACGCGATGAAAAAAAGAACACTAGCTCTTCTTCCTATTAAATGATCACATCATTTAAGTGTGAAACCGAGCACTGAATCATGATATTTATCATCTTTATTTCTTTGCGTAACATACACGCGCACGACCGAGCGATTATTATTGACCAACAATGACCTTTGCACACAGTGATTTGTTGCCTGTGATGTTATTATTTATACAGCAAAGAAATACAACTAATTGTGTCCAAAACGAGCAAATAATAAGAATAATAATGATAAAGGAACCTCTAATATTTTATATTAGCTCGAAGAGAAATAGAACCTATACATATACATAATGCAATTGGTGAAAGTAGCTATTAACTGACCAGTGAGCAGCATTGCAGCGTGTCAACGTAATCAATAAGATGAGTATAGGGTAACGAGAAGAAAGTGATGAACGTTCTTTGACTGTGAAAAGCTGAATTATTAATAGATGTTGACCAGTCTAGTAAATTTCTTTTTCCAAAGACATGACAGCAAATAATTTCTTAATGCAATGATCGAGTGTTCTCTCGAGAATCTTCAAAGAATATTTATGCTGAGCAAGAAAAGAAATATATGGATTATCTAGGTGTAATATTGAAATTCTCTTGTGGGTTTTCGTTCATCTCACTGCAGGATAAGATGTTGTCGATATCATATTTAGCCTCAAGTGTGTGAGTGAACAACTATCGTTCTCTCTCTCTTATCTCTCCTCCAGGAAACCTGTCAAATAGCATCCACCAACGTTTATAGTACGCGTAAACACAACAAATACGAAGGTTTTCGCTTCATGTAGATCTTCCTACACACATTACTATTTCTATTCTTGCCATTGTTGATGTGAACAGATCATCGAACAAATGTGAAATCAAAAGTGTTTATACTTTTCTTCCCATTGAAAAAGTCTGATCTAATATCAGTTGATTATGATCAAACAAAATCTGCCGACTGACAACGCGATCTTTTGCATAATAATATCTCACGATGTAACAGCTTATCCACTAATTGGCGGTTATCTAGAACGGTTAAGATCATATTCAGTCATTTGCGCTTCACTACATCTCGATCACATGCTGAATTAGATTCGAATAGAAATCGACGCGATTGATTACTAAACATCCTACAAGTGTTACATCATTTTTGTTTTTCATCATCAGCATCGACTTGTACCAATCACTTCACTGCATACACGTGAAAAGATGAACATTTACTTTCTCGGATGTACTAAAACACCTGACAATTTCTATGAAAAATACTCAACTTACCACTGTGGACGATCGTTGCTAGATTCTTGGTTGGTATTTCGAGGGAAAAAAGAGAAGAAATGACTTTGACGTGTCTCAAGAACGTTCTTTTGTCTAGTAGCTTTGAAATTGTTCATTTGTGATCGGCAGTGGAGGGTGGAGTAGAGAAGAATATGAGTGTAATAAAGATAAGAATTGGAATCAATTGATTTTGCAACGGACAATGTATACAGTCACTATTTATGGCGTCGGCAATCGGACGGGCAACGTTCACATCAAGAGTACTCGTTGACAATAAGACACAAGAAAGGTGTGACAGAAGAAAAAATAAATATAGCATTGATCTCCTCGAGGGCATCTGTGTCATTGATTAATTTTATGAATGGAACAGGAAATAAAAGGTAATATCAAGTGTAGCAACAAAATCATTATTTCGTTTTTTTTTATATTAAACTAACCTTCGAGTACACTTTGTCTTCATAGACCTGTTTCAATTATCGGCCTATATATATCGAATAGATAGACAAGATTGTTACTCATTTACATGCTATAAATCAAAAGAAACTTTTCGAACATAAAATATTTTTAATTATAACATGAAAAAAGAAAGAAATCTCAATCATCTTCTATGATTGACAAATGATGTGTATCATCATCATCGACTATAATCGTATCTCTCATCGGATAGATAATGTTTGTAATAAAAGCTATAATCTCGAGGGATGTACAACACTGCAGACTGATCGATCATTGAGCACATACACACAGTTTGAAAAACAGAGGAAAATGAAAGGAAGTTTTGATGCATGCAGTAGATAATCCTCGACAACATGTTCGATTGATCCATCATGTTTAGTCGGATTTTACTAATAAGACAATCCACATCTGCATATAAGCTTTCATATCAAGACTCTTTATAATAATCCATCTTGATTTAGACTACTTCATACTTAACATATACAGATCATATACGTCAAAGTGAGTTATAGGAGAGCGAGTTGTTGTTCAAGATCATAGAGAGAAAACGAAATATTCGCTCCGATATTTGAGTGACAGGTTGACAAAGTGCTACTCTTTATATTGATTTGGTTATCGATCAATGTTATTCGTAATCAACACTCGACAGGGCCGAGTCCGTGTACTTAACACGCTTGAGTTATGTAACTCTTTCCGAATTGGTCTTTGCAAAGTTACTAGTTTGTATTTCATATATGATCTGTACTGTTATCATAGAATTTCTTTTCATTGTTTCGATTAAAGTAACAATATGTAAAAGAATTTTATATCTCTAAACTTGCTTCGTAGCCGATGTCGCAAATTGACATAGTAGTAATGTTTGTTATCGTATTTTTTCACCGCTTTCATAATAACATATGATTTTAACCTAATAATAAATAATGCAAGGAAATTGTGATTCTGAGTGGTTTGTAATATTTCTCGGGGAAAACTTCAATTTGCGTCTTTGACTCAACGAATTAACCAGTACAATTCCGTTATAAATAACTATTATAACTTGAGTACAGATTATATTTGCATGAAGTTATGTAATAAGAACGAATCTCAGTAAGATCAACACTATTAATAGATTCAAATCCAGAAAAGGAAATCTGGTAGTGATTGAATTTCAAACATATCCTTGCACACGTCTCTTATTCTTGTCCAATGTGCGAAGCTTCTAGAAAAAATTTTTCGATCGCTAGGATGTATTCGCGCTACTATTGGTGTAAAGTTAGTAGGCGGATCTCGTAGTAAAAGCAGCAAAATGTTTTTTTTAGGTTAGTAGAAATGTAATATCATGATATTGTTCTGATCGAAAAGATGTATTGACTATTTATGGTAAAAAAATGTATATTGTAAAAGATTTTAAAGAAAAAAAAGTAAATTTTTATCACAAGTAAAATAAAATACTGCTGTTCTGTCGGACATAGTCACTTCTGCATTCACAATAGTATAGTCAGCACTCGTGGGTTCTTCTAGTTTAAATGTAAATTACAAAATTCATTATCGAAACGGGATCAATTCTTGTCTGAGTTTGATACCATATACATACTGCAAAGCTTTCGAAACTCTATCGACATCAGTTTGCCAGTAACTATACTGTAAAATTGAACCGGCTTTTACTTGCCGTATGCAAGTAGCATACCCAACGCTGACTTTAATTTCTCCGCTTTCAGGGTGTCTTTCAAATAAAATTTGTGTTAAGACAGCTGATATTTGACCATCAGTTCCATAATCGAATGTAATACGCTTGTCCGTGTCGGAATCCGAATTGACGTGGAATAAAGCTTTGATATCGTTTTTCATTTTTGCTTCTTGATCAGAAAATTTTTTCTCAATATAGTCTTCGAAAGCTGCTTGAGTTACGTTGCTTGGAAATGTAGTGAGTATAACTCGGCGGCGAAAGTCATCTTTTCCGTGTCCCACCTTTCCTGGCCACGAATCAGGTAGAATCTTGCTTTTGTTGTATGAATTGATTCGCTTTGACTACCAAATAAGATTTAGAAGCAGGGAGAAGTTCAGGAAGAGGAAGAAATTTTGATACTAAGGAACCTATCTGTGAAATTTTCCTTCAAGTGATAGAAGACGTCGTTAAATAACATTAATACACGTAGAAAAGTATGTCGTCATTTGTTTGGAGAATTCCAGATAAAAAACAGAATTCGCTCAAATCTATGATAGAGATACTTAGATAAGAAGATAATGAAAGTATATGCGGATCGATTTGTATTTTAGTGGGGAGAATTCCATATTTCGTAAGATAAAATGATGATAACACTCGTGTGTAAATAAAAACTATTTCGTAGATTGGATTATTACCTACTTAAATATGCGTTAGCATCGATGTTATCTTATTTATGACAGATACATTTTATCCTATACGCGACTCGTTCTCACTTATACGAGAAATATATAAGCGATGCTTGCTTGAAAAACTCCAGCTATTTATATCAAATTTGAATCAAATGGGTTCTATCGTCAGTCAGTCCACATCAAAGGATCGACCGTCAGACAAACCGAAGAAGGACTCAAATGAACCGGCTGATTATACATGGTTCTTCGAAAATTATCCTGAAGATATTAAACAAGACTCTTATAATGATAGATGCGTAATAACAACATTGTCAAATGATTTTCAAATCGAACATATCGAATCATTTGTTAACCAAAAGTTTTCGGGTTTAGATGATGATATGAGAAAACAAGTTAAACAATTAATTATGACTAACAGGGTTGAGAAATGGAAAACTGATCGAATGTCACCCTCACCCTCATGCGAAGAACTTGCCAATGAAGAACGTGAAATCAACGAATATTGTGCTGTTAATAGCACAACAAGTAGTCTATCATTTCGTTATGAAGGTGCTGATAAAATAACAGCTACTTTAATAAAAATACAACTTGAAAATAATTCTACAGTTGATGAATTGCAAATCACTGTTGGATATATTAAAGTTAAAAGACAAATAAAGAATGGCTCGACGGATATGAACACTTATTGGAAACCTAATGAACGTCGAATTCACAGAGCTCTATTGCATAAATTTAGTCAAAAATTCGATAAATAAACGACAACTTTTAACTTGGATAACTTTATGTAACTCAGATAAACCCGAAAACAAGTTTTCAGATACTATTTGAAAATTTGATCTTTTTATATATTTTTATAGCCACTTCTTACTAATAAATTCAACAAGACTTTTACTGAATTGACTATTTGTAAGAATTTTTCAAGTCAGATATTAACAACAACCTAGCTAATTATGAAACTGAGTTAAGTAGATGTATGAGATCTCGCCGAATCCTTTTGAAAAGCCAAGTATCTGAAAGATGGAAAATTTTACACTATTTTGTAAAAGAAACATGTGAAATTAAGGTATAAAAGGAAATCAGATGATTTGTTCTCTTGTATCAGGAGGACAAACACAGTGCTGTTGGGATCAATTTTAGAATTTTGTAAGATTAAAAGAATAGAAATTTATTGTCTTAAATTCAGGCAAGGTATATATCTCACGATTTGTAAACCATGAAGTATTTTGTTCGGCTAAAAGCATATCCAAATCATCGTGCCAAAACCTGCACCTTGATACATTTGATAATTTCTTATAAAAATTCGGAGATTTAGAATCATGTACATGCTAATATAGACAGATAACGGTAGGTTGTAGTGGTAACGAAAACAGAAATCATTGCAATGGTCTAAAGATTTTGAGCTCTGCCTATCAGTAGCCATGTAACTTTATTCAGTCACTTGTAAACATGTTATCATCGTAAGATATTTGAAACTTATGACCATATCCGTACTGTGAACGCGCGCTCATTTCTCTGATGTGGTAGATCTTTCGGATTGTGTTGCATAAAATTTTATCGTGCGGTTAACTGTTCTGTTGTATATCCGTCCCTTTCGTTTGTGAATCTTTTTGCTCACTGTCGCATCGAATTAGAGTCATGGAGATTTTTGAAGGTGATTATTATCTTCTAAGTTTGTGATCTTGCCATTCAGAAAAATTCTTCACTGATTGATTGTGAAAGTGTTTTTTCATCTTTTGCATTCTTCATATAAAAATATAGTGCTGCGTCTGTTTCGGACAATTCTTCAGTCAAGAGAAACTGAAAATGTGCTAAGAGCATTTTATTTTCGAATGCCATTTTGTGTACAAAAGAAATAAATTAAAAACATTAGAGTACTTATAGTTTTTCGAAACGAAGTTGCTGAAATAAAATCAGTTAAGCAAATGTCAATTGGTTTGGTTAGCTTATTCAACAGATGTGATAGATATATGAGTCACTTCTTATACTGGACATCTTCTGATATTACTAAAGGAGATGCATCGAAATTGAAATTTAGTCATTTTCCATCAATTTTCATGACTACAGTGAACAAAGATCATGCTGCCACTTTCTACAAGATGTATACACATGCCTACTAATGACTTCTTCGCTAATAGAGTCAATTAAATGAATTGTTTGTCGCAGATGAAAACCTATGTATAGTTTACATGTAGAATTGCTAAACATCTAGGAAGATTTATTTATGAAAAGTTATTTAAACTTTTGTGCTGCTATTTCACAAGGTGATAGTCCTTGTTGTCGTGCTTTTTCTTCTTCTTCTTCATGATGTGCTTTCTCATCATCTTCACATTCCCGAATCATGCGAGTATTATCAAATAACATGTACGGTTTGACGACTAAACCTAATCAAAGTGAAAACATCGATTAGAAATTTCAATGCTTCAAATAAAGATAATGATACATACGATAAGTATTTTCACTAGTTTGAACAGTTTGTAACACTTGTCGGCGAAGAAAACTATCTGTATCTTTTGCTGCACGGATTAACTACCGAATGAAAATAGTTTGTTGTAACTTCAATGCAATTTGACTTACTTCTTTGATGGTTTTTTCGTCGGTAACATTTTTATAATGTGTGAAATTTTCTCGTATGCCTTGTGTCATACCTACAGCAGATAGACATAAAATAGAAATCCATATGTATGCCAAGTAACTCACTAGCAATTCGTACTGGATCATTTTGGAAAACATCCTGTGCAGTACGAATTAATTTCTTATAATGTGCTAACACTTGTGAGCGTAGCGGAGTTACCATTTCTTTTTCTATAAAAAGTACAGAAAGATGATGAGTTCGCAAGATAGTGAAATGCGCTTTTCTTTTTGTATTTTTATATTGATAAATAGATGATGAAACATCAAGAAAAAAAAATGGAAAAATGTTATTTATTTTCAACAGTAGTTGTTGGCTTCTGCTGTTGTTCAGTTGGTAAATCTTTAACAAATGGAATCTTCTCCGAATATTCTAAGCAAATCAAAATAAAATCTAGTACTAGTTTGGTTTACAGTTCAATGAACATACTTTTAGGCATATAGGGTTTAAGAACTTCAGGCACAAGAATGCCATCATCAGTTTGATAATTCTCGAGAATAGCACAGATCGTGCGCGTTGTTGCACACATTGTGGCATTTAACATGTGCACGTATTTCACCTAAACGAGAAAATCGTACTGAGCATCTGTGATGAGAAAAGTTCATTGTTTATTTACGGCTTCATTGTTTTTCTTCACTTGACCATAGCGGATTTTTAAACGTCTTGATTGATAGTCAAGACAATTTGAACAGGAGACAAGTTCACGAAATTTACCCGAGCCAGGAAACCATGCTTCCAAATCGAATTTCTTTGCTGCAGCATTATTCAGTTCACCTAAACCGCATAATGCTCCTCATTAGAGTCTCTCAGCTGTTAGATTTATGTACCTGAAACAATGTTAACTACACGATACGGAATGCCGAGTTTCTGATTGAACTCTTCCGCATTGCCGATCATTTCATCAAACAGTTTCCACGATGAACCATCGTCAGGAGCAGTTAAACAAAATTGTTCAATCTAGAGAAAAGAAAACAGTCCCACAGATAAGAACCAATAATCAAATAGCGAGCTCACTTTCTCAAATTGATGCACGCGAAAGATGCCACGAGTATCACGACCTTGAGCGCCAGCCTCTCGTCGGAAACAAGTCGAAATACCTCCATATCGAAGAGGTAATTTGTCCGTTGGCATCCACTCATCCCTACTCAGACAAAACTCAATATGTTCATCTATCATTTCTATTTCAATATTTACCGATGAAAAGCAGCAATAGTTTGTTCCGAAGTAGCGATCAAATATTTTTCTTCGTCGTTCGATTCACCTGGCTTGTCACTTTTGCATACTACTTTGTAAAGTTCTTCGTCGAATTGACTTAACTGAGCAACTTCCTGCATGATTTCTTTGCGCATGAAAAATGGTGTATAGAGCACTTCGAATCCTCTATCACTCAGTGTTTTCAAAGCGACTTGGATAATGGCTTGTTCGAGAAAGACAGCAGGTCCCTATAGTAATCGATTTGTGAACATCAAAAGATAGTTGTTTTCAAACCTTCATAAAATATCCTCGAGATCCGGCTATAGCCGCTCCTCGTTCACCATCATATCCATCGATGCGATACATCAGATCAATATGAGAATATGGTTTTCGCGTTTCAACATCTCCGAAAGTTCGTTCTGTGATATTATTAGCCTACAAATATACAACAGATATTTACATATGAAATATTCAATAGACTATCATTTACTTCATCATCACTGACAGGTACAGAATCATGAACCAGATTTCCGATTTCATATAATATTCCATCACGTTCATTTTCAATTTGAATTAGCTGTTCTCCAACTTGACTAACTTGTGAGTCTACGAATCCGCTTAAACGTTTAATTTGTTTAATTGCTAGTGTTCGAATGTATTCCGTAGTCAAGGTTTCCAAATTGATTACTAACTCTTTCGGAAGATCTCCACAATCGCCTTCGCCTTCGTTTGCTCTTTTCTTCTCGCCAACTATTTGTCCACAAAGATTTTTTACTCTTCGCCATTGTTCGAGTTGATAAAGAATCGTACGCCATTGAGAGTCGAGGGTAATGAAACGCTCTACACTATCAGTGCCTTTGTAACGTTTTATTTGAGAATCACGCACTAGTTGTGGATTTTGACGAATTACTTCAATATCGAGTACCATTTTGACAATATATGACAATACAAGTCATGTTGCTCGTTTATATACGATTGCATTGCATTGCATTGCATCAGCTATGACGACTTTCGTACTAATCAAGTAGGAAAGTTGGTAGTGGTACTTTGAATGGACATTTCTTTGTTGAATTGCTGAAAATAAGAAGACATCTTGGGTATTAAGATGCATTTATTTACATTTGCACACACCTAGTCAAATTAACTAGCTGAATTTTGAATGGATGCAAAGAACGACTTATAATATTGACAACAAACGTACATTCGTTCTTTCCTTCTATTTAGATGTCGTTGCCGATCGATTCCAAGCAATTATAGTAAAGTTTGTATGCAAGCAAAGACAAAAGATCGCTGACATTTATTACAGAGTTGTTCTTAAAAAAAGATTAAGGAGATTTTTTAACAATTGTTCGGACAAGCTGATTACTAAATACAAATTCTTTCACTTTGTTCATTAGGTATAAAAACGGGATCAAAGCAGTAACATATTGAATCCATTGCCAACGGAATTCTTTCCAAAAGCTCGGTACATAACGTATTGTTTGCAAACTGGAAACAACAATTATTTTTACTGTTAATTTTGTTCCGCCAACACTGGACGATGACCACTGAACATACTCTTGATCGAATGTTGTGAAATATGGACGAGATGTATAATTTTTTAAGATCTGATCAAATGATGGTACGATGGAATATGATCCGTAATCAATAATTGAAGATTGAAGTGATGATATGTCTGTATGATTCGAGATTGGCTGTAGTTGTTGAAAGCGAAGTTGACCATAGACAGTAACGATTGCATTACTTAATAATCCCCGTGGCGCTTTTAATGATATGAGTCCAAGCGCTTCCATTGAGATTTCTGGGTATTGTTTCAATTTATATGAAAATATAGGCCAGATATTGACAGTTTTGTCCGCAACTGAACTTGTCAAAATGACCTGGTAAGTTATGTTTTGTTGATCAATCGTACCATCACCATCAATATCCCATGGAACAGCTGTTCGAAGAGTGCTTGGAGCATAAATCGACGAAAAATAATTATTTTCACGTTGGTCCGTAGAAGAAAAAACAACATCTGATGATGAACCGATGATCAACTGAAGTTTTTTAAGCGAAGATATATTAGGCTGCTCAGTATAAGTTAGCTCTTTATAATAAAATCCGCTTGTAAAATAACTCGTGAACAACGGTGACAAAAATGTTAAAAGAAGACACCATAGTTGAAACAACACCGCACTGGAGCACGGATGCGCAAAATATCGAATTCGATGATCTTGAGAATAAACTTTGTATAATACCATTTTATCTACCCGACAAACTATATTATCATCAATGATTAAATTCATCCAACATGATGATTTAATCTTCTAACATATAACTATGTCAATACCTCTATAGCTGTGTTCGATCGTCGTTTTGATCATGATAGATGGAGTTAGTAGTCTATTCTGTCTTGTGAGCTGAAGATGAGGATGAGAATGCAGTTTTTCTGCGGTGATTGAATGAAAATATTTCACGTACAATATAAACAGATTTCTGAATATTTTCATAAGATAAACACTGAAGACTATTGTTTTGTGAAGGTTCTTTTCTATACAATATAACTCCCGAGAGATACTTTCAGTCAATTATGTAGTATATCGATTTATCGGTTCATTAGTAAGGGTAATCAAATAGAATCCCGCTGTTAATGACTATCAACGATCATAGACTAGGGAAGGTGAATCAGAACATATCCTTTTGTTGACACTGTCATTTGACCTGTGTTGTAGATTCATCATCATTATTTCTACAGCCATGCAGCCTACGCATCGATACGACTACGTTCTTCGTAACAGGCCAGAGAGAAAGCTCGAGTTATTTTAGGGTAAAGAGAAAGAATAAACAAGAGTAACACCAATCGGCCGACGGAGATTAGCAGTTATACAGTTGTACTTATTATTCTGTAGGAAAAGGAGAACATACTGGAAAAAAAAAGAAAAGTACTATCGACTGAAAATCGCCTACATCTTATCAGAAAAGAAAGAAAAGGCCGAAAGAGACACATAATAGCCATTTTTGTGCTCTGTTTCATTCTATTGCGTCGTATTTTGCCAGCATTTTGTACAATTTTACACGTCTAAACAGAAACGAACATGTCTACAGGTCCAACTGCAAATCGCCCATTGACAAAAACATTTTGTGCAACATGCCAACAAGCATTTACACCGAGAGATGCGATGCAAATATATCAGGAGAGATATTATCATCCTCATTGTTTTTGCTGTTCAAGTTGTGGAAACACATTAGCCGGCAAACCATTCTATCCGAAACCAAACAATCAATTTCAATGTGAAGCATGTAACCATGCACTAGCACCAACGTAGTGATCTAATATGTTCATTGCATTCGAAAGTCTTCCTCTTTGCTTTTTCATTATTCTAGTTGCTGTATTTGTAATCAAAAGATTCAGTCAGGTACGGCAGCAAAACGGTACCAAGATCGTCATTATCACAGTGGATGTTTTCGGTAAAACCATTTAATCGAATCTATTGAATTCTCCCTTTTTGTTCATCTTTAGCTGTTGCAAATGTAACGCAGTTGTACCTGATGGTAAATTGTCCTGAAGTTCAATTGATTTTGTTGCATATAGATTCATTTAGGACATAACTTTGTCGATATGTTGGACGGACGTTTTCAATGTTTGACATGTTCGCATCATATCACAGGATCATATCAAGGCAAAGAACATGCTCCTCATTTGGAAAATATCCTAGGTGAAATAGTTCCTGTTCAGTGTGATCAAGCAGGACGTATTCCCATTTGTGACAAATGTGCTCGGCCTGTCTCAGGCGACGAAGATGCATTCAAACTTGAAACACGTTATTATCATCTGGAATGTGCTCGCTGTAATCGTTGTCGTAAGAAACTTTTGAGAGTTCCATGTCGAAAACTTGGTTCAGCTTTGGGTAAGTTGAAATATATTAGAGGCCAAGCAAAATGAACTTTCCCTATCTCTCCCTTTTAGTTTGTCACACATGCTCATAACTCACCAAATACATGTCTACTCTATACAAATAAGCCTGATTTCGATATATTTTCTCTCTCCTTAATTATGAAATACCCCTTGATCATCTTTTTATTTTACACAGTATGAAAATTTATTCTTTTCTGATAAAAAATAAAATCATCTCAATTAACTTCAACTGCATTTGATTTACGAGGTGATATTGTTCTCGTCGAATCATCTACTGAATAGACTGCAGAATTTCTATTCATTCCATTGGCACGAGCGAGACGCCGATGAACTTTATGTTTCACCATTTCTTTACTTATATTCACTTGTTTCGTCCATGATTTGCGTTTGAAATGATTTGCTTCTTGGATACAATTGATCGCGGTCGAACGCGTTGATGCACTCGCATAACGCTCGTAAGGTTTAAAAGCTGCTTGACGAACATTGAGATCGTGACGAGATTTTATCGAACTAGTACCATAATTAACTGGATGGTCAGGTAGAGCTAAACAGGAGTCGATGTCGATCATCGAACCACGCGGATTCGGCAATGAGCTCGCCAGACGATTGGCTGAATATGCGGTAAGTTCTCGAATTTGACTTGGTGGTTGTTTTTGTTGGACTTCCTTAACCGATTGTTCAATTTGTGTAAATAATTCTCGTCGTTTAGCAGCGTTTCTCTCTTCGATGTCATGAGCGAGGCGCGAAGATGAATATATATAGGCATCAGCTGATGACATAACTGATTGTGATCCGTCCTTATTGTGGATTGTATCGGAGTAAATTGATAGTGCTGATATTGTTGGTGATTGATTTGACATTGAAGACATAATCATGGGCAAGACGTGTTTATCCTTTTCTTCTTGAAAACTAGTGCGGGATGTTGGCTGAGGTGTATGTATTGATTTCTTAGATTTGCCTTGAAAAGAAGAAAATACAAGCAGGTGTGTCAGAATAGATGAAATGTGAACTGAGGAAGATCATTTACTCTCGTTTCGAGAAGGATTGCTCATTGACGATGATGGTAATAAGGTCGGAATTGTTGAATGGTTGCGTTCAACAATTGATCGGGCTGATTTTAAATCTGATAAATAACAACAAATGAAAAATGTTCTTGTGAATAGATTTTCGAATGAGTACAATACTTGAGGGTGGATGTGGAGTCATGACTGAATTTTTTCTATTATTGAAGATGATGTCAGAGGGTAAAGATATTGATGATTGTCCGATGTGATGCGATGCAATAATTTGTTTGAATCTTCGTCGATCGTCTGAATGAAAACTTTGCATGAAGTTTTTTGTCCGTAGGATTTTTTCTCGATCTTCTTCACTAAAACCAGTAGAAACATCAGGTTGTGAGGCATTTCGTGAATGAGGTAATTGAAGTTGCTCAGGTGGTACTTCGAACGTGTTATTATAGCCATCAATTAAGACTTTATAGCCAAGTAAGCCGGCTTCAGGATAGACTCGTTTTGTTTGAGGAGTAGAAAATTGGCCACCGAATCTTTTCCACGTTTTTTCTCTGGCACGTTCGCACCAACTGTAATTAAAAAAACCGTTGTCATCGACAAAGGACAACACATGCAGAGCGACGTTTTACCTGATAATTCGACAATAGAGTGGAAGGGAAGTATAAACAGGGTGTGCTGGTAGACGATGAACAGCATTCGTGTTATTTTTCGATGCTAAAAGATTCGAAATATATTCACCATCCGCATTCAACGGTATTCGTAGATAATATTGTTTATTGTATAAAAAGAAATAAATGGAAGTAAAAGAACTCTTTTGTTCTTTGTCTTTTGTTCGGCTTAAAAAAGATAATGCCATTCTGTATGGTAGATTACCCGTGATTGGATCTCGTGCTTGTGTGCATAAGATCGAATTTTGAACAAAACAATTAACGAGTAACATATATCCTCGTTCAACAGCGATATGAATCGGGCATCGGAGTGTTTCAGGAAATAGTTCGACAGCTGTATTAGCCGACCATTGACGCGATGGCGGTTCACCAACAGGTCGGTCACTTCTTGCACCTTGTCGTAGAGCATAGGTAGCCAATTCTAAATGCCCTGAACAAAACAATTGTATGAACGTTAATGGGTTTCTACAACATTTCAAAAGAAGCAATTTTACCGTAAAAAGAAGCAATGTAGAGTGCCACTTGTGCCTGATAGTGCCGTGCTAACTCGTCAGGTGAAACACGTTCTACATGATTCTTGACACACGCCGCAATAAACTTATCAAATCCTTGCCATACTTTCAAGTAAACATGATCATGAATTTTAATATCATAATTTATTAATTTCATTTCATCGTATAATCGTTGTGTTCCTGTATACGTTTCCAGACAAAACGTACTCAATGGTAAACCAATCTTTTGCGAAATAATCCGTCGTATCGTACCGATTTTCGTTTCTATGGTAATCGATGAATCGTAAATTTTCAATATGTGCTGATCAAAACCGCAGTAAACATAAAGCTCCGGTGCCTTCACTTCTCGGTATATACAATGAATAATCGCGCCCGACGGAATACTTAAATCGGACACACACCATTGCGGTTTCAAATCAAAACCATTATAAGCAAGAACCACCGATGTTTCCGACGGGCCATTACCATGCACTTTCAAACCGAATCTTCGTTTGGCTAATTCAAGAATTTCTTCGACATGAACATTTTCATCGATATCAATTAATATCATCGATTGAGTGACTGGATAAAAGAGATAATAGCGCATTTTTTTCTCATTTACGGCATTTCCCTATTCAATATCAACAACATATTATACATTTGGCGAATATCATCATAGGTCGTAAGTACTTCACAAGTGTCATTCTACGGAAATAGTCATGATATTTCTTATAAATATAATGAGAAACTACGTATTTCAACTCGGGTCATGATCATCAACAGATTTCACCGTAGACGTGATTAGCGTGAGAAACTAATCAGTCTGTGATTAAATCTTGTAGAAGTATTAGAAAAACTATATTTAATGATAAGTTTGTCAAAGAATTCAATCTCCGTTCGAACAGTGTTACGTGAGAAATAATTTCAGTTAAGAACATGCAAAAATCTTTTTTTTGCAACCTTCTTACTATTTTAAAAGCTGTGAATTTAGCTTACCATTGGTGAACTATTGTTCGGTCGTTTCCGCAATTTCGTGTCCATGACGATGCCAAATGCGATTTTGTTTTTCGGATTAATCTGAAAAACGTCAATGATTGAAATGATTCTTCATGTGCATTGAAGAAGTCTATTAAAAATATTTGTTTTCTTTTTCTTTCTTTACTATTCGATTTAATAACGTTTACTTGATTCGTTTCGAAAAGAAGGAGAAAGAGTGAACGATTTTTTTCCTATCGTAACGAAACATTGACAAACATAATTGAATCAATAGAAATCCTGTTCGGTGTTTGTTTTCGAAAATTTCAATAAAATACTGTTTTTGTCATTCCATGCACTAACACACTCACCCACAACGCATAGATAATAATGGTAAAAACTTAAAAGGAAAATGTTTGCATAATGTTTTTCAAGAATGAATGCTTTAAGAAGCATTTTGTGTCAATAGTAAAGATGAGTGGAAAATATTAATGGATCAGAATATGTCTAAGGTACTCGAATATTGAAATACGCAGTTTGGAAGTTATATTTAGACTCAACATCGATATGATATTGATTAACAGCGAAGTTAGACTTGAATATAGACAAACATATGTATACAATCCCAAAAACGACTTTTCGAATGTCCTACAAATCAGAGTGAGAAAGGTATTAGACGATGGATAATGTTAATCGATACTTGACTGTGTTTTGTCTTTATATTTCATTGAAACTTAATGTTTGCGAAGTCTTTCCATTTCTTATACAAGCCGATCAAATTTTTGTCAAATGTTCTGATGGTAAACTTGAATCATTCAATAACAATCAATTTACGCTTCCAACATGCATCGAAAAATCGCAAATAGAACGAATTAATGTCTTTCAAATTTACATTCAATGTCCCGATGGGCGTTTACATTTCGAACTGAATCGGACATTTCCTTTTCATGCATCGAGCTCGGAATATTCTCTGACGAGTTTACATCCGCATTGTTTCATTGATAAACTCAATCATAACCGTTTTATTTCTTATCAGACTCGTTATTTGTCAGAAAATGGAACATTCGCGCAAATAATCTCATTTCAATGTGAAGGTAATTCGACGGTTGTTACTAATGAACAGTGGAAATTCCACGACGAATTTTATTTGTTTTTTAAATTGATGAATTATGGACTCTGCCGGTATTTGGTGCAACTAGTATATTCGAATGGAAAATGCAACCGATTTTATCAGCAAATATATAAGATTCAACTGCAAATCAAACAATCGATATGTTATTATCAAATAGGACTTGATTCTTCGGATATTTCTTTAGAGTATCTTAATCAATTAGTTCGTAAAAATCTTTCATTGAATATTCAAGCAGTTTCTTCGAATCATTCAATGAATTCTTCAATAATGACTATGATTATTACCACATCCATCACAGGTCTATCTCTTATTCTATGTGGTTTGGTGTTTATACTTATGTATCGGTTTACTCTACTTCGAAGATAGACAATGATCAACGGAGTGATCTTCCTTAACAACAATAGACCGATGTTTTTTTTCCTTCTCATTCATTTAGAGGTCAACATTCTTTGATTGTGCAGTATAATAAAAATTTATTACCGCGAATTTATACGTGATCAATTAAAGGAGAGAATATAGGAAGTCGATAGAAATTCCTTGCATAATTGTCGTTGTTACTTAGACCTGAAGGAATTGCGTGTTTCTATTGAAATTCCATGACCATTTGTAAAGACGGAAAAGAATATAACCTACAAGAAACCCACCAATTGGACCTACGGCATAGATCCAAGCTTCGCCATGATATGTACCAGAAGCTACAGCTGGGCCTAACCAACGCCAAGGATTTAATGCAGCACCATCACGATCAGCACCAAGCAAAAACGAAGAAAATACCACAAGTCCAATTGGGAATGCGGCTTCCTTATGTTGATTGTATGCTGTTGTAAAACAAATGACGAATGAAAGTACTATAGTACAAAGGAATTCAATGGCGAATCCATGCATCACTGTCACATTTGGTTGGAGCCCTGGAGTGCCTAATTTGGTACCTGTACCATATAACGCAAGAAGTAATGCTCCGGAAAGTAGCGCACCTGCTGCTTGTGCAATAAGATAACCAACGACTTCAATAATTTTCATTTTACCATCGAAAGCAAATGCTATGGTTGCTCCAGCGTTGAAATGTCCGCCGGACACAGGTCCAAATACATAGACTAACCATACCGTCACTAGTGCATGGGCAGCAGACACAGTTAAGAGATTATCTGTTTTAGTTGCGCAACCTGCACCGAAAAAAATAAACAAGCAAGTACCGACTAATTCACATATTAAGCGCACACGAAGTGGTGGCGGCTGTACGAATCCATTGTCGAGATTGTCAGATGACAATTTTGTGTATGGTTCCGATGAAACTGCATCAGTTGGATTGATTCGAATGGCACTTAAAGACATCTAAATCAAGGAAAAGCGAAGAAGCATATTCAGCGTATAGGATCTTTAAAAAACTACAAATGTTTGTCGTCATCATTCTGTTTTGAAATTTATTTGAGTTTTCATTCGTCACCTTGACATACAAAAATTTATATTCGCTTGTTGATAGAAGATAAAGGTAACATCTTCCTATTTTTTCATCTTTTCCATTCATAATATCACCGTTACATTGTAGTTTTTTTGCATTTTATGTTATCTTAACTTCACCTGCAAGATGGTTTTGTCAACATCATACTTATTCTTTCAGATAAAAAACAAGAATCTAATCTTGAAAATAATTCTATTTCATGCACAATATACATAATGTACTTTGTACACTACGAAAAGGAACTAAATCTCTATTGAGTCTAAATTTAGCAGAGTTTTACTCTGAAGGATGTTGTTTATATTTATAAGAGATTTTTTGCAACTGTGCCGAGGTAATTGAATTTCTATTGCATGTCTTTTCTTTCTTTCTCTCTTTGTAATTTGATCTGCTAGTATCTATACCGTACCATAAAACTCAAAAAGTAAAAGCCTTTCTTTTTTCTCTTATCTCCTTGTGTATGTGTGCGGACGGCCCTATTGTTGATATAAGATAAATCATATTATTGCGATATGTCATCGAACAGTACAGGTGTATTTGATATCTGCGACGAATCTTTTCACCGTTTTATTTCTTCAACAGCTACACTTCGTCGACTTTATACAGGTTTAACATGGGCTGAAGGTCCTGCATATTTTCCCGCACTACGTATACTTATCTTTTCGGATGTCGCCGAAAATCGTTTACTACGCTATGATGAATGTAATGAGCAAACAAGTGTTTTTCGTTCCCCGTCTAATCACAGTAATGGTAATACAGTTGATCGGCAAGGTCGTTTAATAACATGTGAACAACAAACGAGACGTGTAACCAGAACTGAACATGATGGTGCAATAACCGTACTCGTCGATCGTGCTGAGAATGGCAAACGTTTTAATAGTCCAAATGACGTCGTAGTGAAATCCGATGGGTCAATTTGGTTTACCGATCCAACGTATGGCATTGATTCTGATTATGAAGGTGATCGAGCAGAAAGTGAAACGGAAGGGAATTTTGTTTACTGTCTGAAAGATGGAACATTACATGTCGTAGCACGAGATTTTGAACAACCCAATGGATTAGTTTTTTCACCTGATGAACGACGTTTGTATATTGTTGATACTGGACGAACCCATCGACCAAAGAATGGACCAGCACATATTCGTGTTTTTGATGTAGGAGATGACGGTATTTCATTGACTGGCGGAAATGTGTTTGCCGAATGTTTAACTGGCTTTTATGATGGGCTACGCATTGACACATTCGGTAATATCTGGACTAGTGCTGGCGAAGGAGTTGAATGTTATGATGGAAAGACTGGTAAACTTTTGGGAAGAATTCGTGTCCCCGAAATCGTAGCTAATGTATGTTTTGGTGGTGGTGTCAAACGAAATATTCTTTACATATGTGCAACAACTTCACTCTACTGTATTCGATTAGCTGTAAACGGTTGCAAAACATTTTGACTATTTTCTCAATTTGTCATATTTAGTAGTTAGTTATTCATTTTATTTCATAGTAAACAAAAAAAAACAAGCAGAACTGAGAGAAGTGACGTTTAAAGGGCTTATTAATTATTTTTTATGAACGAAGCACGGCAACTACTGTCTGTTGTGATGGAAATTCTTCATGTTCAAACGGTAAAAAACGATATGTTCAAGTACTATTTCCTCACAGCAAGCAGAGAAAATTGTTTACACAGCTACTCCTTTTTATTACATGAGCTCTGTTACGAAATAAGCCAATGTACTTTGCAGTGAACTGCAAGTAGACGATTTCGAGTCATATTCATTGACTCAGAGTATCCATCGACAATAAATGTCACTGGTTCGCCTATTTCTTCGGCGTTCTCTAATTTTTTTCTGTTCTGTATGATGATGCAAAAAAACTATGGTTGTTGTTTTCATCTGTCTCTTGCATAATCAATATTAGATGTCTTTCTCTCTCGATGTTCGCACTGCATAAATAGTCGGTCAAAAACAAAATATTTACATTTACAATCTTTGTTTAATATGGCTACGGTAGAAACTATTACTGCATCGAATCAAGCAATTTTATCTTCCTTACAACGGCCTCTGCACGTGGTCGTTGTTGGTGGAACAGCTGGTATTGGTCGTGGAATCGCTCTTGCATATGGTCGACATTGTCCAACCGCGCATGTGACCATTGTTGGACGTAATGAAACGGCTGCCAATGAAGTATTGGCTCAATTGGGTCCACGTGGAAAGTTCATCCGTGGTGATTGTACGTTGATGTCTGAAATTCGAAAAATCACACCGAAAATCGATGCCGTTGACGTCCTCGTTCTATCTCAAGGTATATTAAGAATGGGTCCTCGTTCACCAACCAAAGAAAATATTGATGACAGAGCGGCTCTAAGCTACTACGGTCGAGTTTTATTTGTCCAAGAACTTCTTCCACTTCTCCGTGCATCTCCAATCGGTGGCAAAGTTTTATTTATTTTGAACAGTAAATTTGGTAATCCATCGAAGATCGACTGGAACGATTTGGGACTTGAAAGAAATACTTCGTTCCTAACAGGCGTCAAACAAATCATGGCATTTAGCGATTTAACCGTTCAGTATCTTGGCTCACAACCAGAAAATGCCAACGTTGCTTTTATACATGCATATCCGGGTTACGTCAAAACTTCAATAGGTGACAATCTTCCCTTCTATATTCGATTGCCTGCAAAGGTTTTCGAGCTCTTTGGCATGTCTTGCACTCCGGATGTTTGTGCGGAGTTCATGATACATGGTATATTAGGAACGGAGAAGGGTTGGAGACTCATTGATGAAAAAGGTGAAACTGTTACAAATAAGAAAGGATCAGATGAAGAAATGTTAAAGAAAGTTTGGGAACATACTTGTGAAATGACATCTCGCACTGTAGAATCATGAATAGTTGATGTTCGATATTTGTTTTATTTACATGATTCAGCTAAAACAATGTAATAATCATCTTACTGTCACTTTATCTTTTACTGTTGTATAAAGTTTGTTTCTGTGCTCAGTTCGATGTTTCAAAGTCGGGTGATCCTCATATCCGGATTCACTTAGATAGTTTTCGGAGTCTACAAATTGTTGAAGTGATTAGCTTCAGTATCTTGAAATTTTGATCATTTTCACAAAACTCTTTGATTAATCTGGTTACAAATATATCACACGTAGTTCATTATTTGTTCTCAAGTATTTTTGTGCTCTTTCAATTATAACCCTTTCAAATACTTGTGTTTATTTTCCATCTAATATCATTTGGCTCCAATTCGTTCCCTTTAAGAAAAAAACAAACAGGCGTACATAGTGTACCTCTCCGTACTTTTAGTTCGCTTTTTTCTGTATACTTTCTGTTCCTGCGTAATTTTCTGTGTTTCATTGATGCTTTTATGTGCAGAAGAAAATGTAACGAAAGTAATGGACGACAAACTAAAAGTATAGGGAGAGAATGACAATAATTCAACTAGTCTTGGAACAATTAAAACAGAATGTTCAGATTTCAAACGGATAACACCGTCACATGTTATATATCAACAGGTGGTTATCTTGAAGGAAGCATAGAATGAAATTCGTGAAGTAGAATAAAACTTCACTGTCGAAATTAAAAGATTTTGGGTTGATAATCGTACGATCATCTAGTCTTCACCAACAAGTTTTCTGCAATGGAAAATATTATGTGCAATCTTTGAAATACATGAGATCGAGAAAACATGAGACTCATGTTTAGGAAACGAATCGATGTGAAATGCGAACGAATGTTTTCTCGTATGAACAATGTTATGGAAGTTGAAGCTAGATCAAATAATCGGTGATATCATTCACTACGAGCATCTCCAAACGTTTTTCAAAGTTTCATGTGGTCAAGGAAAAGATGCAACAGGTGAAAAGAAAAATAATATTCCAAGGAATGAATTAATTTCAAGTAATACGCATACACACAGATATCCATTGTAGTATCAACCAGGGTCATTTTTGTTCATTCTGTTGAGGGTGTATACGACGACAGAAATAAGTCGATATTACAAAGGAGATATACGTATTTGCTGCTTACGATTAATAAAAGTAAAAGAAACGAAAACAATAAAATAGTAGACAGTAAAACAGATAGCCAATAGTGAACACGAATCGTGTGTGCTCTTTTTCTCCGGTGTCCTTCGATTGTATTATGTATACATGCACCTACATACATGCATATCAGTAGACTGGGATTCTTATTCTTACATAGATGTTTTTAACACAATATTAGTTATTTAAACGGCTCTCTCTAAATGCCCTTTTTCATTGATATTATATGGAACACTACCCCGCGCCGAAATTCTCAACTGCGAAGGTAAGTCGCTCAATAGATTAGCTTTGGACAAGCAATCCAAGATAATCGTTCTTTTGTAGCCGCAGAACTCGCAGTTGAGAATTTCAAGTAAGTCCATATCGATAATATGTCTCTCTATTTTCATATGTCTTTTTAAACAGAAGTCACAAATCCGATAATGAAGCCTTTGGTAAGTGAATTTTTTAAATTAAAGTGCCGCATATTTCTTCAAGTAGTGCATGGCGATTTTCCTTTCGTTCTTCGATCCTTTCTTTTGTAAGGGGTGTGGCATCTCTGTGATAGTGCGGTTCATCTTTTATTGCTTTCTTTCGTGTGTACACATACTCTTTCGTCAGGCGTTTGACACTCACAAGAGTCAGAATGATTCATTACTGAGCAAGCAAATGGATATTTGCACTCAAAGCAATCGCTTCGCATTTTATACCGCATTTAAACAGAATCAACATGTTATCTAGTCTGCTACAGAACGTAACAGAAAGGCCTACAGAAGATAAACTCATAAGTTTCGTTATTGAGTTTTGAAGATGTAGTTAGCAGAGAAGCGAGAATCATTGTTCGTTTTACTTCATATCGTCCACCTTTTCCTCTCTCTCTCTTTCCTTTCTCTGTGGCTCTTTTTTTTATCCGCTCGTATCCATTCCAATCGTCAAATGTTTCCTTGCTTCCATAGCAGCGAACATTCAGTATCGATATAAAGAACAGAAATGCGCACGAAATCATCTTATCATATTTTTCTCTTGTGATTTGTGTCTGACAGACGCCATTAGCTATGTGTAAAGAATGTAACATGTCATTCATTGAATCGATTGATGTAAGTGTCTGAAAAAAAGCATTTGAGATTAGTTTTAATAAGATTTCCAATAGAAAGTCTAACGATCATAACTAAGAGTTCAAAATGCTTTCGAGAGAGCTCATTTCTTGATCCCAGGTCGAACAATCCCATACTGGGATCCAATATAGGATTTTATCAGATCCTACAGGAATTGGACGGATACGATGAAATCCTGGTGACGGAATCGCATTGGATTCCGACGGTATCCGATCCCATGTCGGATCCGAAACATGGATTTCCTGGATTTTCTAAGGGTCATCATAGAACATAGCTAAAAAGATCGCTCATGAAATTTGCAACAACCGACGGGATTTTTCCAGTCGGATTCCAATGCAATTCCGTTTCCAGGAATCCGATCGGATTTTGTCGGATGGTCGGATCCAGCATCGGATTTGTTGACCTGGGATGCCACCCCGTAGAAGATAGTATTATATTAATAGATTTTCTTCTCAGTTAGCCCCTTCATGTATTCAGCATAGTCATTTATTTATTCACATTCCTAATGAACATTGGGCAAAAGAGAGTTTCATATTGACTATGCTGTGATTAGCGGAAAACTGCTAGAGTACGCCGCAGAAATGATTCTATGAAGTGTATAAATGCAACCTATCCTCATAAGAGTGAGATAGAGAGAGTATTGTGGCAACCGGTTAAGGCCTTTAACCTTGTAAAGGAAAACATGGAATCCATGACGGAGCGAATGCAGGAAATCTATCGGTTAAAAACAAAACGTATAGAAATTATTCGCTTTAATACTATATATTATTGTTATTTTTGAGAAAAATATCTACCATATCAGTTGAGAGCTGCCAAATGAATGTGAATCTCGGCTGATTCAAAATATGAATAGCACGAAAAAAGCAAGTCTTTTGACAGGACAAGTCAACTCGTCTCATTCACACCGATCTTCATCTGCTCAAGATGCGAATAGTACATAAAGCTAGTTATTTCACGGGACAAGTTCACTTGTCTCATTCATATGGATTTTCAACTGTTACAAATTGAAATACCATGGAAAGCGAGTCGTCTCATAGGCCAAATTGATTTGTCTCAGTCACATAGGTCTTCATGTTTTCATGATGCAAGTAACATGTAAGGCGAGTTATCCCAGAGAAGAATAACTCATATTTTATTATCAATACGATTTTTCAATAAACATCTTATCGATTCGTTATTAAACATTGATTCACGCCCTTAAACCCAGCTCACCTATTAAAAACAATGATTCCTATATATTTTCTTTTCGAGCAATAGAATTTTGTACTCGCGCCTCTGCCATGAGTTCCATCTTTTCTTTTAAACAGTTAAAATTCTTAATCGGTTAATCTAAGATGTATCCTTATTTTAGGCACTCGACAGCAGCGATCAAGGTCAATCACATCATGAAGAAGAAACACACCAGCTCCAATCGACGGATAATATCGATCAAGAATTCAAACAACGTCTGGATCAGATGAATTAAGAATTCGAGCACCGTTTCAATGCAATGGAGCAAAATTTCGAACAGCGTCCCAGGTCGACAAATGCCATACTCGGATCCGATCAGATCTCATGTCGGATTGCGGCGGATCCGAAACACAGATTTTATGGACTTTCTAAGGGTCATCATAGAACCTAGCTAAAAATAACGCTCATAAAATTTGCAATAAATGACTGGATTGTTCCAGTCGCAATCCGATCGGATCCAATCTCGGATTTGTTGACCTGGAGTTTCAAAGCAATGGAGCATATTTTCGAACAGCACCTCGTTACTATGGAAAAAAAAATTCGAACAATTTGATTCATTAGAAGGAAAATTAGCTGCTCTTATCAACCTTTTATCTGTTGATGATCGTGGCCGCAAGCAAGATGAGTCAAAGAAAAATCTTCGACGAAGCCCGGAACGTTCACCGTCAGCTGACCATGCAACGTCTTAATTCGAATGAAGCGAAAAAGCGAACAAGAAACTGAACACCATGTAGAAAAGCAATTAACAAATAAATAAAGGACCTTATCACCACATGAGGAAAAAGAAACACGTTTTACGCACATATTTGTTGGCATACATCTCATGAAATTAGTTCCTATCTGATGGGTAACGATATGGATATGCTGAGTTATTAAAACTATAAGCCATATTCGTAGATCCATGGAAGCTATTGACTGGTATTGCTTGATGCGGTTGTTGTAGTTGCTGTTGTTTGTTTTTAGTCGAATAGTTGTAATGATTTGATTGAGAAACAATCATTGATGTGGGTGATGTCGAACGTGGTGGCAACTGATCTTCAGTGATTTCCACTGGTTTGATTGTCGTTTCAAATGGATTCAAAGAAGATATTGGATCTTCTTCNATGCCTAGATTCTGTAATGTGTCAACAATATCATCAGTAGCCATTCCTGTTCTACTCATAATCGTTTTTAATAAACATTTCGGACTGTTTTCATTGTAATACACGAGTAATTGTTCAACAATTTTGATTTTCCAGTATGCCTCATAGGTTTGTGCACCTAATGTCGATAGGGGTCGTTCTGGCGTGCCGACTTGTCCTTCTTTTTGAGATATTAAATAACTCAGTTCAATGAGGAAACGTCCGTAACCCCGACATGTGTGTGTAAAAGGCGCAATTGTTTATATAAGATAAATCATATTATTACGATATGTCATCGAACAGTATAGTTGTATTTGATATCTGCGATGAGGCTTTCCACCGTTTTATTTCTTCAACAGCTACGCTTCGTCGACTTTACACTGGTTCAATATGAGGGGTAGGTTCGGCATATTTTCCCACACTACACACACTGATTTTGTCGGATGTCACTGAAAACCGTCTCCTACGGAAGGTGGCAATTGTTGGAAAGAAAAATAAATCTCCAAACTTGGTATTGCGAAAGTACTTCAGTTCGAAAGAAAAAATCTCGAAAAAAAAGCAAATTGGACTGAAACGGAAAACGTAGAGATTGCTAATGCATCAGGTAATAGAAATTTACAACTGAGATTCGCTATTATCGATTTTATTATGACCCAGCGTGCCATGTTTTAGAAAGCATAAGAGAAAAATGATTCTTTTTATTTAACAGTACAACAAATCATAGAGTCAACGGAGAAAATAGATGAAAAGAAAAAAATCGTTGACGTGTTACAACTAAAAGAGATAATCCAAGAAGTTCATCAAGTTTGGTTTTACGTTCATTGATCAATAAATGAAGGATCTATTTTAGCCTGAAATTCGAGTATATTTTTGTTCTTCTTCTTGTTATTACCAGTAAGCATTTTCAGCACATGTTGTCGAAACACGACTTCTTCCAGCTGGAAGCAATCGAGTATGTCCCATACATTTGGATGGTACTTGCCTATCTGACGATTAGATCGTTGGCTTCATCCTATTCTACATAGCAGAATTAAGGTGACAAATATATTGAAACTCACCCTGAACCAGATTATCAGCTCAGAACCAGAAAATGCCAACGTTGCTTTTATACATGCATATCCGGGTTACGTCAAAACTTCAATAGGTGACAATCTACCCTTCTATATTCGATTGCCTGCAAAGGTTTTCGAGCTCTTTGGCATGTCTTGCACTCCGGATGTTTGTGCGGAGTTCATGATACATGGTATATTAGGAACGGAGAAGGGTTGGAGACTCATTGATGAAAAAGGTGAAACTGTTACAAATAAGAAAGGATCAGATGAAGAAATGTTAAAGAAAGTTTGGGAACATACTTGTGAAATGACATCTCGCACTGTAGAATCATGAATAGTTGATGTTCGATATTTGTTTTATTTACATGATTCAGCTAAAACAACGTAAAAATCATACTGCTATCATTTTATCGTTTTCTGTTGTATAAACACTGGCTCTGCACTCGGTTCAATGTTTCAAATTCGAGCAATCTTCGAATACAGATTTCCTTACATTATTTTCCGAGCTCACGAACCGTTTGAAGTAATTAGCTTCTGTATCTTGAAAACTTGATCTTTCTTATAAAATTCTCCGACAAATCTCACTGTAAGAAAAAACCATATATAGTTCTTTATTTGTCATCTACCGTTTTTGTACTGTTTTCAATCACAATTCTTTCAAATTTTGAGTCCTTGACTGTATGTTAGAGCGAAGTTTGTTGACTTATAACATTCTTTTTTTTCTACAAGAGAGTATTTTATTTCAGCTGTAGTCTCTATTCGTTTTTCTTCTCCACACATTATGTTTCTGAGTAACTTTCTACATGTCACCAGTGTGTTTATGTTGAGAAGAAAACTTAACGAGAGTAGTGGGATGCCAAAACTAAAAGTAGAAACTGTGTATGTTTAAAAACAAGACCAATACGAATTATACAATGAAGTTTTATACTTCGAAAAGTAGATATTTATAGTATGAATGCTAATTTCTATTATTCTGTCGTATCATTACCATTAGTATCTTTTCAATATGCTCAGAAGATAATAAACAAGAAAACACTGTTTTCATTTGACATAGACTCTGATCATATACAAACACATTCAGAGAGAAAGGAGCAAGAACGAGAGGAAAAGGTACGACATCATAATCAATTATTCATTACAAATTCACAATAGAAATTGAAATAAAGAAAAAAAACGAACAAGAAATTGAGCGCGATGTAGAAAAGTACAATGTAGTTGCGTACAAGTTATTGCTTTCAATATACATCAGAAAAGGAATTAACAAATAAATAAACGATCTCGTAACAATATGAGAAAAAAGAAAGTATTTCATATACACATTTGCTGGTATAGATCTGACCAAATTATTTACTATATCTGGCTTAAAATGATCTAGTGGTGTTGAGTGGCTGTGGGCGCGGGCGCTGAGGATTGTGCAGTTGGGTAAGCATAGGGTGCGGTTCCATTACCGTTATACGTAATGGAATTCATACCATTCGATGTATAGTAAGATTGTTGTTCAGGTGTATCACCATAGATTGAGCCTGGCGGTGGATAGATGGACGATGATGACGATGCAGAATAATAAGACATGTAATCCATCGCAGCATTTGGTGGATAGTAATATGGTGGAACACTATAGGGTGGTACTGGAGGGTAAGGATATGGATATGCTGAGTTATTAAAACTATAAGCCATATTCGTAGATCCATGGAAGCTATTGACTGGTATTGCTTGGTGCGGTTGTTGTAGTTGCTGTTGTTTGTTTTTAGTCGAATAGTTGTAATGATTTGATTGAGAAACAATCATTGATGTGGGTGATGTCGAACGTGGTGGCAACTGATCTTCAGTGATTTCCACTGGTTTGATTGTCGTTTCAAATGGATTCAAAGAAGATATTGGATCTTCTTCTTTCTCCACATGATTATTGTTGGTTATATCAATGGTATCTTCTTTCAGCTGAGATTCAATACGAGCAATTTTAGTCTCATCATCGGTACCATTGATTGATGGTGATGAGAGAAATGGATTTGCAAGAATATCTGATAGTGATGACGGTGTTTCAGGCGGATTTGTTGATGTGGTCGCTGTACTCAATTGTCGAATTAAATGAGGCTGATTTATTTTACTCTAAATTCGAAGAAGAAATATTACCATTTTACACTCAATATTCATCGATCAGACTGGATAGACTTACCTTCGATGGCGAAAGGGTATCGTCCGCTAAAGATTGAATATTTACCGATGCTAAAGCTCGTTTCTTCAATGGTAATGGTCGATCCATATTGTTTGCTGCAGACGACGAACGAGGAGCGTCTGCGTTTGATAGACTGTCGCTAGACGACATTGTGGAAACACCTCCTTCGCTAATTTGTCTTGTAAAAGGATTCTCATGATTCACTAGAACAAACAGTGGAATCAATCATTCGATTTCAATAGATAATGTATCGAAAACATAAAAGGGGCGACTGATACATACGATCTGGTTTGGTTGACGTTTCTGTTGCGACGTTCTCCTCTGGTTTAACTGGTTCAGCTTCTGATTTTGACGTCGAATGTAGACGAGTATTTCGGGTTATTCGTCTTGTTTCTAATTGAACTTCATCGTTGCTGTCTGTTTTCGTTTCTGTTTCAGGATATGGAACATGATTATTAGATTCCGGTTTTTCGTCCGTAGATGGTTTTGCTGATGCTGGCGTTTCTTTCGCTGATGCGATTTTTATAAACTGGTCAAGTTTCAATTGTTTGTATGCAGATTGTTTCGCAGGAGGTTTCGGTGAAGATTCTACTGGAACAGTCTTAATTTCTTCCTGAATCACTGTCGCTGTTGCTGAGTCCTTTTCTTCATCTTCATCATCATCTTCTTCTTCTTCTTCTATTCCATCTTCCTTAATAACTGGCTCAGAGGCAACCATTTTCGATCGACGAGGCTTATACTCTTGAGAATGTTCATCAACATCATTTGCTATGATATCTGCTGAATAACTGTCATTGTGCGTGATCATTGAATCATTTTTATTCGATTTATTTGTCATTGGTGTTCGACGTTTAACAATAATCGAACGACGTTTCTGTCCAAACTTTCGTCGACGGATATAGCGAACACCGTCTGCAGTTTGAG